CCTCTCCAGCTCTGCCCGAGAGACCGCTCTTCTCCCTCCCCCGGTGTGTTGGAGAGTAAACCCACAACATTTACAATTCAGCACGGTGTGCTAGAACTAGTAACGAATTGGCACGTTTTGCTTCCGTGACAAACTAGTTGGCTGTGTCGTGTGGTGGTGGGATTAACGACACATAAACGCGAACTAACCCCCCCAACCTCCCCAAACCTTCATGGATATTTGTTGGGAAGCCTGGTGTTGCAACTACGAGGTGTTCAACTTTCGTGACGCTTGCGCGTCTGTCGTTAATCAATGCTTGTGTCGCCATCTAGCGGAGGCTGCAAGCAAGTCCGCTCTCGGGTTGTGATGGGGTAAAGAATCTAAATCTATTTTTTTCATCTTACCAGGTTAAAGCAATAGTTATGTTCCATAAGCGACCTGTCTGTCACAAATGATAGCTCAACGGAGCGGCTTATCATAGTGTGAAAATGTATAGCAGCAGCCAAATCGTCTAAACGAGTGACGTGGCGGGGGAGAGAGCGAGACACGTAAACTACAGATACACAGCAGCAAGCGTCAGGGTCAGGATCGAACCCATGCCCTCGAGCACACCAGGCGTGGTAAATTAACATCTCCTAGCCACGACGGCACATTAAAGAAGACAATCTCGTGATACATGTACATGAAACATTTTAATAGCAAAAAAAAACACCAGCACGTCATTTACACGTACAAGACTTGTACACATTTAAAATTATAACTTTGTTTTGCCTGGCCCCCAGTAAACATTGGCCCAAGGTCGTGCCAACGTCGGCGCGTGGTGGGAACCGTTGGACTGACGTTGGGTCCAACGTTCCACGTGTTCTGGGTCGTCGCTTAGATTGGCACGGCAAAGCAATTTGTGTTCACGACGCACGTCTCGGACGACGCTTCACGTCGCCGCAGGAGCAACCTGCAGAGGTCGACGAGCGGACACTCTGCTCCACGCAGCTGCGGGACTCAAGACGCGCACCCTCTTCTGCTTGCGATTCCGCCGTCAAAATATTTTGGCCAGCAAAGACATTGCACCAGCAACAGCGCAATAATCCGAGGCCAATTTCGTAAATAAGATAAAAAAAAAAGAAAAATAAACCCTGCAATCATCTTCCGAGGAACGGCTGTTGCACGAGCCATTCCCTGTCAGGTTCAAAATGATACAACAGATGGGGGTGGCCAAACGTCCTCGACCCCCGGACCAGATTGCGGAACGACTCCTTGGCATGGCCGAGAAGCCACAGGACGCAAACTCACGGAGCGCTTCAACAAATGGCTGGCCATTGGCAACATACGGCAGTCCCTCCCTCGTCAACCGCGGGGGTCCTGCAACATGTCGCGGCAGGAAAAATCCGCGGTTGGCGAGGGATTCGTGTACAGAGGGGCCGCTTGCCCTGGGCGGGGGTCACACAGCAGGCGGGGGTCACGCTGCAGGCGGGGTCACGCTGCAGGCGGGGGTCACGCTGCAGGCGGGGTCACGCTGCAGGCGGGGGTCACACTGCAGGCGGGGTCACGCTGCAGGCGGGGGTCACGCTGCAGGCGGGGGTCACGCTGCAGGCGGGGTCACGCTGCAGGCGGGGTCACGCTGCAGGCGGGGTCACACTGCAGGCGGGGGTCACACTGAAGGCGGGGTCACACTGCAGGCGGGGGTCACTGCAGGCGGGGTCACGCTGCAGGCGGGGTCACGCTGCAGGCGGGGGTCACGCTGCAGGCGGGGTCACACTGCAGGCGGGGGTCACACAGCAGGCGGGGGGCACACTGCAGGCGGAGGTCACACTGCAGGCGGGGGTCACGCTGCAGGCGGGGGTCACACTGCAGGCGGGGTCACACTGCAGGCGGGGTCACACTGCAGGCGGGGGTCACACTGCAGGCGGGGTCACGCGGCCGAGTTGGCTGTAGAGCCTTGGATTTAGAAATCCGCGAAAACGCGCCCCCAGGGAGTGCTCGCGTCTTGGCTTTCGCTGCCAGGGCCGAGTGCCCCAGGGCCGAACGGACTGCCGGTCCACATTCTGCATATTTCTACCCCCTCCCCCCAGTTTCCAAATAAAGTTTTTGTATTGAAAAGTTAGAAATCCGTGAAAGCACGCCCTCGGAGCGCTCGCGTCTTGGCTTTCGCTGCCAGGGGCGAGTGTTTGGGGGTCAATAGGTTGCGGCTCAGGATTCCGCAGATTTCCCCCAGCCTCCGTTTCAAATAAATCTCGAATGAAAAGTGAAGGCGTCAACGGCGTCTCCATCGTCCGGGCAACTCGAGCTGCCCGTGAGACACACGTGGGCCTCACGAACCGTGGTTTGGCCGTCCCCCCCTGCTATCGAGGAAGGATTCGTGACACTAGAAGGCCGCTCTGCATTCGAAAACCCCATTTGTTACAATCAGGAGAAGAGGGAAAAGAAAAACGCATGCGTCTTTGTAAAGATTACGATTAAATATCATCATCATCCTACTGCCAGCAGAGTGACCGTATTCTATACAATTCAATGTCCTTTATTCAGACCAGATGCAGCATCTCCTCTGGTAAGCGAGACCTGGGAACACAAATGCGGAGAGTGCCTACATAGTTTGTTTGCATATCTTGCCACAAGTGCGTGTGGATTAATGCAGACTTGATGCCATGCAAACGGTACCGTTTGGTGTTTGGACATCTTCACACAACGCCTGTGCTCATTTTTATCGCACGTGCCAAACGTTATATTAAAACAAATTTAGTCGCCGCTAAGTTTCAAATTCGAGTGGGAGGATTGGGCCACGATTGCCGCGGGCTCGCGATGTCAGCCTGCGCTTGCGAATTGGGCGCCTGCCTGGGTGCTCGACGTCCACCCTTGTGGGGGACTGCCGGGTGGACTGCTTCAGAGGTCACCAGCTGTCAGCCGGCACCACCTTGGCGCTCCTGGGTTTCGAATCTAGAACGGAGGCGGCCGGTCGGTTCGGTGAAGCCGATCCCGGCAGTCACCCGTGATGAAATCGTTGCCTCGGGTGCGAGTCGATGGTCTGAGCCCCGCTTACCGATGACTGTGCAGCAGTAGCAACAACAACCAACTCCCATCGCATTAAATTTTACTCCGCGCTTAAGCCTGGCTTAAAGTTCAAGCTCTGGTCATTAAACGTCAGTTCGCCTTAAGGTCGCCGGGCGTGGCGCTGGCCACCCACCCCCTCGTGTGCCACAGTGCCGGTGGCCTTCATCAGTGCTGCTACTCGCTAACAGCACTTGCCCCAAGTCTGTTACAGGCTATACGGGGCATCTTTATCCCTGTTTTAAACAAAGCAGCCGTGCTCGCTCACCCCCTGCCGGCCACCAACAACGCTGCGCCACCCGTGGCCTCTGCGAAGACGCGGCGCCGTGGTAGGGACGCGGTCAGGGGGTCCGTAGGTCGGGCGAGGCGGGGGCCCAGGTGGAGAGAGATGCGAACTCCAGGCATCGGTGTGGTGAGCGTAGGGATGAGGTGTGTTGTGAAGGACCATTGCCTGAAACGTCACCTGTTGTTTTTGTTTGTTCCTTTAAAGGCCACGCGCGCGCGTTGAGTTCCTGTAGTTGTTCGTGGTCGCAAGCGTCGCAAGCAAGCAAGTTGCCCCTGACGGCGAGGGGAGAGCGGTGGGAGTTGTTGTGAAGGGGCGCGAGGTGGTGCCGGCGGTGGGGCGCCACTTTGCGGTGGGTGAAAGTGAAAGAGTCGGGGTGGAGCGGTACGGCGACTGAATGAGGCTGTGGCCGTCGGGAATAAGCCGCGGAGGACGGGGACGAGGCGAGCAGGCGGCGAGGGTACGGGCTGAGATTTGGAGACGGCGAGCGTGAAGAGCAGGGGGTGAGGGTGGCGAAGGCTCGTGTGAAGCGGCGAGGGTATTGGTGAGGGCGTGCGTGTCGAGCCTGTCAAGTGGTGAGCGTGGGAATCGGCGGCACTCGAGGTGCACCTGGCCTGGCACAAGCGCCGTGGTGACGTCGCCGCTCCTTAGAGGCGACGCTGGCTGGTGACGATGGCGACAGGGATGAGACGGCATGCGGTGGGGTAGGGCTGACGGGTGAAGGTCGTGGGGGGTGGTGGGGACGGGGGAGTGAGGTGAGGATGTGGTGAGCACGGAGCGAGGTGGTGCGTGCAGGAGGAGTTTCCCCTCGGCCCTGGTCCCTGGCCTCCTCTTCCGGACGTCTTCGTCCGACCCGGAGGAAAAAAAATCCGCCGGATCCGGCGCTCTGAAAAGTCCATCCCGGCCCCCGGCTTCACGAGTAAACCCATAATTATCAACAACAGCAGCAAATGTTTATGTTCTTCTCTCTCGCTGCCATGATCCACGGAGCGTTCTGGGCGCGCCCGGTGACGGGGAGCGCAAGGAAGGAACTGGGGGTGAAGAGGAGGGGATGAGGAGGGGATGAGGAGGGGGTGAGGAGACTCGGAGTGATGATGAGTAAGAGGCATGGGGAGTGGTGATGAGTAAGAGGCATGGGGAGTGATGATGAGGAAGAGGCATGGGGAGTGATGAGTGGAAGGCACAGGGAGGGAGTGGGGGGTACAGGGAGGGAGTGGGGGGTACAGGGAGGGAGTGGGGGTTACAGGGAGGGAGTGGGGGTGCAGGGAGGGAGTGGGGGGTACAGGGAGGGAGTGGGGGTTACAGGGAGGGAGTGGGGGTACAGGGAGGGAGTGGGGGTTACAGGGAGGGAGTGGGGGTGCAGGGAGGGAGTGGGGGTTACAGGGAGGGAGGGGGGGGGCAGGGAGGGAGTGGGGGGTACAGGGAGGGAGTGGGGGTTACAGGGAGGGAGTGGGGGTACAGGGAGGGAGTGGGGGTTACAGGGAGGGAGTGGGGGTTACAGGGAGGGAGTGGGGGTGCAGGGAGGGAGTGGGGGGTACAGGGAGGGAGTGGGGGGTACAGGGAGGGAGTGGGGGTTACAGGGAGGGAGTGGGGGGTACAGGGAGGGAGTGGGGGGTACAGGGAGGGAGTGGGGGGTACAGGGAGGGAGTGGGGGTACAGGGAGGGAGTGGGGGGGTACAGGGAGGGAGTGGGGGGTACAGGGAGGGAGTGGGGGGTACAGGGAGGGAGTGGGGGTACAGGGAGGGAGTGGAGGTGCACGGAGGGAGTGGGCGTGCGTCGTGGCCGCTGTCAGAGGAAGCACACGGGCCCCAGCGTGGCCGGGCGCTCGTCCCGCCGGCCGCCGTCCGGCGCCGTCACGGCCGCGTCCCGGAGGGGCAGCAGCTCGAGGTTGTCGGTGCGCACCTCCACCTGGAACTCCTCGCCCTGGCCCTGGCGAGACGGCACGGGGGGTGGGGCGCAGGCCGAGGGAGCGCGTGCATCGCCGCTCGCCGTGTTGCGACATTTTTCCATCGGCCATGGCTCGCTCGCTAAATACGGCCGATTAGAAATGAATCGGCCGTGACTCGCACCTCCGGTCAACACGGCAGGCCACGCACGGTGCCAAACAAGTTGAAGGCCCGCGTTTGGTCTGCACTGGTGGTGAGACCAGCCCCGACAGAAGACTGCCGTCTCTGGTGTAGGGCAGTCAGTCTCAAAGACAATGCATCGTATCTTATTATTATCAGAGCCATGATTGTGTTTGCATGTTCACCACAAGTACTGTGTGTGGTTCACGCAGTCTTGTTCACTTGCAAAAGGTTTCTGTGATTGAACGTCTTGACACAACTCATGTTTTGTTGCCAGAAAGGGGTAAAACACCCATTCCTTATTTTTCATACACATTTTACTTACGCGGCGATCTGACCCCCGTACACCGTGAGTCAAGTTCAATGTGTATTCTTGGTTCTTTCGGTAAAGTCACGTAGAAGGGAAATAATACAATTCTCACGACGTTTCGATTGCAACACAAGCAATCATCATGAGGTGTGAAAAACCCTTCGACGTGACTTTACCGAGAGAACCAAGAATATGAATCCCTACAGTCACGAAAGCTTTAAATCGAAAGTTAAATGTGATTTAAAATATATGAATATAAAATATACCGTGTATATACCGTGTATATGAATATTCGTCAAGCGGTAGGGTAGGGGTGATGATGATGATCTACCGTCGTTGCCCGATCCCAATTGAGCGATTTGCAGGTGCAACACATTTTATTGTCGCGTTTGTGAAGTTGGGGTTCGTAGTGCCCCGTCGTGTGGATGAGGCAACACGGAGACCTCAAGGGCGAGAAGCGGACAGCGGCGAGAAGCGGACAGCGGCGAGAAGCGGACAGCGGCGAGAAGCGGACAACAGCGAGAAGCGGACAGTGGCGAGAAGCGGACAACAGTGAGAAGCGGACAACAGCGAGAAGCGGACAGCGGCGAGAAGCGGACAACAGCGAGAAGCGGACAACAGTGAGAAGCGGACAACGGCGAGAAGCGGACAACAGTGAGAAGCGGACAACAGCGAGAAGCGGACAACAGCGAGAAGCGGACAGCGGCGAGAAGCAGACAACGGCGAGAAGCGGACAGCAGTGAGAAGCGGACAACGGCGAGAAGCGGACAGCACTGCCTGCGGCTCGCAACGGGGCGGTCGCGACGCGGGGATGGCAAGCGCCACGCTGAACTTTCAAGCCACGAGCCTAACATTTTAAAACGAAACGATGTTTACGTAGCTGGTAATGCCTCCGCCCCCACCCCCCACTAAGCTGTTAACTTACTTTCCCAGAGGCTACCTTGGCCACAAACGATAGCTCCAACGGAGTGCTGATATCATCACGTGGTGGGAATTTATAGCCGCGTCCAAATAGTCTCTGAACTCGTGACGTCGATTCCAAATGCGGAGGGGAAATACCGGAGGACCCGGAGAGAAATCCACACGACACGCCGGGAGTGAGAGAGAGAGAGAGATACACGCAAACCCCAAGTAGACAGGCGTCGTCATGGTCGGGCTCGAACCCGCGGCCTCCTGCCTACCAGGCGAGGGACACAACATCTCCGCACCTCGGCGAACCGCCGCCGGCGCGCGCCAGGAGGCGGCGGGGGGGAGGCGCATCGATCGGCGAACCTGGCAGGGCGCGTGGGGCAGCGACACGTCGGGGTGGCCGTGCGTGAGCGCCAGCCCGCTGTCGGAGAGCAGGGAGACGCGCCAGGCCGACGACTCCGCCGCCGTCCTCGCGCACGGCACCGTCGCGGCCTGCCTCGCCCCCGTGCTGTGCAGCCGCAGGAACTTCAGCTGCACCGTGTGCAGACCCTCGTAGACCGCCTGCAGCGGGTGGGTGGGGGGGGGGCAACGCAGTGCCTAGAGCTGTCGGACTTCCAGGCGGCTCAACCGGGACACGTGAACCGTACCTCTTTTTTCTCCTGGCGCATCCGAGCCGGAGCCGCGGTGCATTGTGGGGCAGCAGTGAGATGAAGTGCATTCTGGGACAGCAGGAAGGGGGTCGCCAAACCTGTTCCTGTAGCGCAGTGCCATGGAGCCACGTGTCGGAACCGTTTCCCGCTCCCGCATCTGGAGTCACCGGCAGCACCTGGGGCAGAATAGCGGTTCGCTCATCTACGATTACTCAAGTTACTCAAGTTACTCGGCCAATTTACTTGGAAGTGAAGTGTAAACCTCGCCTTTTAACGCCCCCCCCCCTCCCCGGTCAGTCCGTCTGCAGGCCATAGAAATACATTTTAAAATAATTTTATCTCTAAAAATGTAAAATAATGGTATCTCTATGGGCCCTACCCGCCACCCCCCCCCTCTGGGGTGAAACAAAAGTAAAACAATAAACTGAACCCCACGTTGGCGAGATTAAATCACGCGCTCACAAAATGGCCGAGCGGCTGATGGGACGTGCACAAAAAAATAACAACAAAGTTAAAAAACCTTCGTTGTAAAACACGCAGCGGGTACACACACGGGTGGGGGAGGAAGCGTATCGGCCACTTAGCTATTTAGTTTCACCGCTGGTCATTTGCCAGGCCGCCGACACAGAATCAACGCCGCCCCCCCCCCCCCCCCCCCCCAGCGCTACGGACGTCTGAATCTCACCAGCAGACATCCAAATCTGACTTGGGGCCCAGCAGGGCCAGGCGGTGGAGGCTGAGCGCCGCGGTTGTGTGGTGCGACATAAGTCTCGGCGCGCTCTGGAAGTGAGGCGCCCACGCTGGCTATGAGATGTTAACTACCTCGCCTGGTACACAGGAGGTCGTGGGTTCGATCACGACCCTGACACCTGCTGCTGTATATTTGGAGTTTGCGTGTCTCTCTCTCATCATCATCACGCTGGCTATGAGATGTTGACTACCTCGCCTGGTACACAGGAGGTCGTGGGTTCGATCCAGACCCTGACGCCTGCTGCTGCTGTATATTTGGCGTTTGCGGTGTCTCTCTCTCTCTCATCATCATCACGCTGGCTATGAGATGTTAACTGCCTCGCCTGGTACACAGGAGGTCGTGGGTTCGATCACGACCCTGACGCCTGCTGCTGTATATTTGGAGTTTGCGGTGTCTCTCTCTCATCATCATCACGCTGGCTATGAGATGTTGACTACCTCGCTTCGTACACAGGAGGTCGTGGGTTCGATCACGACCCTGACACCTGCTGCTGTATATTTGGAGTTTGCGTGTCTCTCTCTCATCATCATCACGCTGGCTATGAGATGTTGACTACCTCGCCTGGTACACAGGAGGTCGTGGGTTCGATCACGACCCTGACGCCTGCTGCTGCTGTATATTTGGAGTTTGCGGTGTCTCTCTCTCTCATCATCATCACGCTGGCTATGAGATGTTGACTACCTCGCCTGGTACACAGGAGGTCGTGGGTTCGATCACGACCCTGACGCCTGCTGCTGCTGTATATTTGGAGTTTGCGTGTCTCTCTCTCCCCGTGGTCACGTAGATTTTTCTCCGGATCCTCCTTTTTTTCCCCTACACACTTCGAATCAACGTCACGCGTTTAGAGTATTCGGTTGCTATAAATATCCACTTGATAAGCCACTTCGTTTGAGCTATCATTTGTGATACAGCAACAGCGATATCGTAGTTCAGTGGGGGCCTTACACGTGGTAACATAACGTTTAGTTGTAACTCTTGCGGGCACCGACGCTCGGTTTAATCTCACCGGCTCCTCTCGCTAAGCACCACCGTGCCCCCTCCCTCCCCCGTACCTTGAGGGAGGCGGTGACCGGGGAGATGCAGGTGGCCCCGCCGGCGGTGAAGTTGCAGAAGGCGCGCAGGGCATCGTGGGGGCAGCCCTGGTTGGGGTCAATGTAGTAGAACCCTGCCAAAGGACAAGGTCCCCTGTGTAGCCTGGGACAGACTGCAGGGGCCAAACACCTTGCCTAGCCACCTTTGTCTCCCCAGTGGTGATGTTTACACGCCACGCACTGTACTCTTTGTTTTTTTTCGGTAAAGTCACGTAGGTGAAACTATAAAATAAAAGAGTAAATGAAAAAACTAAATTAAATCACGTGATTTCATGAATAAATGAAAAAAACTAAATTTAATCACGTGATTTAATTAATAAATAAAAAACCAACCAATTTTAATCACGTGATTTCATTAATAAATGAAAAAAACTAAATTAAATCACGTGATTTAATAAAAATTTTCATTTATTATTTTATTTTATAGTTTCACCTACGTGACTTTACCAAAAAAAACAAAGAGTAAGAATCCTTGCAGTCACGAAAGCTTCAACTCTAGAATTTACGCTAGGTACTGCTTTGAGTCGACACAGGAGAGGCGCAGATGATCGTCACTGGAGTTGCAGCGCCTACGAAGGCCGGCACGGCGCATTGAGGAGGTGGTGTGGCCGGAACTAGGGCCCGGCCGCCGTTGTCTCCCTAGCGCCCACGTTCGCACGCAGAGCCGAACCAAGGGATGCACGGGACCAATTCAGATTCAGTAATCGTCACGCATGTTAGCTGTGACTGGGAATCAAACCCGGGTCTCCGGGTTCGTAGTGCAGTGCGCTAACCAATGCGCCACTGCTCCCACCACACAAGCGCATCCCTTTATTCATGCGGGGCAGCCTCACCACCGGGTCTCAACACTCACTTATGACGTCACGGGGCAGGTGTACAGGTGTTATTATGTCATGGCTCAGGTGATGTCGGGCGGTGGCGGGCTTAATGACACATTTATATTTACGTGATCTAAGCCCCCCCAAAGAACCTGTATTATGGATGATATTGGTCGCGAAAGCCCAGGTGTTAAATTGTACAGATGTCGTGGGCCAGGTGTACGTTTTATGACGTCATGGGCCAGGCGTACAGGTGTTATGACGTCATGGGCCAGGTGTAAAGGTGTTATGACGTCATGAGCTAGGGGCGGTCGATGTGGTGTTGTGGGTTGGGTGGTGTTGTGGGGTGGGTGGGGGTGGTGGTGGGGGGGTGGGGGGTGGTGGGGGGGTGGGGGGTGGTGGGGGGTGGTGGGGGGGGGGTGGGGGGTGGGGGGGGGTGGTGGGGGGGGGGGGGGTGGTGGGGGGGGTGGGTGGGGGGGTTCGTCGGCGCCGGTGCCGCCCGCTGCTACCGTCGTTGAGCCCGGGCCGGCAGAGCCCGAGGTCCCGGCAGGTGGTGGCGGGGCGCTGGCGCGTGCCCTGCAGCTCGCCCAGCGCCAGCTCCGCCCGGCTCCCCAGGGCGCGAAGCCTCGCCAGCAGCGGCGCCAGCGCGGAGTCCGCGTCGTTGGCGACGGCGCGCTGCGTCGCGGGGGAGAGGGGGAGAGGGGGAGAGGGGGAGAGGGGGAGAGGGGGAGTCCTCTCGCTCGCTTCACCTCGCCCGGTACGCAGGAGATCGTGGGACACGATCCCCACCCCCGACGCCGCCTGGGGGTCGCCGCGTGTCTCTCCCTCCCCGTGGCGGTCGCGGGGATTCTTCCCCTCGACGACGTCACGCGTGTTAGAGTATTCGGCTGCAATACATCTCAGCACGACGATGAGAAGCCACCGCTTCGTCGGGCTATCGTTTGGGATGGCCAAGAGCTACGCAGCAGCGCAATGGGGCCTTGCACCCGGTAAATAAAAATAATGTTTACACAGGGACTCGTCTAATTACGAACGAGTTAGGTTCCAGAGGTCTGTTCATCAGTCGAATTGTTCGTAAGTCCAACTTTACTCCTGTCGATTCCAAACGTGTTGTATGGCATGTACACTAAACACGGGGAATGGCTTTACAAGTTGTATCGTCTCCCGTAGATGTCGCTGCCACCGCCGCCACCTATGGGGCGTTTGAACTCACGACGCTCGGTCCGAACGGGCAACTGGACGTACGGACCGGGTTTGTTCGTATCTCCGAAAGTTCGCGAGTCGAATGTTCGTAAGTAGAGGAGTCCCCTGTAGTTTTAGTTTAACGCGGGACACGCGGTCTGCCTTGGGCTGGCTTGAGCCGCATCGGGCTCTCACCGTGTTGGGGGGCCCGGCCGTGCGGGGAGAGGGGGGCCCCCGCGTCGTCGTGGACTCGAGCCCCGAGGCCACGGAGCCCGCAGAGAGCATCTGCAACAGAGGCAAAGATCCCCCGCATAGCCTTCAACAGACTGTTGGGGGGGAGAGGCAAGTGCCGTTAGCGAGCGGCTGCCGTGAACGTCGTTGTGGCCCGGGCGGCCGCTAGGGTGTGGTGTGGCCGGAACCGCCGCGCCCACCAGGGCCGCGTTAATTCTCACCCTGACGAGGGCCGCTCCGGTGGCGACCGCGCTGGGGCCCGGTGGGCCGGGAGGCCCAGGCCGGCCCTGACGGCGGACGGCGATGGGAAGAGAGGAAGGAGGAGGAACGGAAAACAAATTATTTCACCGTTTCAGCGAGAGCAAAAAAAACAAAAATCTGAATATTTCTGCAGGGTGAGGGCCTCCCTGTGCGGTCATCGGAGTTCTCCGACCGACTTCACCCCCGCCGTTCAGCGCGGAACGGTGAAGGCGAGAGAGCACGGCCGCGGGAGCACGGAAGTAGAGTACAACGAGGGATTCTGCCATTGCATAGCGCGTCGGCGTTGCCCGCCTGTCAGAATCTCAACACTCTCATCAAAGTTCGATTCGCGCGCGGCACAAATCCAAACGATGGGCGTCTATAACGTGGGCGGCGTTTCCCATCGTGTGGCACGCCGGCTCCTGGCTCGGGGGTAGAGACCCGGCGATGGAAGTCAACGCAAGGCGGTCAACTCCCCGAGTGAGGGTGCAACGTGATGCCGTCCTCCGGTTCGGCCTGTTCCGTTACACAAGCCGTGACATGTGTACCGTACGTCGAACTTCTTCCGCACCGTGCGTTGCCAACCACGCGAATCGGGATGTGCCGGGGGAGAAGGGGAACAAACTAAGCAAAAAAGGCAGTGCTAAAGAAATCAGTTTTGTAATCTACACGATTTAAAAGTGCACAGCTCCCAGTGGGCTTCCTACTTATCGGAAGGGGAAGAGCGTTCCAGACGGCCGCGAAAGCGCGTCCGAAAGCGCCGCGTGATTGCGGTGACCACAGTCTTTGCTCGACGGGCAGCCAAAAGCCGCCACCACCGCCGCCGCCGCTGCTGTGAGGATGACCACGGGAGTGTCGTGTGGTGACGGTTTATTGGTTTATTGCTTCTTGACGAGACCAGCAGCGAGGTTTTGATGCGGTTCATTTGTGAGCAAGCACTCGGCGTGATTCATAATGAAGGTTTTTGTTGGGTTAGATAACGTAAGTATAAATGTTGTGTCGTAACCCTCCACCACCCGACACAGCCAATTAGTAAGGGATTTGTCACGTAAACAAAACGCCAACTAGTTACTAGTGCAGTGTATAAGAATAGGTTTTCCCCTATTTTCTGGCAACAAAACAGGTGGTGTTAAGATGTTAAAACACCAAACTGAAACCTTTTCCAAGGAATCATGTCTGCAATTAACCACAGATACTTGTGGTGAAAATACAAACAAAACATGGCTGATAGTATCTGCATTGTCTTTGAAACTGATTGGTCCATACCAGAGACAGCTTTCTTTAGATCCTCGTCTCAAACGGTGTCAGTTCAGAGGACAGCGCCAAAAGGCGTCCACAGCTGGTTGAGACGAGGATCTAAAGAAAGCTGTCTCTGGTGTGGACCAATCAGTTTCAACGGCAATGCAGATACTGTCAGAGTGTGTTCTTTTGTTTGTATTTTCACCGCAAGTATCTGTGGTTAATTGCAGACATGATTCCTTGCAAAAAGGTTTCAGTTTGGTGTTTTAACATATTAACACCGCGTGTTTTGTTGCCAGAAAAGAGGGGAAAACCTATTCTTACATTTTGACACTGGGTAAGGAGGTCCATGATGTAGTGTACAGTGTAGTTTACTACTTCAGCCCACCGGTGTGTTGGAGAATAAATCCACAACATCTACAATTTTAATTCGACATTTCACCGGTAATTTCATCAGGCATCATCGGGCGATTTGCCAAACTAGTGAAGCAATCCACCTGCTTCCCGTCTTACAAAGTGCAGGATTGGGTTCAGTGATGACGTCGTCCTGCTGCACTCTTTAAGACGGGACGCAGGTGGATTGCTTCACCATTCTGGCAAATCGCCCGATGATGCTGGATGTAATTACCAGCGAAACGTCACTGTACTCAATTTGTAAACGTTGTGGATTTACTCTCCAACACACCGGTGGGCTTAAGTAGTAACTACACTATACACTACACTACTATACACTACACTATACACAACACACTACACTATACACTACACTATACACTACACTATACTAGTAACTAATTGGCGTTTTGTTTACGTGACAAATCACTTACTAATTGTCTGTCGGCTTGTGGAAGGTTACGACACATACTTACGCGATCTAACCCAACAAAAACATTTACCATGAATAATATTGGTCGCGAAAGCCTGAAACGTGTTCGACTGTCTCCGCGTGATGGTCACACGTGCAACGAACGTTGGGAATAATTTAAATAAATACACGAAGCAACGAGAAAGGCGGAGGCTTCAACGAGTCCCGCCCTCGCCCGTCACACTCCGAGCGCGTGGATTTCTCCTCCGATTTTTGCCCTCCACATGTGGAGTCAACGTCGCCCGTTTCAGAGTAACTGGCTACTGCTGTCAATTTCCACGTGATGGAGACGTGATGACGACGTGATGACGATGATGGGGGAGGTATTTTGCGACGGCGATCATTTTGTGATGGCCAGGTCGCTTCTGAAAACAAATTGCTATACAGCTCAGTGGGGCCTTAACTTGGTTCGATTGCATCTTGCGTAACGTGAATGCGATGCTGGATTTACCTACCGGGGGGCCGGGCGATCCCTTGCGTCCGCTCTCTCCCTTGATTCCCTTTTCTCCCTGGGGGAAGAGAGACAGGTAACAAAGACAAAGGTGCTCCCCCCCCCCCCCGTATAGCCCACACAGGCTGCTGGGGAAAGTGCCGTCAGCGAGCAGCACCTACGAAAGCCAACACGGTGGGCGAGGGGTGCCGGTGTGGCCAGCACCACGCCCGGCGACCTTTGACTCCCTCGTAGGGATGTGTACACACCGCACCAGGTACTCATTTGAGGACCGGTTCAGATAATCGTCATTGGTGTTGGCCGTGAGTGTGAATCGAACTCGGGTCGCAGCGCGCTAACCGCTAACACTACCGCTCCCCACACACACAAAAACAAAGACCCCCCCGTATAGCCTTAACTGACTGTTGGGGCAAGTGCTGGCCGCCTTTGTCTCCCAAGTGGTGATGTTTACACACCGCACGAGGTACTCAATTGAAGTTGAGTAAACCTAGGGGAGGCCCAGGATCGGTTCAGATAATTGATGTTGGCCATGAGCGGGGTATTGAACTCGGGTCACCGGGTTCACAGCGAAGCGCGCTGACCGTTACCACTCCCGCTCCCCACACGGACACACACAAAGACCCCCCCCCCGTATAGCCTGTAACAGACTGTTGGGGCAAGTGGTGTTAGCGAGCACCTATGAAGGCCGGACCAGCACACGAGGGGGTGGGGAGACAGCACCACGCCCGGCCGCCTTTGTCTCCCCAGTGGCGATGGTCGCACACTGCACCAGGTACTCATTTGAGGCTGAGTCGACCTAGGGGAGGCCCAGGACCGGTTCAGATAATCGTCACTGGTGTTGGCCGTGAGCGGGAATCCAACTCGGGACGCCAGGTTCCTGGCGCGGCGTAGCGCTAACCGCTACACCACCGCTCCCCACACGGACACACACACACGCGTATGCACGCACAACACACACACACGTGCATGCACGCACAACACACACACACACGCGCGCGTATGCACCCACAACACACACACGTGGGTGTGTTGTGGGTCGGGATATGGCACTGAAACGGCAGCACGGGCAACACAGTGGGGGGCACAGTGGGGGGCACAGTGGGGGGCACGAGCAACACACGGCATGGAGCCACGAGAGGAATGGAACCGGGCTCCGATGCCATGAGGGATCAATGGGGTTCATCGATCCCTCCTGTGAACGGGGTTCACAGGAGGGAAACCCGACACACGTGCGTGTGTGTGTGCACGTGCGTGTGTGTGCACGTGCGTGTGTGTGTGCACGTGCGTGTGTGTGCGTGTGCACAGTGGGGGGCACAGGTGGTGCCTCTGCCAGTCATCTCAGTCAACCCACGGGACCTGCTGGGTTTGTCCCGTGACCTCCTGCCAGCGGGTGTTTGACACTTCGCGTGGCCTCAAAGTGCCCCTAGCCTGGCACAAGCGCCGTGGTGACGTCACCGCCACTCAGTGGCGAATGGTGGTTGTTGTTGTGTGTGTGTGTGTGCGGTGGTCGAACCTTCATTCCAAACAGTCCCTGTGCAGGCAGAGAGAGAGAACCGACAGAGAGCGGCAAGAAAAACAAATTACAAAAACATCATCACAAACTCATCACTTGGTTTGTGTTAGCTCCCTGGCCTGGTCTACAGGAGGTCGCGGGTTCAATCCCGACCTGGACGACGCCTGCTGCTGTATATTTGGAGTCTGCGTGTTCTCCCCGTGGTCGGGTGGATTTTTCTCCAGGGTCCTGACAGTTTTTCCCTCCACATTCAGAGTCAGCGTCACGCGTTTAATCAAAGTTAATTGGCCACCGCTATCAATTTGGTGATAAGCCTTCCACTACGTCGAGCTACCGTTTGTGATAGCCGGCTCACTTCTACAAAAAAGCGATTATCATCCAGCTCAGTGGGGCCTTAGCCGTACAAATAAAAGGAGTTGAACACGTTTGTAACAGTTAGACAGGTACAAAGGTCAAAGGTCCCCACCACCCCGCGATATTGCCTACGAAGGCCGTTGTTGGGGCAAAGTGCCGTTAGCGAGTAGCACCTTCGGTGGCCGGTTCGGCGAGCGAGCTGGGTGGCCAACACCGGCGGTGCTCATGTTTTTACAAACGTAACTCACCACAAGAGAGGTTTTTGGGGTTCGATCGCGTAGGTATACATGTGCCGTTAAACCCTCCCCCACCGCCCGATACAGCCGTTTAAGTAACTAAACGGTTGTGTGTTGGAGAGTAAACCCACTACAACATTTACAATTCGAGTAATTAACAACCAGCATCATCAGGCAGACAGCCCAGAGCTGTGGAGAGATCCTCCTCCTGTTTCGGAGAGGGGGGATGAATGTGATGTCGTCGCTTGTGAGCCAATCTGGTGCGAAGGCCAGAGGAGGGGGCGGGGTGCTGGTTACTATATGCACATACATTACATCGGTTATCCATTACCGGTTGGGTAACGCACCAGCTGCTTATTCTAGGCTCAGTCGAACCTGAGATCGTCGTCATCATTGTCATCGTCGCTACCGCCGCCGCCCGGTGTTAACCGGGGCGAGGAGGCTCCTCGGCAGGGACAAATATCCCCACCCTCACCCCCCGTTTCGCCTTCGCACACTGTCGCGGCAAGAGCTGTTAGCGAGCACCTATGAAGGCCGGCACGGCACGCGAGGGGTTGGGAGGCCAGCACCACGCCCGTCTACACCGCTTGCTCCTGCTGTGGTGATGTGGAACGCTCTCCCTTACGATATTAGGAAGCCACTGGAAGCCACAGGGAGCTATGCTGCACTTCGAAATCATCGAGAATGACAAACTCATTTCTTTAGAACTGCTTTTTGCGTGGTAGTTTGTTGTCCTTCACCCTGTCACCTCCGATTAGCGCGGTTGGCTACGTACGGTGCGAAAGAAGTTCAACGTACTACGTACGTACGATGCAATGCTCCGGGCTGCTGCTAATAGCGGAAAGGGGACACTCCGGAGTGCTGTGCCCGTTACACACACCCCAGGTGTCTCCTGCTACACCTGTTACACACACCCCAGGTGTCTCCTGCTGTGCCTGTTACACACACCCCAGGTGTCTCCTGCTGTGCCCGTTACACACCCCAGGTGTCTCCTGCTGTGCCCGTTACACACACCCCAGGTGTCTTCTGCTGTGCCCGTTACACACACCCAGGTGTCTCCTGCTACGCCTGTTACACACACCCCAGGTGTCTCCTGCTACGCCCGTTACACACACCCCAGGTGTCTCCTGCTGTGCCCGTTACACACACCCCAGGTGTCTCCTGCTACACCCGTTACACACACCCCAGGTGTCTCCTGCTGTGCCCGTTACACACACCCCAGGTGTCTCCTGCTGTGCCTGTTACACACACCCCAGGTGTCTCCTGCAGGTGTGGCAATGGGAGGGGGGGGGTGGGGGGGGTTGGGCACTCACTCACCGGCATTCCTGGGGGTCCCAAAAGTCCAGGGGGTCCAGAGACGCCCCTCAGACCCTGTAAGCACAACGGCGAGCAGCCAGCAGGGGCCTCGGTGAGCGAGCGGCAGGAGAGACGTCACCAAAAAGAGGACGGCGAGGTAAGAGGCAGAGAGTGAGCGGAGGGGAGTAGATTGAGATGAGGGGGGAGTGAGATGAGAGGGGAGTGAGATGAGAGGGGAGTAAGATGAGAGGGGAGTGAGATGAGAGGGAAGTGAGATGAGAGGGGAGTGAGATGAGAGGGGAGTGAGATGAGATGAGAGTGAGATGAGAGGGGAGTGAGATGAGAGGGGAGTGAGATGAGAGGGGAGTGAGATGAGAGGGGAGTGAGATGAGAGGGGAGTGAGATGAGAGGGGAGTGAGATGAGAGGGGAGTGAGATGAGAGGGGAGTGAGATGAGAGGGGAGTGAGATGAGAGCGGAGTGAGATGAGAGTGAGATGGGAGTGAGATGAGAGGGGAGTGAGATGAGAGGGGAGTGAGATGAGAGGGGAGTGAGATGAGACTGAGATGAGAGGTGAGTGAGATGAGAGGGGAGTGAGATGAGACGGGAGTGAGATGAGAGCGGAGTGAGATGAGAGTGAGATGGGAGTGAGATGAGAGGGGAGTGAGATGAGAGGGGAGTGAGATGAGAGTGAGATGAGAGGGGAGTGAGATGAGAGGGGAGTGAGATGAGATGAGAGTGAGATGAGAGGGGAGTGAGATGAGAGGGGAGTGAGAAGAGGGGGGAGTGAGATGAGAGGGGAGTGAGATGAGAGGGGAGTGAGATGAGAGTGAGATGAGAGGGGAGTGAGATGAGAGGGGAGTGAGATGAGAGGGGAGTGAGATGAGAGGGGAGTGAGATGAGAGGGGAGTGAGATGAGAGGGGAATGAGATGAGAGGGGAGTGAGATGAGAGGGGAGTGAGATGAGAGGGGAGTGAGATGAGAGGGGAGTGAGATGAGAGTGAGATGAGAGGGGAGTGAGATGAGAGGGGAATGAGATGAGAGGGGAGTGAGATGAGAGTGAGATGAGAGGGGAGTGAGATGAGAGTGAGATGAGTGAGATGAGAGGGGAGTGAGATGAGAGGGGAGTGAGATGAGGGGGGAGTGAGATGAGAGGGGAGTGAGAGGGGAGTGAGATGAGAGGGGAGTGAGATGAGAGGGGAGTGAGAGGGGAGTGAGATGAGAGGGGAGTGAGATGAGAGGGGAGAGAGATGAGAGTGAGATGAGAGGGGAGTGAGATGAGAGTGAGATGAGAGGGGAGTGAGATGAGAGGGGAGTGAGATGAGAGGGGAGTGAGATGAGAGGAGTGAGATGAGAGGGCTGCTGCTACCTGGATGCCTTTGGGTCCCAGCGTCCCCTTCTTCCCCAGTGTCCCCGTGAGACCCTGGACACACAAACCCACACGGGGGTCACGGCGACCTCCGACCCCACAGCTGAGCGCCACAGCTGGGCAGCCTCACAACCCCCCCCCCCCCCCCCCCCCCCCACGGCACCGATGGACAAAAACTGGACGCGATAAAAGTGCCGTCGGGGTAGGTCGCACAAAGGTCAAATGTGTCGTTTAACCCGCCACCGCCCAACGCGGCCAATTCGTAAGGTTTGTCACGTAAACGAAACGTGGCGATTGGTCATGAGTTCAGCACTAACCGCTGTGCCGGAGAGCAAAACCACACGCGGCATTTAGAATTTGAGTAACATCGGAATAAACTTTTGCTGAAAAGGCCCCAAAAAACACCAGGAAGTCAACAAAAATGTCCGTGTCATACCTTGATTCCCGCTTCTCCCGGTTCCCCAGGCTCTCCTTTCTCTCCGGTTTCGCCCTGCATCCAATGAATTCATTAGTTTGATTACTCACTCAATCCCATCGTTACTCTAAAAGGCTGTCATTCTCATCGTTATTGACCCGAACCTGGATGTGCACAGGCACGGTCCCTTTCCGTCAATTCCACTGCTGGATGAGGGAATCCCCCCACGTCGTGTGGCTCACGGGAGTCGCTTCGCTTTACTTCAACGCACCGGGCGGGTGGATCGGTGGCTCAGTGAGTGGGTCAGCGAGTGAGCGAGCAGACAGGGGGCAGGGGGTCACCACCTGTCCAGGTTTTCTCGGAATCGTCCTCGTGTTGAGGAGGCAGCTGCTACCCTGGGATAAATCTGTCCCATCTTCCCGGGACATTAAAACTCCCGTTTATTGTCAGTCGCGCAACAATAATCACGATAACGCATCGCGCACAATTTTCCACGTGTGAATGATCTCTGCCTCTAGGCGATCGCTATCGAGGAGTCCCCCTCAGGCGGAAGGGTAACAGTCCCCTCCGCATACAAGGCTCCCGGCGGCATACACGGGTGCAAGCAACACACTGATGCAGTGCTGGATTAAGCTAGCGTGGGGCCTGCAGCATATGTCGTTATAAAGGGGCCTTTAAAAGAAACACGTAAAGATTAAATCACACATTAGTAAAGTAATTGTATTTTTTCAATTGCTATACGGCCAGATAATACGACAAATCTCTAACTTTAAACACCCGGTCATTTATAAAAGTCGAAGGTGGTATAGTACTATAGTAATAGAGCAAGTGCAGAATCACTGAACCGGAATTGATAGCTTGAAAGCATTTAGCGCGGGACCCTTGAAAGTGTGGGGTCCGTAGCCGGTGTCACCCCACTCACCTTCTCTCCTTTGCTTCCCGATTTCCCCTTCTCTCCCCTCAGACCCGGGATGCCCTGCGTGGGCAAACATGGGCCTCACAAATCGGCATCCTGATTTTTGTTCCAGGCCCCACCAAACAGAGGAATTTAGACCTCACCAAGAATGGATGAGGGTTCACCAAAAAAAAGGTTTCTACCAAGAAAAAATTAGGTCTCACCGAGGATTAGGCCTCACCCAGAAAGGATTAGGGCTCACCCAGAAAGGATTAGCCCTCATCCAAAAAGGATTAGGCCTCACCCAGAAAGGATTAGGCCTCAAACAGAAAGGATTAGGCCTCACCCAGAAAGGATTAGGCCTCACCAACAAAGGATTAGGCCTCACCCAGAAAGGATTAGGCCTCACACAGAAAGGATTAGGCCTCACCCAGAAAGGATTAGGCCTTACCCAGAAAGGATTAGGCCTCACCCAGAAATGATTAGGCCTCACCCAGAAAGGATTAGGCCTACCAAGAAAGGATTAGGCCTCACCCAGAAAGGATTAGGCCTCACCCAGAAAGGATTAGGCCTCACCCACAAAGGATTAGGCCTCACCCACAAAGGATTAGGCCTCACCCAGAAAGGATTAGGTCTCACCCAGAAAGGATTAGGCCTCACCACCAAAGAACCAGACTTCACCAAAGGACCCAGGGGTCATGAGGGTCAGAGTACAAATAATATTTGGATCTTGGCATATTTTTTACCCAAGTGTCATGAAGCGTGATTGTTATAGGCAACACACAGGCAATACATGGACTACAAATGAAAGGGTTATGACCAGAGCATAGCTTTGTCTGACCAAGAATCCATTTAAGTCATGGCTGGGCCTGATTAAATGGTGACGCAAAGTGGAAATTGGGTAGTTATGCTTACACCCAGTAGGAGTTATGCTTGGTGTTCCCACCTGTCTGGTCAATTCACTAATTCATCCACCCACTTATACACTCGCTCATTCACTCACCAACCCACCAACTCACACACTGGCTCATTAAATCACCAACCCACCAACTCACACATTCGCTCATTCACTCACCAACCCACCAACTCACACACTGGCTCATTCACTCACCAACCCACCAACTCACACACTCGCTCATTCACTCACCAACCCACAAACTCACACACTCGCTCAATCACTCACCAACCCACCAACTCACACACTGGCTCATTCACTCAACAACCCACCAACTCACACACTCGCTGATTCACTCACCAACCCACCCACACTCACTTGCTCATTCACTCACCAACCCACCAACTCACACACTGGCTCATTCACTCAACAACCCACCAACTCACACACTCGCTGATTCACTCACCAACCCACTAACTCACACATTCGCTCATTCACTCACCAACCCACCAACTCACACACTGGCTCATTCACTCACCAACCCACCAACTCACACACTGGCTCATTCACTCACCAACCCACCAACTCACACACTCGCTGATTCACTCACCAACCCACCAACTCACACACTCGCTCATTCACTCACCAACCCACCAACTCACACACTCACTCATTCACTCACCAACCCACAAACTCACACACTCGCTGATTCACTCACCAACCCACCAACTCACACACTCGCTCATTCACTCACCAACCCACCAACTCACACACTCACTCATTCACTCACCAACCCACCAACTCACACACTCGCTCATTCACTCACCAACCCACCCACACTCACTGGCTCATTCACTCACCTACCCACTCATTCATTCACTCACCAATTCGCTCATTCACTCACCAACCCACCCACTCATTCGCTCATTCACTGACCAACCCACCCATCAACGCACCTGCTCATTCACCCACTCACTCACCCACGCATCCAACCGCCCAATAGAGCTACCACCTGTCTGGGTTTCGTCTGTGTTGGACAGGATGCGTGGATGCTCACCGGGGGACCCACAGGGCCTGGAATCCCACGAGGGCCTTGGGCTCCAGGTTTCCCCTAAACGCACACAGCCACGTGCGCACGCAAACACACAAAGTAACACACAAGCGCGCACATACACCAACACACACAAGCAGACAGGAACACTCATAATTACAAACAACAAAGATCCCCCGTATGAATGTTCAACTTATTTTGCACCGTACGGAGCCAACCGTGCTAATCGGAGGTGCGGGGGAAGGACAATAATAAAAAATAAATTTTAAATCTAGACTTAAAAGTTACATAGCTCCAGTGGCTACCTAATATCGGAAGAGTGTTCCAGACGGCCGCAGAAGCGCGTCCGAAAAGCGCTGCGCGATGCGGTGACCGTCTTTATTCGATGGTCAGCCAAAAGATGCTGCTGCTGCAGCTGCTGCTGCAGCTGCTGCTGCAGCTGCTGCTACAGCTGCTGCTGCTGCTGCTGCGAGGATGACCGGAGTTCGCGTGATGATGGTTCACGCACCTTGACGAGATCACCAAAGCTACCGTGGTTCATTTGCGGCAAGCACTGTGTGCGCGCGATGAGTGCGACCTTCACAGTGTACGGCGGCACGGCAGGCTCGCAGCGCACGCACCTTCACACCGGGCTCTCCGCGGTTCCCTTCGATGCCCGGCTTGCCCTCTTCTCCCTGCAGGCAGTCAGTCGGTTTATTTCAGGTCAGGACCGTCGAGCTAATCGTTGTCAACGGCGACCTGAGCAATGCGGCAAAGCACTTCACGTGGGTAGGGAGGGTTTACAGGGGCTGGCATAGCACGGCTGGTATGATGGTAGCCAGCATGTCACATGGGTAGGGAGGGTTTACAGGGGCTGACATAGCACGGCTGGTATGACGGTAGCCAGCGCTTCACATGGGTAGGGAGGGTTTACAGGGGCTGGCATAGCACGGCTGGTATGATGGTAGCCAGCATGTCACATGGGTAGGGAGGGTTTACAGGGGCTGGCATAGCACAGCTGGTATGACAGTAGTCAGCACGTCACATGGGGAGATAGGGTTTACAGGGGCTGGCATAGCACGGCTGGTATGACGGTAGCCAGCATGTCACATGGGTAGGGAGGGTTTACAGAGGCTGGCATAGCACGGCTGGTATGACGGTAGCCAGCATGTCACATGGGTAGGGAGGGTTTACAGGGGCTGGCAAAGCACGGCTGGTATGATGGTAGCCAGCATGTCACATGGGTAGGGAGGGTTTACAGGGGCTGGCAAAGCACGGCTGGTATGATGGTAGCCAGCATGTCACATGGGTAGGGAGGGTTTACAGGGGCTGGCAAAGCACGGCTGGTATGACGGTAGCCAGCATGTCACATGGGTAGTGAGGGTTTACAGGGGCTGGCAAAGCACGGCTGGTATGATGGTAGCCAGTATGTCACATGGGTAGGGAGGGTTTACAGGGGCTGGCATAGCACGGCTGGTATGACGGTAGCCAGCATGTCACATGTGGTTGGCGGTATTTAGTGGCGGTGGTTGGTGGCAGCGGTTGGCAGCGGTTGGCGTACCACGATGCCGTGTGGGCCCCGCGTGCCCGGGTCTCCGTCGATCCCCGTGTCCCCCTGCACACAGACAACGGTCGCACGACGCCCCACACAGGGACGAGTGACCTCTGAACCCGGGAAAGTTCTCCACATCCTCTGAGCCTGCGCCGCTACATTTGATCCCGGTTCTAGATTGAAAGCTCACTTCTTTAGAACTCATTTTTGTGTTTTAGTTTGTTCTTGTCCTTCCCCCCACTCCCCACCACACCTCCGATTAGCACGGTTGGCTACATACGGTGCGAAAGACGTTCAACATACGCTCACCCCGAGCTATAAATTATCTGAAACGTGTGGCATTGTCTTTGTACTGTCCCCACCTTGTGGCGTTATTCTCTGGTCTGACACTGGTGGTGAGACGAGATTCAGATGGTCTCCTTGCGAGGTCGGTGTAACCGCGGCTCGGTTCTGGCTCGGCTCGGCAAATTGCCGGTGGAAAGCTACCAGCACCACGTGGTACGATGGGAGCGAGGACGTTCATACGCACGTACACACGCACGTACGCACGTATGCATGTACACATGCACGTACACACGCACGTACGAATGTACGCACGTACATACGCACGTGCGTACGTGCGTACGCTCTCACAGCGGAGGCGCACCTGGGTGCGACGCAGCGATGCTGTGACCCTGTCTCACCTTGTCTCCCTTGAATCCGTCCCACCCGTCGCTACCCAGCGGGCCACGGGGCCCCTGTTGAACAAAATGAAGGGATACGTTTATATGAATAAAAAAAAAACAAATATTAAGGCATATATATAATTTTTTATAAAGTCTAAAAAAACAAAAAAATATACATAACATTTCAAATAAAAAAATTAAACATTCAAAAAATATATAAAATATTATAAAACGATAAATACATTTCCAATAAAAAGTTACAATATATATATAAAAATGTTGTTACAAAAAAATCCATAAAAATATAACAAAAAATGAATACACTTGGAGGGGAGCAGATGCGCAGCAGTTAGCGCGTCGCGCTCACGGAGTTTGGCGGCGAGCGTGGAGCGAGCGGCACAGCGTTCGCCGCACAAACGCAGAACTTCGCGCGACGCCGTGCCCAGCGGCCACCCCTGGCCACCCCTGGCCACCCCTGGCCACCTCTGGCCACCCCTGGCCACCGCCGCGGCTACGAGGCGTAGGCACGACGGGCCGTCCCGCTTCGCTCGCGGCTGGCGTCGAAGGTGGCGCGTGACGACACGCGCCAGGGCTGGGCCGCCGGCCACCCTGGTCAATACTGCGGCGTGGGTGTTCACCGTAAGTAGAACGCGGTTGTCGCATCCTCGGTACTTATCTATCCGCGGTGTTCCTTCGGCATGCCGATTTTCTCACCGCGTGGGTAAGGAGTTTTGCGTATCCGCGGTTCAGCGCGGTGACCGGCGCTTGCGATTTCAAGTCGCCCCGTAATCGGCGCTCCCACCGTGTATCACCGTCGCATCTCTTGGCACCGCCAGGTGACGGGAGAGAGGGTGGGCAAAGCCTCCCTCCTCCTCCTCCTTCTAACAACCACCTCCCCCATTACCTCGTCCTCATCAACGTCGTATTATTGTTATTATTTTTGTACGTTATTGTGTTTAGTGAATGGGCAACCTCGTTCGGCTTTGGTGAGTGTGACGGCGATTTGCCCGAACACCCAACCCCCCCCCTATTGCCCCCAAGGCCTTGGCATTGCCAACCATGGCGGCTTTCAGTAACCCCCCCCCCCTCCCCGCGCGGTTGGCGAGGGATTGCTGCATATCATCATCATCATTAATCAGATTGTATGTCACAAACAAAAATATAAAACATTCTTTAAGGCAGGGTGAAAATGTGTCTCACCGGCACGCCGTCTCTCCCCGCCTCCCCCTTCTGCCCCTGGGGTCCTGGTGAGCCCTGGAGGGGGGGGAGGGGTTGGGGGGGAGGGATATCACGGCACACGGGGGGTGGCGTCATTCGCCGCTCGAGAGCAGAGGTTCGTGGGGTTTGAATCTGGCAGGGCCACTTGTGTGTGCCGGAATCACGGTCCACGTTCTGCCACATTCGACAAAATGTGATCGTAACGTCCCAACGATTGGAGGGCCGGGTGCCCGGAGTGGGAATCAGAATCTGTATTTACACTGCAGGAGGAATCCGATGAGCTATAAAGCTCTTTTTCACAGATGTCCGGTAGGGGGCACGGGCTAAGAGCGAGCGGCCTCGTGCCGCACAGGGACAGCTGCCACTGGGGTTGCCCGGCCACAGGGGGCCTGGTCCGTGGTGCAGAGGAGCACGGAGCGCGGTTCGTAGATCGCGCTTTCTTTGTACCGTTTGTTGTTGTAACGTTCTGACCTGCCTCCGACTGGACATGTGCGAAAAAGAGCTTTATAGGTCATCGGATTGCTCCAGTAGGATTGTGAGCAGAGATTCTGCCTCCGAGTACCGGCGGAAGAGGAGAGAGCGGCAGGAGGCTACGTCGTTGCCTCGAGCGGCCGTTTTGTTATTGATATTAAAACGAAGCAAATGACGACAGCCGGAGTGGGCAGATTTCCAAGGGCAGCAGCCGCGTCCTCAACAAGAGGATAATCTTCAGAAAATCAGGGCAGGTGGCAACGCAATTTACCGACTGACCGATTGATTAATTCACTCATTGACTCATTCATTCATTCCTACCTCAGCTCCTGGGATGCCAGGAGGTCCCCGTGGGCCAGGCGGACCAGCAGGGCCTTCAACCCCCTGTGGACGTCACGTACACAGAAAAAGATCAAGGTCCCCCATATAGCCTGAACAGGCTGTCAGGGCAAGTGCTCTTCTCGAGCACCTATTAAGGTACAGCGACCACTCCAGGCCGCCTTTGTCTCCCCAGTGGCGATGTTTATACATCACACAAGATACTCACCTGAGGTGAGTCAAATGTTGCTAGCGATCACCTATGAAGGGTGGCATGGCACGCGAGGGGGTGGGTGGCCAGAACCACGCCCGGCCGCCTTTGTCTCCCCAGTGGCGATGTTTGCACAGCGCACCAGCTACTCATTTGAGGCTGAGTCGACCAGAGGGGGAGGCCCAGGACCGGTTCAGATTTTCGTCACCGATGTTGGCTGTGAGCGGGAATCGAATGCGACAAGCCACACCATGTTGTGGAAAATTGAAAAGTGTCTGTATTAAGGATAGACTCGACCTTGCCATAGAAATGTGGAATTTCCACCACTGGCTCTGCAGGGCTGAAAACAGGAGTTGAGCACCAATGACTCAATGCTTATTGGGGAGCCGCAGTGGCTAAGAGATGTTATCTCCCTCGCCTGGTATGCAGGAGGTCGTGGGCTACATCCCAACCCCGACGTCTGTATATTTGGAGTTTGCGTGTCTCTCTCCCCGTGGTCGCAGGGATGTTTTTCTCCCAGTCCTCCCCTCCACATTTAGAATCGACGCGCGTTCCGATTGTTTGCCTGCTGCTGCTATAAATATCCACACGACAACGATAAGCCGCTTTGTTGAGCTGTCACTTGCGATAGCCAGGGTGCTTCTGCAAAAACAGATCTCGATAAGCTCGGTGGGGCCCTTACCTGGGAAAATAAAAAAGTGGAAAAAAAACATTGACCTTCGACCCTGACTCGTTAAACCACGCGGCAAACGCGCCCCCCCCCCCCTTGCGTGACCCCGCCAGCGCCAGGGGGGCCTCTCACCGGGGGCCCTGGCTTCCCCTTGGCTCCCGCGTCCCCCTTGGGTCCCCGAGGGCCCACATCCCCCTTGGGGCCATCCGCTCCGGCGGCCCCTAGCCCTCCGAGCGATCCCTGTGAGTGAGCGCAAACAACAACAACAACAGCGACGACGACGATGTCGCCTCCCCTACACTGCCCATAGACTCAACACTGCCCATAGACTCAACACTGCCCATAGACTCAACACTGCCCATAGACTCAACACTGCCCATAGACTCAACACTGCCCATAGACTCAACACTGCCCATAGACTCAACACTGACCATAGACTCAACACTGCCCATAGACTCAACACTGCCCATAGCCTCAACACTACCCATAGACTCAATACTGCCAATAGACTCAACACTGCCAATAGACTCAACACTGCCCATAGACTCAACACTACCCATAGATTTTGATTTAAAGCTTTCGTGATTGCAGTGCTTCATGTTCTTGGTTCTTTCGGTAAAGTCACGTTGAAGGGAAACAATAAAATAATAAAATATATATAAAACAATAAAATATACCTAAAACAATAATATAAAACAATATATATTTTATTATTGTATTGTTTCCCTTCAACGTATGTTTACCGAAAGAATCAAGAATATACTACCCTTAGAATCAACACTACCCATAGACTCAACACTACCCATAGACTCAACACTACCCATAGACTCAACACTACCCATAGACTCAACACTACCCATAGACTCAACACTACCCATAGACTCAACACTACCCATAGACTCAACACTGCCCATAGACTCAACACTGCCCATAGACTCAACACTGCCCATAGACTCAACACTACCCATAGACTCAACACTGCATCATCGACTCAGCACCGCTGAGTCTATGGGACGAATTCTTCGGGGGTGGGGGGGGGGCTGTGAGCGACGCCGCACTGTGGACGGACTAGCGGGCCGAGGTAAAACCTTACGCGGGCTCCTCCTCTCCCAGGCTCGCCGTTGTCTCCACGCACGCCACGTGTGCCCTGCCACAAGGAAGGCAAAGACAAAGGTCACCCACGCGGCCCGCACAGACGGTTGGAGCAAGCGCTGTTGGCGGACACCTCTGAAGGCCGGCACGGCACAAGAGGGGGGGGGGGTGGTGGCCAAGACCACGCCAGACCGCATTTGTATCCCCATTGCCGATGTTTATACACCGCGAAAAACGCTCGTTTACAGCCGAGTCCAGAGGAGAGGTTCAGGATAATGTCTGTGAGGTCTATGGGACTCTATATGAACCTATGGCTCTCTAATGTGAGTCAATTCTTCAATGTAAGTCTATGGGTCTCTGTGTAAGCCTAGGGACCTCTACGTGAACCTCTGGGTCTCTAAATAAGTATATCGGTCTCTCTGTGAGTCTAGGAGTCTCTCTGTGAGTCTACGGGGGGTTTCTATGCGGGTCTTTGGGTCTCTATCGCGAGTCACGGGTAACTGGGATGAGACAACACTTGAGAAGCCGGTTTAATGACAGTGCTTGGGCGGCTGAAACTATTGAAACTAACTAAACTTAACTATTTTCTATTTTATTTAACAAGCTAAGGCCCCACTGAGCTATGTAGCGCTTTTTCAGAAGCGATCTGGCTATCACAAATGATAGCTCAACGAATTGGCTTGTCGTCGTGTGGAAATTAATTGCAGCCAAATACTCCAAACGCGTGATGATGTTAATTCTAAATGTGGAGGGAAAAGCCGGAGGACCCGGAGAAAAGTCCACGCGATCACGGGGAGAGAGAGACACACAAACTCCAAATATACAGCAGCAGCAGCAGGTGTCAGGGTCGGGATCGAACCCACGACCTCCTGTATACCAGGCGAGGTAGTTAACATCTCTTGTTCTAACCCGTGGACCTCAGTCGTGCCAGCTCACCATCTCCATGCTCTGAGCACACGGGCACCCCTTGCGTCTCAACGTGGTTACAAAAGACACAGCGTGAGCGAGTGAATGGGGCCGTGGGTCCTCACCGAGAGTCCGGCGGCTCCAGTCGGTCCCGAGGTTCCGTCTGGCCCCACGTCGCCCTGACGCACGCGGCACACACACGGCACACACACACACACGTGGATGTCCTAGGGCGGTACACGATACAAGGCCGCACCCGTTACACACAAAGTGCCTGCCATTAATGAGCCGCAATACCTTGCTGATCTCGTCAAGAGGCATAAACCACCATCACGCAAACTCCGGTCGTGATGCCTTCTCCACAAGAGCACGGCGGCGAGATGTTAACGACCTCGCCTGGTATGCAGTTGGTCGTGGGTTCAATCGCGACCCTGACACCTGCTGTATATTTGGATGCTCTCCCCGTGGTTGCGTGGATTTTTTTCCAGGTCCTCTGGGTTTTCCCTCCACATTTAGAATCAACACATGTTCAGAGTATTTGCCTGATGTACATTTCCACGTGATAAGCCACTACGTTGAGCTATCATTTGTGGCCAGGTCGCTTCTGAATAAGGGCTATGTAGCTCAGTGGGCCTAACCTAGTAAAATAAAACATAGTTGGGTTTTAATAGATCCTGCGAAAACCAGACCAGGTCGCAACTTGATCCCCTACGCACTCACTAACTACACAATCACCTTCTCACTCACTCACTTACACGTAACAAAAATCGCCATTCTTCACTCGGTGGCACTTTCAGGCCACGTGAAGTGCTGAAGGCTCACTGACAGCCCACGGGACAGTCCCAGGTGCCATGGGTTTATGGAGACGACCAGCAGATACACCACCTGTGCCCGCTAACTCATACACACCCATCTAATCACTCGCCCACCCATCTACTCACTCAACAATTCACTCGCCCACCCATCCACTCACTCAACCATTCACTCACTCACACACTCAACCACATACCCACCCACCCATCCACTCACTCGCGGGGAGACAGACAGACATCCCAGGACAGCAGCTGCCTCCTCCACCGGAGGAAAAACCAGGACCTGCGGCCACCAGTGGTTCGACGTCAACTCGGCGCTCGTTCACTTTCCGTACCTTGTCTCCCGTGTTTCCCTCCTTCCCCTCCGAGCCTCGCTCACCAAGGGGGCCCTGGACAGATGTTGCAATGAAATGATTAACAAACCAGCACGGGCGATCCCTCCAAAAGCAATGCCTCCTGCCCGCTGCCCTCTGTAACCTCGACAGAATGTGAGCAGAATTCCGTTCCGTGTACCCACACCTAAACACGCGTATCCAATTGAGTCCATCGGCCATTGGCTCTCCACGGCAACACTACCAGATCGTATTTAGCCAAGCCAAAGCCCGGTACCGGTTTTCAAGTGCCGGGTCTCGTCAGCTCGTTCAACAAATGGCCGCTTTATGTAAACAAAAGCTGCAAGTGGCTCAGCAGCCACCACGGCTGTTTTTTTTTTACACCGTAGAAACCGTGCCGTGTCATTGACGCCAAGTGCGGTGAACGAGCGGAGGCGCGCGTGGGTGACGCGGTGATGCCGCATCCTCGGTGTGCACTGACCGGCGTCGTAGGGTACGAGCCATCATCTCGGCCCCGAGCCAGATTCGGACATCCCGTGAGGGCAGCGCATCGTGGTTTGGTTCTGACTCATGTAGCCTGCGTGAGCTTAACGGTGGCGAACCGCACGTACAATCGTGCACTCTGCTACATGTTGCTGTGATTGCTATGGCAGAGCCAGGTGCGTTTTTTAAATAATAATTGAAGTTCGATGGTGATCAGAGATAAGGGACCCCAAGCATCACGTGCACAGCAGGCCGAGCCCAGCAGTGTGTAGACCATTCAGAGTACGGGGCCCACCCAGCAGTGTGTAGACCATTCAGAGTACGGGGTACACCCAGCAGCGTGTAGACCATTCAGAGTACGGGGCCCACCCAGCAGTGTGTAGACCATTCAGAGTACGGGGCACACCCAGCAGTGTGTAGACCATTCAGAGTACGGGGCACACCCAGCAGTGTGTAGACAATTCAGAGTACGGGGCACACCCAGCAGCGTGTAGACCATTCAGAGTACGGGGCACACCCAGCAGTGTATAGACAATTCAGAGTACAGGGCACACCCAGCAGTGTGTAGACCATTCAGAGTACGGGGCACACCCAGCAGTGTGTAGACAATTCAGAGTACGGGGCACACCCTGCAGCGTGTAGACCATTCAGAGTACGGGGCACACCCAGCAGTGTGTAGACCATTCAGAGTACGGGGTACACCCAGCAGTGTGTAGACCATTCAGAGTACGGGGCACACCCAGCAGCGTGGAGACCATTCAGAGTACGGGGCCCACTCAGCAGTGTGTAGACCATTCAGAGTACAGGGCACACCCAGCAGTGTGTAGACCATTCAGAGTACAGGGTACACCCAGCAGTGTGTAGCTCAAATAGCGCCCGTGGCTCCGTTTGGATCGTGCCAACGGAAAAGCGGCATGAGGCTGAGGTGGGGTGTGCCGGGTGATTTGGTGCCGGCAGCTTAATGGCGGAGGGAGGAGAGGGACGTACGGGGAGCCCCAGGGGTCCGCTTGCTCCGCTTGACCCCTGCAGTCCAGGCTGACCCTGGGGGGGGGGGGGGGGGGCGGTGGGAAATCACAACCGAGGTCACAAAGACAAAGATTCCCCGTGTAGCCTTTCATAGGCTGCCGGGAGCAAAGTGCCGTTAGGGAGCACCTATGAAGGCCGGCACGGCACATGAGGGGGTGGTGTGCGGGCAATACCATGCCCGGCCGCCTTTGTCTCCCCGGTCCTGAGGTTTTGAGGCTGAGCCAACCGAGGCGAGGGCCAGGAGCGGTTCACACAAACGCCACTGTCGTTGTGCGCGAGCCACCGTCCTCGCAGCGCCGCACGCCAACCACCGCGCCACCACTCACCACGCACCAATCCGTGAGCTCCATACAAAGCCACCCCCCGCCCCCCCCCCCGTGTAGCCTTCGCAGACTTTTTGGGGTGCAAGCGCTGTTTGCTAGCGCCACCACCCATATGAAGGCCGGCACGGCGCACGAGCGGGTGGGTTGCCAGCACCACCGCGCCCGACCGACTTTGTCTCTCCAGTATCCTGCTGTAGCCCCTCGCCCCCCCCTGTGCCCCCCCCCCATACCCCGTGCCCCCCGTGGCTGCCCCCTCGTACCAGCAATCCCCGGTTGCCTTTCTCGCCCTTGGGACCAGTCTCCCCCGGGCTTCCCATCGTTCCCATGTGGCCAACAGAGCCCGGAGGGCCAATCTGCCCGGGCGGACCCTGAGAGGGGCAGAGAGAGACAGAGAGACGAGAGACATGGTGAGGCCTTGAGTCACACACCAATGATCTCAATGCCGGTGAAATCTCACCGTTGCAAAACGTCAAGCGGCTGACTTCTGATTTATCCAATTCTGTTCGCTTTCTAACAGGTGGTTGTGCCATGGGTGGATTGGTCACCACCATGGGAATGTGGAATTACCACGGCTGACTTTCTTCTTCAACCTATGGTATCAACCGACATTTTTAGACATGGTGATCCGCATGCTTCATTAATCGTGAAAATATTTCACCCGGAAAATCTCCTGGGGGGGTGGTACATCTCGTCGGCAACGTACGCACAAGTTTAACTTCCTCTGCGCCGTACGTAGGCAGCCGTGCTAATGACGAAGAGCCCACATCTCGGTGGGGTTTTATCAGGTTTAAGTCAAGATCTTTATATATATTTCGTGAAGAGCGACGTTATTAGGTTGCACTGAACGTGAAATTATTTCTCTCTCATTTACAAATATTCGAACTCGGCAAGCTCAGTAGGAAAAATAAAAAAGGTGTTTTATTCTTTCTGGCAATAAAACAGGAGGCATTATGACGTTCAAACACCAACTAGAAACATTTTGCAATGAATCAAGTTCCTGCATTAACCACACGCAGTGCTTGTGAACATGCAAACAAACTTTATCAGATAATATATGTGCATTGTCTTTGAAACTGATGGGCCTCCACCAGAGACTGCAGTCTTCTTGATCAGTTTCAAAGACAATGCATCATATATATTATCAGATAAAGTTTGTTTGCATGTTCACCACAAGCACTGCGTGTGTGGTTAATGCAGGAACTCGATTTGGCGATTGAACATCTTAACACCGCCTGTTTTATTGCCAGAGAGGGTAAAACACATTCTTACTTTTCACACTTTGATACGGAAAAAAAAAAGTATCCCGTGATACCAGCAAGCCCAGCATGCACGGTGCCCGGGCGTGGAAGCCGCAGCCACGCTGGGGGGAGGGAGAGAGAGGAGATCTCTTTTTGCCGTGGAGTTTCTTTCCGCTTTTGCGTGTCTCCTCTTGTCCGAGCGTTCCGTGTGTGCGGGGGGGGGGGGGGGGGGTGCCGCCGTGTGTTCAGGGCTACCTTCTCTCCACGTGGACCCTGGGGTCCAGGTTGGCCTCCCGGTCCGCTCGCGCCCTGCAAAACACCACGACAAAAGGTCCCCAACCGTGCAGTCGCGCTGGTTAGGAGATGTTAACTCGCTCGCCTGCTATGCTAGTTAATTACACCGGGCGTAAGGCCCCGCTGAGCTGGGCAGCTCGTTTTCAGAAGCGCCCTGGCCATCACAATTGATAGCTCAGCGAAGTGGGCTCATCGTCGTCGTGGGGAAATGTATGATGGCGGCAGCCAGAAAACTGGAAACGCGGGGAGAGAGAGAGGCAGACTCCAAATATATAGCAGGTGTCAGGGTCGGGATCGAATCCACGATCTCCTGTACACCAGGCGAGGGAGTAACATCTCCTAGCCACCGTGATGATGATGAGAGAGAGACGCAGACTCCAAATATACAGCGGCAGGCGTCAGGGTCAGGATCGAACCCACGACCTCCTGTACACCAGGCGAGGGAGTAACATCTCCGAGCCACCGAGGTGCAGGAGGTCGTGGATTTGACCCCGACCCTGACGCCTGCTATTTGTGTGTCTCTCTCTCTCCCCGTGGTCGCGTGGAGTTTTCTCCGAGTCCTCCGGTTTTCCCCTCCACATTTAGAATGGACGTCGCGCGTTTAGAGTATTTGACTGCTTTAAACTTACGCATGATGAGCAACTGCGTTGAGCTATCATTCGTCATAGCAAGGTCGCTTCTGAAAAAAAGCTACATAGCTCAGTGGGACTTGACGTCTGGTAAAATAAAAAAAGTTTAGTTTCGTGGAGCATGCATCAGACTGTCGTGGCGAGCGCCGCTAGCCAGTAGCAGAACCTACGAAGGCCCGGCACGGAACAACGAGGAGGGCGGAGCGGCCGGTACCTCGCCCGGCCACCTTTGTCTCCCCAGTGCTGATGATTACTACACACCGCACCAGGTACCCCCTACGAGCCGCGACGATGATGCCGGGGGGGGTGGGGGCTGGGGGGATCTTTGCCTTTGCAAGGTCCCCGTGTGGGGGTACCAACAAAACCGATCGCTGCTCAGAGCCTCACCTCTCTCCCTGGGGCTCCCGACGTCCCCTGTGGGCCCACCCTCCCCTGCTCTCCGCCGTCCCCTTTGGGAGCCGGCGGGCCCCGGCTCCCGCGCTCCCCCTTGTCTCCCTGCGGCCGGGCAGACGGGCAGAATGAAAACAAGCTGGCCGCAGCAGTAGACGGGCGAGCCTCCGCTTTGTTGACGCTCCGTACGTACGTCGCCGGATGTTGAACTTCTTTTGCACCGCACGTGGCCAACCGGGCTCATCGAAGGTGCGGCGGAAGGGCAACAAACTAAACACAACAAAGCAGTTCTCAAGCCATCAGTTTGTCAATCTAGACGATGATGATGATTTAAAAGTGCACAGCTCCAGTGGCTTCCTGATATCGGAAGGGCGTTCCAGACGGCCATAGGAGCGCATCTGTAAGCGCCGAGCAATGCGGCGACCACCATCTTTGTACGATGGCGAGCAAAAGGTGTCGATGAAAACTTTTTTTGTTACAAAACGTTGAGACACAAGATAGAGCGAATGCACACGAGGCGGCGGCCTTTCTCTTCCCAGTGATCGTGTCGACACATCACGCAAGATACGCACTTGAGGCCGAGTCAGACCTAGGGGAGGCCCAGGACCGGCCGTGAGCGGGAACCCAACTCGGGTGGCCAGGTTTTGCGGCGCGGCTCGCGAACTGCGCCACCACCGCTGCCCCCTGAACACTGGGTACCCATGGTACAAAGACAAACAAAAACTCCTCCGCATAGCCTTAACAGACTGTAGGGGCAAGTGCTGTTAGCGAGTAGCACGTATGAAGGCCGGGATGGCACACGAGGGGTTGGGTGGCCAGGACCACGCCCGGCCGCCTTTGTCTCTCCAGTGGCGATGTTTACACACAGTGCCAGGTACTCATTTGAGTCCGAGTCGACACGCACAGACAGACACACACACAGACAAGAACAACAATCGCCATTCACCACTAAGTGGCGGTAACGTCACCACGACGCTTGTGCCAGGCCATGTGCACCTTGAGGCCACGTGAAGTGTCGAACGCCCGCTGGCAGGAGGTCATGGGGCAGACCCAGGTGCTATGGGTCGACTGAGATCATTGGCTGATGCACCACCTTTGCCCCTTACTGTGCCAACCTGCTGTGCTTTAGCCACCCGGCGCTCCGCTCGTTGTTGTGAGCGTCGCTCCTCCGCCCTCCGTTGTTGTTGGAGGGCGACTGCCTCCAACTGCCCAGTAGCGTCCTTCACGAGCCTCCTCCACAGAGGCCGATCTTGACACCGCTGGTACCAGTCATCGGCAAGTCCACTCAGCTCCACGTCCTCCTGTACCACGTCACTCCATCTCTTCTCTAGCCCGTGCCGCGCCCGTTTAGCCACCTCGATCCGGCCGAACAAAAGCTGTTTTGGCATGCGGTGGCTGGGCAAGCGAGCTACATGACCCAGCCAACGCAGCCTTGCCTGCCGGAGGAGCTCACCGATGGGACCTTGCCCAGATCTTTCAAGGATTTGTGTGCTCCTCACACAATCCATCCTGGTTAAACCAAGGATGGATCGTAGGCAGGCTAGCCTAAATGTTTCTAACCGGCGAATATGTTTCATTAAGGGGGTCCACAGACAGACACACACAGACAGACACACACAGACAGACACACACACACAGACACAACAACAACAACAACCGCCATTCGCCACTAAGTGGCGGTGACGTCACCACGACGCTTGTGCCAGGCTATGTGCACCCTGAGGCCACGTGAAGTGTCGAACGCCCGCTGGCAGGAGGTCACGGGGCAGACCCAGGTGCCACGGGTCGACTGACTGAGATGACTGGCTGATGCACCACCTGTGCCCCCTACTGTGCCAACCTGCTGTGCTTTAGCCACCCGGCGCTCCGCTCGCTGTTGTGAGCGTCGCTCCTCCGCCCTCCGTTGTTGTTGGAGGGCGACTGCCTCCAACTGCCCAGTAGCATCCTTCACGAGCCTCCTCCACAGAGGCCGATCTTGACACCGCTGGTACCAGTCATCGGCAAGTCCACTCAGCTCCACGTCCTCCTGTACCACATCACTCCATCTCTTCTCTAGCCCGTGCCGCGCCCGCTTAGCCCCCTCAATCCGGCCAAACAAAAGCTGTTTCGGCATGCGGTGGCTGGGCATGCGGGCTACATGACCCAGCCATCGCAGCCTTGCCTGCCGGAGGAGCTCACCGATGGGACCCTGACCAGATCTTTCAAGGATTTGTGAGCTCCTCACACAATCCAGTCTGGTTAAACCCAGGATGGATCGTAGGCAGGTCAGCCTAAATGTTTCTAACCGGCGAAGATGTTCCATTAGGGGGGTCCACGTTTCGCAAGCGTAGAGAAGGGAGGGAATGACCGTGGCCGAGAAGACCTGAAGCTTAGTGCGGAGCGACAGACCAGGTAGCTTCCACACAGCGTTACGCAACCGATGGAAAGATATTGCCGCTCGACTGATTCGGAGTGAGACCTCTGCTGTTAAACTGGAGCCAGTCATAAGCACACTGCCCAGGTATGGGAAACTCTCCACTCTCTCCACAACTGCCCCATCACCGATTGGGAGTTGTGGGGGTGGAGTGTCCGATGGTACAAAATACCCAGGCAGGTGCTTAGTTTTGGTGGGGCTGATGGTAAGGCCCCACCTCTTAGTGGCACGCTCCAGTCTCAGCAGCAGCGTCTGCAACTCCTCCTCTGACTGAGCAGCTATTACCAAGTCATCAGCATACATAACGTGGTTGAGCAATAGGGAGCCATCCCTTGACCGCACCCGGGCATCGATTAGCCTCCCATTATATCTGTACCATATGGAGATTCCCCCGGTACAGCTATTGAAGGCTTCACGAACTACGTGGTCAAAATAGATGTTAAATAATGTGGGAGCCAGAGGACATCCCTGTCGCACCCCAAGGTGTACAGGGAATGGCTCTGACTCCCGGCCACGTAGTTTTACCCGGGCCCGCTCACCATCATGAAGGTCCTTAATGATCGTGAGCAGAGGGTCAGGTACTCCAAAAGCACGAAGAACGACCCAGAGCCCAGGCCTACTGATGGTATCATAGGCCTTGACCAGGTCAATAAAGCAGAGATGTAGGTCTTGTTGGAATTCCCTACACCTCTGCTGTAGCAGACGGACAGAAAATATGGCATCTGTGCAGGACCGCCCTTTCCTGAAACCGCATTGGGGCTCCGCAAGCCTCTCCTCAGCGTGCCTGGCAAGGCGATGCTGAATAATCCTTGCCAGGACCTTTCCCGGCACACTGAGGAGTGAGATGCCCCTGTAGTTGTTACAGTCTGTGCGGTCCCCCTTCTTAAAAAGGGGGACCACCAGGGCATCCTTCCAATCCTGCGGAACCCGTCCAGTGGTCCAGACTGTTGTTATGATGTCATATAGGGCAGTCTGTGCACAAACGCCACCCTCCCTCAGCATTTCGCTTGGGAGATCATCTCTGCCCGCTGTCTTTCCTGGTCTCAGACTCCGGATCGCCTTCAATACTTCCTCAGCAGATGGCACCTCAGCCAGCCACTCACAGGGGGTGACTTCATCCAATATTTGAGGCACCGCAGCCTCAGCAGGGTCATCCTCACTTTGTGCCACGATGTTTTCCTGGCTGTGGGATTTTCCCTCCCCCAGGACCTCACAGAAATGCTCAGCAAATCTGCGAACCTGTTCCTGGGGGTCGGAAATTGGATCACCGTTTTTTCCCCTAATGATGGTAATAGGTGTGGCGCTGCAGGTTACTTTTTTGATGGAGTTAAATAGCGATTTGTGATCACGGGCCACTGAGGCAGACTCCATCTCCTCAGCAACCCGCGACCACCACCCATCCTTGCAGCGCCTCACGGCTCTCCGAACCTCCGAGCGAAGGCTGCGGTAAGCCTCCTCATTCTCTGACGTGGGATTCTGTAGCCGATGACAGTGGGCCTGTCGCTTTTTCTCAACCATCCTGAACAACTCCTCTGTCATCCAGGGTGTCTGGGGAGGTCTGGACCGCGTACCCAAAGCAGCCATTGCAGCTGCATGAGTCACAGTCCTAAACCTCGCCCATTTACCCTCGACATCAGGAGGAGTCGGGGACGATGCCAATCCCAGCCGCAAGCGATGATGAAATTCTCGCTTGCAACTTTCATCAGATAACTGAGACCAGGCCACTTTAGGTTGGAATGGGGTCCTGGGTGTACACCCACCACCGGAGTGGAAGAATGGCAGGCGCATCTTACAGATGACTAGTCGATGGTCAGAGGGCAGATCAGCTCCACGGTAGGTCCTGGTGTCAAGGACATGGGCTCGCATTCGCTGGTCCGTCACTATGTAGTCCAGCAGATGTTCTTGCTTGGACCCGGCATGCATCCATGATGTTGTGTGGATGCGCCGATGCCGGAACAGCGTGTTGGTAATTACAAGCCCATGGGCTGCACAAAAATCTAGCAGCCTCCTACCATTGTTATTGAGCTGATCTGGCCCATGCCCTCCAATCACTCCAGACCAGGTGCCAGTATCATGACCAACTCGGGCATTGAAGTCACCCAACATGATGACTCTATCCCGAGGGGCCACTTTAGCCAGCACCTGTGACAGGAGGTCATAGAAGGCATCTGACTCATCGGCTTTGCCTGCATCCCTCCACGGATGTTCATCTTCGGTGGGGGCATAAGTAACCACGACCACCATTCCTCGCCTCCGGTTGATGGGAAGGCGAGCCCAAAGTAGCCTGGGGCTTACAGCTTCCCACACCTCACCGCCACGCTCCCACGCCCCCTTCATTCTTTTGTTCAAAAGAAGACCCACACCCTGTTGTTTGGCAGTCTGCTGCCCCGAGTAGAGGACTGTCCACCCCTCATGGTGGCAGGAGCCAGAGCCGGTCCACCGGACCTCCTGAATGCCGCATAGATCCAGGCGGTACCGGTCCAGCTCCCGACAGAGGAGTGGCAGCCTCTCCTCTGCAGTGAGCGTTCGAACATTCCACGTGGCCACCCGTAGTGGCTTTTCGTTGTTTCTGGAGTAGCCCCGAGGGTAGGTATTCAATCTCCTGGCTCCGCCAATTGGGGTTTGGCCAGGAGACGTCATAGACGCCTGGCCCCCCGGGGCCTCCGGCACAAGCTTAGTTGTTACATATTTCACTTTAATTCGTGGTTTTGTGGTAATTAATTGAAGGTGGAGGGGTTACCAGCCCCTCGCACCCGTCCAGAGCCCCCGTTTAGCCCCTGTGGTGGACACATATGCCATGAGGGGAGGAGCCAATCAAAATTGGAACTCCCCCCACAGCACTGTCCACGACAGAGTTGCCCGTCCGGCACCGCGAGGAGGTAGGGGGTTGTTTTGCCGGACACACACACAGACAGACACACACACAGACACACACACACAGACAGACACACACACAGACACGCACAGATTTTAGGCACAGTAAACAGCTGACAGAGATTTGCGCGACATCCAGAGAGTAAATACCAGAGGTCCTTTAGATCCCGTCTCTCCTTTCACCCCATCTCCACCGGGAAGGCCCTAGACGGGAAGACACGGACAGAAGGCCTCACTGAGTCTCAAGACTCGGCAACTGGAGGGCGCTTGCTCCAAACGAAACCAGAGAGCCAGGCCAGGCATGGGGGGCCCCATTTGCTCACCGAGGGCCAAACGGGACTTTCAAGTTCCTTTCTAGCGAGCAAGACAGAGATTCCACCCCCGTATAGCCTCTGATTGGCACGGTAGCCTACGTACGGTGGCGAAAGAAGTTCAACACGCGCACGCAACGCGTATGCACGTGCGAAGAAAGCGCCCAACATAACGCTGGAAGTCAAACAGCTCGCTCGCTCGTGACGAATGAGCCTGTGGTGGATTAAAGTCCCTCCCAGGCGCGGTTCGTCCAATAGGAGCGTTGGGGCGCCACGGTAGCTAGGAGATGTTAACTCCCTCGCCCGATATGCAGGAGGTCGTGGGTTCGATGCCGACCCTGACGCCTGCTGCTGCTGTATATTTGAAGTTTGCGTGTCTCTCTCTCTCATCATCATCACGGTGGCTAGGAGATGTTAACTACCTCCCCTGGTATACAGGAGGTCGTGGGTTCGATCCCGACCCTGACGCCTGCTGCTGCTGTATACTGCTGCTGCTGTATACTACTGCTGCTGCTGTATGCTGCTGCTGCTGTATATTTGGAGTTTGTGTCTCTCTCTCCGTGGTCGCGTGGATTTTTCTCTGGGTCCTCCGTTTTTTCCCCTCCACATTTAGAATCATGTACTTAGAGCATTTGGCTGCAATAGATGTCCACGTGATGATGACGACGATGATCCACTCCGTTGAGCTACCATCTCTTGCAGGCGCGGTTCGTCCACTAGCAGCTGGAGGTGAGAAATTATTTTTCTACTAAAAATATTTTTACATAAATTGTTTTGATGTGTTAAAATATAATGATTCTTTCAAGTTGTTCACATTATAAAGTGCTGCAACGTCACAGTCTGTCCCTCGGGGAGGTCTCGGGGCGACTGTGATAGCGTCCCAGTGAGAGATCTCCAACAACATCATCTCCCGTCTTCAGTGCAAGGAAGACAACAACAACATCTCCCGTCTTCAGTGCAAGGAAGACAACAACAACATCTCCCGTCTTCAGTGCAAGGAAGACAACAACAACATCTCCCGTCTTCATTGCGAGGAAGACAACAACAACAACATCTCCCGTCTTCAATGCAAGGAAGACAACAACAACATCTCCCGTCTTCAGTGCGAGGAAGACAACAACAACAACATCTCCCGTCTTCAGTGCAAGGAAGACAACAACAACATCTCCCGTCTTCAGTGCAAGGAAGACAACAACATCTCCCATCTTCGCGAGGAAGACAACAACAACATCTCCCGTCTTCAGTGCGAGGAAGACAACAACAACATCTCCCGTCTTCAATGCAAGGAAGACAACAACAACAACAACAACAACATCTCCCGTCTTCAGTGCGAGGAAGACAACAACAACAACATCTCCCGTCTTCAGTGCAAGGAAGACAACAACAACAACATCTCCCGTCTTCAGTGCAAGGAAGACAACAACATCTCCCATCTTCGCGAGGAAGACAACAACAACATCTCCCGTCTTCAGTGCGAAGAAGACAACAACAACATCTCCCGTCTTCAGTGCGAGGAAGACAACAACAACAACAACAACATCTCCCGTCTTCAGTGCAAGGAAGACAACAACAACATCTCCCGTCTTCAGTGCAAGGAAGACAACAACAACAACATCTCCCGTCTTCAGTGCAAGGAAGACAACAACAACATCTCCCGTCTTCAGTGCAAGGAAGACAACAACAACAACATCTCCCGTCTTCAGTGCAAGGAAGACAACAACATCTCCCATCTTCGCGAGGAAGACAACAACAACATCTCCCGTCTTCAGTGCGAAGAAGACAACAACAACATCTCCCGTCTTCAGTGCGAGGAAGACAACAACAACAACAACATCTCCCGTCTTCAGTGCAAGGAAGACAACAACAACATCTCCCGTCTTCAGTGCAAGGAAGACAACAACAACAACATCTCCCGTCTTCAGTGCAAGGAAGACAACAACAACATCTCCCGTCTTCAGTGCAAGGAAGACAACAACAACAACATCTCCCGTCTTCAGTGCAAGGAAGACAACAACATCTCCCGTCTTCAGTGCAAGGAAGACAACAACAACATCTCCCGTCTTCAGTGCGAGGAAGACAACAACAACATCTCCCGTCTTCAGTGCAAGGAAGACAACAACAACAACAACATCTCCCGTCTTCAGTTACTGCGATGAACTTCGCTGTGTAGCCACGCCGCTTGAGACTCATTCAGGGCGGTGAAAAAGGCGCCCATGGATGTAGTGAAGATGTCACAACGCGATGGTGCGCCGTGCCAATAGAGCAGCGACATCGCTCACCTGCTCCCCGTCGAGCCCGGCCACTCCTGGATCCCCGGGGGGGCCCCGTCCTCCCTGGCGGGCGGAGGGACAAACGAGGATGAGAAGGGGGACAGAGCGAGCGGAGTTTACCCCGCCAAATTCTTCTGCGTCGTCAGGAACGTACGTACGTGTGTTGAACTTGCTTGGTTGGCTACGTACGGTGGGCAGTGTTGAGTATATGGGCAGTGTTGAGTCTATGGGCAGTGTTGAGTCTATGGGCAGTGTTGAGTCTATGGGCAGTGTTGAGTCTATGGGCAGTGTTGAGTCTATGGGCAGTGTTGAGTCTATGGGCAGTGTTGAGTCTATGGGTAATGTTGAGTCTATGGGCAGTGTTGAGTCCATGGGCAGTGTTGAGTCTATGGGCAGTGTTGAGTCTATGGGCAGTGTTAGTCTATGGGCAGTGTTAGTCTATGGGGAGTGTTAGTCTATGGGCAGTGTTGAATCTATGGGCAGTGTTGAGTCTACGGGCAGTGTTGAGTCTATGGGCAGTGTTGAGTCTATGGGCAGTGTTAGTCTATGGGGAGTGTTAGTCTATGGGCAGTGTTGAATCTATGGGCAGTGTTGAGTCTATGGGCAGTGTTGAGTCTATGGGCAGTGTTGAGTCTATGGGTAATGTTGAGTCTATGGGCAGTGTTGAGTCCATGGGCAGTGTTGAGTCTATGGGCAGTGTTGAGTCTATGGGCAGTGTTGAGTCTATGGGTAGTGTTGAGTCTATGGGCAGTGTTGAGTCTATGGGTAATGTTGAGTCTATGGGCAGTGTTGAGTCTATGGGCAGTGTTGAGTCTATGGGCAGTGTTGAGTCTATGGGCAGTGTTAGTCTTTGCGTTTCTATGGGTCTTTGAGTCTTTGTGCATCTCTATTAGTCTGGATCTCTATGGGTATCTATGAGTCTCTGTGCGTCTCTGTGAGTCTGGATCTCTATGGGTATCTATGAGTCTCTGTGCGTCGTTATCCGCTGTTACGGTCTGTTCAGGACCACCGCTGCTACTGGAGAGTGTTTAAAGTTTCCATTTGTGATGTTAATGTCGTGGTAGTTGTTGTTGTGGTTATTGTTGTTGTGATTGTTGTTGTCGTTCTATTACCACATCTCCCTTGTCTCCAGGTTGGCCGTCCAGACCGGGGTCACCTTGTTCACCCTACACACACGGCACACACACACACGGCATGAACACACAGACACACGGCACGCATGCACACACACGGCGTGAACACACACACGGCACACACGCACACAGCATGAACACACAGACACACGGCACGCATACAGACACACGGCATGAACACACACACGGCACGCACACGGCATGAACACACAGACACACGGCACGCATGCACACACACGGCATGCAAACACACATACGGCATGCACACACACGGTATGCACACATACACGGCACACACGCACACAGCATGAACACACACACGGCACGCACACGGCACGCATACACACACATGGCACACACGCACATAGCATGAACACACAGACACACGGCACGCATACAGACACACGACATGAACACACACACGGCGCGCACACGGCATGCACACACACACACGGCACACACACACACACGGCATGAACACACAAACACACGTCACACACACACACGCGGCACACACACGGCATGAACACACAGACACACGGCACACACACACAGCATGAACACAGACACACGGCATGCATACAGACACACGACATGAACACACACACGGCGCGCACACGGCATGCACACAGACACACGGCACGCATGCACACACACACGGCACGCACACAGCATGCACACACACACACGGCACGCATACAGACACGACATGAACACACAGACACAAGGCACACACAAGGCACGCACACACACACAGCACACATACACATGGCATGAACACACACAGCACATACACACACACGGCATGAACACACAGACACACGGCACACACATACACACGCACACACACACACGGCACGTACACACACACAGCACATACACACACACGGCATGAACACACAGACACACGGTACGCATACAGCCACACGGCATGAACACACACACGGCACGCACACGGCATGCACACACACACGGCACACACACGGCATGAACACACAGACACACGGCACACATGCACACACACACGGCACGCACACACACACGGCATGTATACACACACGGCATGCACACACACACGGCACGCACACACGGCATGCACACACAGACACACGGCACGCATGCACACACACGGCATGAACACACAGACACACGGCACGCATGCACACACACGGCATGCACACACGGCATGAACACACAGACACACGCCATGAACACACAGACACACGGCACGCACACGGCATGCACACACACGGCACGCACACACGGCATGAACACACAGACACATGGCATGAACACAGACACACGGCACGCATGCACACACGGCACACACACACACGGCATGAACACACAGACACACGGCACGCACACGGCATGCACACACGGCATGAACACACAGACACACGGCACGCATGCACACACACACGGCATGCACACACACACGGCATGCACGCACACACACGGCACGCACGCACACACACACGGCATGCACACACACACGACATGCACACACACACACGGCATGCACAAACACACAGACGGCATGCATAAACACACACACGGCATGCACACACACACACACGGCATGCACACACACGCACGGCATGCACACACACACGGCATGCACACACATACACACGGCATGCACACACACACACACACGGCATGAACACACAGACACGGCACGCACACACACACACACGGCACGCACACACACACACGGCACGAACACACAGACACACGGCACGCACACACGGCATGAACACACAGACACACGGCATGCACACACACACGGCACACACACACGGCATGAACACACAGACACACGGCATGCATGCACACACGGCACACACACACGGTATGCACACACACACACACACGGCATGAACACACACACACACGGTATGAGCACACAGACACACGGCATGCACACACACACAAGGCATGAACACACACACACGGCATGCACACACACACGGCATGCACACACACACGGCATGAACACACACACACGGCATGAACACAGAGACACACGGCATGCACACACAGACACACGGCATGCATGCACACACACGGCATGAACACACACACGGCATGCACACACACACACGGCATGCATACATACACGGCATGAACACACAGACACACGGCATGCAAGTACACACACACACGGCATGCACACACATACGACATGCACACACACACACGGCATGAACACACACACACACGGCATGAACACACAGACACACGGCATGCACACACACACACGGCATGCATACATACACGGCATGAACACACAGACACACGGCATGCATGCACACACACACACGGCATGCACACACATACGGCATGCACACACACACGGCATGAACACACACACGGCATGAACACACAGACACACGGCATGCACACACATACGGCACGCACACACACAGACACACGGCATGCACACACAGACACACGGCATGCATGCACACACACGGCATGCACACACATACGGCATGCACACACACACGGCATGAACACACACACACACGGCATGCATGCACACACACGGCATGCACACACATACGGCATGCACACACACACGGCATGAACACACACACACACGGCATGAACACACAGACACACGGCATGAACACACACATACGGCACGCACACACACGGCACACACACACGGCGTGCACACACACACACGGCATGAACACACACACACACGGCACGCACACACACGGCACACACACACACGGCATGAACACACAGACACACGGCATGCACACACACACACGGCATGAACACACACACACACACGGCATGAACACACACACGGCATGAACACACACACACACGGCACACACACATACGGCATGAACACACAGACACACGGCATGCGCACACAGACACAGGGCATGCACACACACACACACACGGCATGGACACACACACGGCATGAACACACAGACACACGGCACGCACACACACGGCACACACACACACGGCATGAACACACAGACACACGGCATGCACACACACACAACATGAACACACATACACACGGCATGCACACACACGGCACACACACGGCATGAACACACACACACACACGGCATGAACACACACACATACGGCATGCACACACATACACACGGCATGCACACACACACACGGCATGAACACACAGACACGGCACGCACACACACACACACGGCACACACACACACCGCATGAACACACAGACACACGGCACGCACACACACACACGGCACGAACACACAGACACACGGCACGCACACACACACGGCACACACACACGGCATTAACACACAGACACACGGCATGCATGCACACACGGCACACACACACGGCATTAACACACAGACACACGGCATGCATGCACACACACGGCATGAACACACACACGGCATGCACACACACACACACGGCATGCATACATACACGGCATGAACACACAGACACACGGCATGCATGCACACACACACACGGCATGCACACACATACGACATGCACACACACACATGGCATGAACACACACACACACACACGGCATGAACACACAGACACACGGCATGCACACACACACACGGCATGCATACATACACGGCATGAACACACAGACACACGGCATGCATGCACACACACACACGGCATGCACACACATACGGCATGCACACACACACACGGCATGAACACACACACACACGGCATGAACACACAGACACACGGCATGCACACACATACGGCATGCACACACACACACACACGGCATGCACACACAGACACACGGCATGCATGCACACACACACGGCACGCACACACACGGCACACACACACACGGCATGAACACACAGAAACACGGCATGCAAACACACACACGGCATGAACACACCCACACGGCACGCACACAAACGGCACACACAGACACACGGCATGCACACACACACACGGCATGAACACACACACACGGCATGAACACACACACACACGGCACACATACATACGGCATGAACACACAGACACACGGCATGCGCACACAGACACAAGGCATGCACACACACACACGGCATGAACACACACACGGCATGAACACACACACACACGGCACGCACACACACGGCACACACACACACGGCATGAACACACAGACACACGGCATGCACACACACACACATAACATGAACACACATACACACGGCATGCACACACACGGCACACGCACGGCATGAACACACACACACACGGCATGAACACACACACATACGGCATGCGCACACACACACGGCATGCACACACACACACGGCACACACACACACACGGCATGCACACACACACGGCATGAACACACAGACACACGGCACACATGCACACACACACGGCACGCACACACACACGGCATGTATACACACACGGCATGCACACACACACGGCACGCACACACGGCATGCACACACAGACACACGGCACGCATGCACACACACGGCATGAACACACAGACACACGGCACGCATGCACACACACGGCATGCACACACGGCATGAACACACAGACACACGCCATGAACACACAGACACACGGCACGCATACGGCATGCACACACACGGCACGCACACACGGCATGAACACACAGACACATGGCATGAACACAGACACACGGCACGCATGCACACACGGCACACACACACACGGCATGAACACACAGACACACGGCACGCACACGGCATGCACACACGGCATGAACACACAGACACACGGCACGCATGCACACACACACGGCATGCACACACACACGGCATGCACGCACACACACGGCACGCAGGCACACACACACGGCATGCACACACACACGACATGCACACACACACACGGCATGCACAAACACACAGACGGCATGCATAAACACACACACGGCATGCACACACACACGGCATGCACACACACGCACGGCATGCACACACACACGGCATGCACACACATACACACGGCATGCACACACACACACACACGGCATGAACACACAGACACGGCACGCACACACACACACACGGCACGCACACACACACACGGCACGAACACACAGACACACGGCACGCACACACGGCATGAACACACAGACACACGGCATGCACACACACACGGCACACACACACGGCATGAACACACAGACACACGGCATGCATGCACACACGGCACACACACACGGTATGCACACACACACACACACGGCATGAACACACACACACACGGCATGAGCACACAGACACACGGCATGCACACACACACAAGGCATGAACACACACACACGGCATGCACACACACACGGCATGCACACACACACGGCATGAACACACACACACGGCATGAACACAGAGACACACGGCATGCACACACAGACACACGGCATGCATGCACACACACGGCATGAACACACACACGGCATGCACACACACACACGGCATGCATACATACACGGCATGAACACACAGACACACGGCATGCATGTACACACACACACACACGGCATGCACACACATACGACATGCACACACACACACGGCATGAACACACACACACACGGCATGAACACACAGACACACGGCATGCACACACACACACACACGGCATGCATACATACACGGCATGAACACACAGACACACGGCATGCATGCACACACACACACGGCATGCACACACATACGGCATGCACACACACACGGCATGAACACACACACGGCATGAACACACAGACACACGGCATGCACACACATATGGCACGCACACACACAGACACACGGCATGCACACACAGACACACAGCATGCATGCACACACACGGCATGCACACACATACGGCATGCACACACACACACGGCATGAACACACACACACACGGCATGAACACACAGACACACGGCATGAACACACACATACGGCACGCACACACACGGCACACACACACGGCGTGCACACACACGGCATGAACACACACACACACGGCACGCACACACACGGCACACACACACACGGCATGAACACACAGACACACGGCATGCACACACACACACGGCATGAACACACACACACACGGCATGAACACACACACGGCATGAACACACACACACACGGCACACACACATACGGCATGAACACACAGACACACGGCATGCGCACACAGACACAGGGCATGCACACACACACACACACGGCATGGACACACACACGGCATGAACACACAGACACACGGCACGCACACACACGGCACACACACACACGGCATGAACACACAGACACACGGCATGCACACACACACAACATGAACACACATACACACGGCATGCACACACACGGCACACACACGGCATGAACACACACACACACACGGCATGAACACACACACACACACGGCATGCACACACATACACACGGCATGTACACACACACACGGCATGAACACACAGACACGGCACGCACACACACAAACACGGCACACACACACACCGCATGAACACACAGACACACGGCACGCACACACACACACGGCACGAACACACAGACACACGGCACGCACACACACACGGCACACACACACGGCATTAACACACAGACACACGGCATGCATGCACACACGGCACACACACACGGCATTAACACACAGACACACGGCATGCATGCACACACACGGCATGAACACACACACGGCATGCACACACACACACACGGCATGCATACATACACGGCATGAACACACAGACACACGGCATGCATGCACACACACACACGGCATGCACACACATACGACATGCACACACACACATGGCATGAACACACACACACACACACGGCATGAACACACAGACACACGGCATGCACACACACACACGGCATGCATACATACACGGCATGAACACACAGACACACGGCATGCATGCACACACACGGCATGCACACACATACGGCATGCACACACACACACGGCATGAACACACACACACGGCATGAACACACAGACACACGGCATGCACACACATACGGCATGCACACACACACACACACGGCATGCACACACAGACACACGGCATGCATGCACACACACACGGCACGCACACACACGGCACACACACACACGGCATGAACACACAGAAACACGGCATGCAAACACACACACGGCATGAACACACACACACGGCACGCACACACACGGCACACACAGACACACGGCATGCACACACACACACGGCATGAACACACACACACGGCATGAACACACACACACACGGCACACATACATACGGCATGAACACACAGACACACGGCATGCGCACACAGACACAGGGCATGCACACACACACACACGGCATGAACACACACACGGCATGAACACACACACACACGGCACGCACACACACGGCACACACACACACGGCATGAACACACAGACACACGGCATGCACACACACACACACAACATGAACACACATACACACGGCATGCACACACACGGCACACGCACGGCATGAACACACACACACGGCATGAACACACACACATACGGCATGCGCACACACACACGGCATGCACACACACACACGGCACACACACACACACGGCATGCACACACACACGGCATGAACATACACACACACGGCATGAACACACAGACACACGGCATGAACACACAGACACACGGCATGAACACACAGACACACGGCATGAACACACAGACACACGGCATGAACACACACACACACAGACACACGGCATGCACACACACACACGGCATGCATGCACACACACACGGCATACACACACACGGCACACAGACACATGGCATGAACACACACAGACACACGGCATGAACACACACACACACGGCATGCACACACACGGCACACACACACACGGCATGCATGCACACACCACGCGAACTGCGATAGCCTCACTGGGGCGAGTTCGGCTCGAATTTGCCATTTGGGAAAAGTGAAACAAACTGGAGGCATGGGGAGGAGAGGTGGGGGGGGGGGCATGGGGGGGGCGGTCACTCGGGGGGGGGGGGGGTGGGGGGTCGTCTCACCTGTAGGCCCAGCGGCCCGGAAGGGCCTCTCGGGCCTGTGGGGCCGAGGCTCCCGGGCGGGCCTGGTTTCCCCGTCTCACCATCCACTCCGGGTTTTGCAGAGAGCCCCTAGAGGTGGGGGAGAGAGAGAGAGGGGGGAACGCCGTGGGGGGGGGCGGCCCGTCGACACCCCGTGACGTCACTTCACGTTGGGGGGGGCCAACTGGCGTCTGATGTCGTCGCTGCGTTTTACCGCACTGAGAAGCGAGCCGTTGGGTGTCGTCTCCGGAGGCTGCCCGTGCGGCCGTACTCACCGGCTGCCCTTGAAAGCCCTTGGCTCCAGGCTGCCCTTGCTTCCCCTAGAGGCGGGCAGAGGGGGCGTCACGGATCAGGGGGGCTGCCGGCGCAGCGTGCGGCGATCCGGGCCGGCGATTCCCCTTCCCGTTGGGGTCGAGGTTCGGGCTTTTACACGGCGGCTACGCACGCGGCCTGCAATCCAGGTGTGGTGGATCGCACGCTGATGTCGCGTCAAACTCCCCCCCTTCCCCGTGGGCGGGCATCGGGGGGCCATAACCTCCCCCCCCCCCCCCCCCCGCAACTCGCCAGGTCAAAGGCGGCGCGGACAAAAATGTACGGGATAGAGTATTTCCCCCTCGCAGGCGTTGGTTTTCTCCGGCTGCTCCGGTTTCCTCCCACACGTGTATGAACGCTCATTATTTGGCCGATAAAACATTCATACATAGAGGACCGCAGAGCTTGGGCAATTGTCGGTTGCCGGCTCATCGTGTGGCTGCCCTCCTGCTTTTCCATGGATCCTCCTCCTGGTGCACCCTCCGAGTCATCCTCTCTCTGTCGATGAGAGCGAGCAGCGGGCACCGTGCGGTAGTGACGGCGGTGTCACATGACGAGTTGACTGTTATCAGGGGCGCCACGGTCACGAGATGTTAACTACCTCGCCTGGTATACAGGAGGTCGTGGGTTCGATCGTGACCCCGACGTCTTTATAGTTGGAGTTTGCGGTGTCTCTCTCCCCGTGGTCGGCTGGATTTTTCTCCGGGTCCTCCGGTTTTTCCCTCCACATTTTAGAATCGATGTCACGCATTTAGAGTAATTTGGCTGCTATAAACTTCCACGTGACGATGTTGATGATGATAAGCACACTTGGTTGGGCTATCGTTTGTGACAGCCCGGTCGCTTCACAAAAATATCTATATAGCTCAGTGGGGGCGTTAACTATTTTAAATAACAAGAGTAGCTTAGTAGTCGTGGTAGGGTTATGGTTAAGTCTGCACCACGCAGGCTCTGCATGTCTAGGACTCGAGCGGCTCACTCACCTGGGGACCTGGCTTCCCGGAGTTTCCAGGGTTCCCTCGGGGTCCCTTCGAGAGGGAAGAAGACAAACAAGGTTCAAGAGCACGTTCGTCCTGCGTTCGGCCATCACGTGAGGTGTCCACTGGAGCTGTGAACCCTCCACCACCAGACACGGCCAAAAACGAATCGGGTTGCCACCGGAACAAATGCGCCGTTTTTTTTTAAGCAAACTGGCTCGTACCGGGCTCAAGCAAAAAAAACACACAAATGTTTTGGTCACTGCTGATGTCGTGAACGCGATCGACACCGCTCCAGGCCCACCTTAAGTCCAGGTTGTCCCGATTTCCCCGGAGCTCCCTGCTTCCCCACCTCGCCCTGCCACGCACATTAACAGCAGATTCATCATCATCATCGTCATCATTATCGTCTTCGTCATCATCGTCATCAGTCTTCGTCGTCATCTTCGTCGTCGTCATCTTCGTCGTCGTCATCTTCGTCGTCGTCATCTTCGTCGTCATCGTCACAACACAACACACGAGCATCATCGTGTAAAACAAAGAATTTGGTAATGTTGTTGCTGCTGGTCGACAATGGTGCATGAGCACCGATTACCCACGATCACCCACGATCACCCACCACCTACGATCACCCATGATCACCCATGATCACCCACCACCCACGGTCATCCACCACCCACGGTCACCCAAGATCACCCACGATCATCCACCAACAACGATCACCCACCACCCACGGTCACCCACCACCCACCACCGACGATCAACCACCACCCACCACCCACGATCACCCACCAGCCACCACCAACGATCACCCACCACCCACCACCACCCACGATCACCCACCACCCAGGAGAACCGATCACCCACGAGCACAATCACCCACAAGCACAATCACCCAGGTAGATTCTGTGTGGCCAGGCGAGAGACTCGGGGGACCAGCCTGGGAGTCTCATTGGCAAACGACACCTGGGCCACCGAGCATCAACAAAGTGGCCATTCGTGCTCTTCTGAGAAACGTCAGATGTTATTTATTTATATTTCCTTTCCAGGTCACGCAGTGTTATTGACGGACGTGTTGAGTGTTTTTATTTTATGTATATATCGCCGCATAAAGGAGGATGTGTAAAAACAATACTTTACATTTAATTTTGTACGCGTTACTTACAATTCTCCACAACGACGTGAACCGATTACACAATCGGTGTTTGTTTGTTGTTGTTGTTGTATCGTTCTGATCCCGCACCCCCCTTACTGAACATCTGGGGCAGAAGAGCTTCACAGCTCATCAGATTCCTCCTCCGGCAATGAGATGATTTAGATGAATGTTGGCTGCTATAAATGTCCAAATGATGGACCAATTTGTCAGGCTATCATTCATGGTGGCCAGGTTGCGTCTGAAAAGTAATTCCTCAGTGGGCTTTGCCTGGTAGGATGGGGATGATTTAGTGTTGTATTTGTTTGTGTTTGGGTGATTTGTGTACCGTTCATGTACTTTGCACAACTGTCGTGTGTTTTGTAAGTGTTTGTCGTTGTGTAATGACCGAGATAAGACCGCTTACCCGACACGAGCGTACGGTCAGACAAACAATCAGCAAGCAGGCCGAGGCCTCACCTGGGTGCAGAAAGGCCTCGGCAGTGATTGGCCGGCAAGATCGAAAGGGATTGCAGGAAATATTTGAAAGGTAAAAAGGCGGGAAGCGAGTGGTGGACTGCAGAAGGACGGTTGAGAAAGGCTGGTGGGGAAGGGTCAGGATCGGCCGAAGGGAGTGGGGGTGATGGAAGCTTCCAGAGAGGGGGGGGGGGGCTGGGAGGTACAAAAGAAGACAGCACGGGGAGAGAGAGAGAGGACGCTGGAGAGGAGACGGAGCTCAAACCTCAAGAACCAGCCCTGGGCAGCGTTCGTGCTGTGTCTGTGTGGGTGCCACTACACCCGTAACATTCTTACCCCGTGCCCCGACTGGACATCTGTGACCAAAGAGTTTCATAGCTCATCGGATTCCTCCTCCAGTATAAATAAACATTCCGATTCTCAAATCAAGATTCTGAATGTTATCGGTCGCCCATCCCGGTCGCCCATCCCGAGCATGGCCCGGCAGCCGGGCTCAAACCCCTGCTAAAGCCTGGGGAAGGCCTCGTACCTTTGGCCCTGGGGAACCAGTGACGCCTCCCTCTCCACTGCTGCCTGGAGATCCCTGCAAGGAGAGGACGGGTCAGTGGTGCCGGGAGCACTGCGAGGACTACTTCCGGGAAGTAATCCGTTATACTTCCGGGAAGTGATCCGTTATACTTCCGGGAAGTAATCCGTTATACTTCCGGGAAGTAATCCGTTACTAATCACTTGGGGGGGGGGAAGGTCCGAGTGATTACCAGATTAAACGAGCGACGAGAGAGCGTTTCCCTCAGCTTTTTTACGGCCCCTAAAAAGGCGGTGGTGGAAATTCCACATTCATATGGCGTGGGGTGGGTCGAAGGCGGAAGACAACCATTGTTGTGGGGCGCCACGGTGGCTAGGAGATGTTAACTACCTCGCCTGGTATGCAGGAGGTCGTGGGTTCGATCCCGACCCTGACGCTTGCTGCTGAGCTACATCGCTCTTTTTCAGAAGCGACCTCGCTATCACAAATGACAGCTCAACAAAGTGGCTTATCATCATCACGAGGGGAATTTATTGCAGCCAAAGACTCTGAACGCATCGTTATAAATGTGTAGGGAAAAACTGGAGGACCCGGAAAAAAATCCACGCCACCACGGGGAGAGAGACGCGCAAACTCCAAATATACAGCAGCATGCGTCAGGGGTCGGGATTGAACCGACGCTCTCCTGCGTACCAGGCGAGGTGGTTAACATCCCCTAGACACTGTGGTGACCCGCCGCTCGACTACCTTGGTGTCAACCTGAAACCTGCCGATTGCGAGGCCGCTCGCTGTACCACGGGGGAGCCACATGGGACGGGCTGATTGCTCGAACCGTCACACAACGGAGAGCCGCCAGACATCCCGTTGGGCGAGGTGGGAGTAGCCACGCGTATACCCCGCTGTGACTGCGTGTCGGGATCACTTACATAGGTGCCGACGGGGCCTTGTATGCCGGGCAGTCCTGGCTTTCCTGGGAGGCCCTGAGAGAGGAAGTTTTACACAAATCCATGCGCACAGTGCAACACTCAAACTAAACTCAAATGTTTTTTTGTTACCAGTTAAGACGCCACACTGAGCTATGTCGCTCTTTTTTAGAAGCGACCTGGCCATCACAAATGACAGCTCAACGAAGTGGGCTTGTCATCATCACGTGGGAAATGTAAAGCAGCAGCCAAATTGCTCGAAACGTGTGGTGATGTTGACTCTAAATGTGGAGGGGAAAAACCGGAGGATCCGGAGAGAACTCCACACGACCACAGGGAGAGAGAGAGACACCACAAACTCCAAATATACAGCAGCAGGCGTCAGGGTCGAGATCGAACCCACGACCTCCTGTGTACCAGGCGAGGTAGTTAACATCTCATAGCCACCGTGATGATGATGAGAGAGACGCAAACTCCAAATATACAGCAGCAGCAGGCGTCAGGGTCGGGATCGAACCCACGACCTCCTGTGTACCAGGCGAGGTAGTTAACATCTCCTAGCCAGTGTACAGATAAAGACGCAGCACTGCAATTACTTGACTCACGCCACCGCTGTTCGAAGGTCCTCCACTGGAGTGAAACCTGGGGTATTGAAACGTTGATATTTGCGTTGCCGCTGTTGCTGTTCGCCTTTTGGCGTTGTTCTTCGGTCTACTACCACCGGTGGTGCTGAGACGAGGCCATGAAGGAGGCTGTACCTTCGGTGTAGGCCCAATCATTTTCAAAGACGATGCGGACTTTATCATTACTACTATCATCATCATCAGAGCCACGTTTGTTTTGCCACCAGCATGGTGTGTGCTAAATGCAGACTTGATGATGCCTTGCAAAAGGTGTCTATTTGGCGTTTGTACATCTTAACACAACTCCTGTTCAATTGCCTATTCCGATGTATTTTTTTTATCATCTAGAGTGGTAATTGGCCAACTTTCCCAGGTACATGAATAAGGGCCATCGCCCGAAACATAGCCGCAGCAATCGGCGACGGTGGTGTCGGCGTGCGAGGTGCGGCGGTGACCGTCACCGTCTCGCCGTCTTACCTTCTCCCCCGGGTTGCCCGCGTTGCCGGCGGTTCCCGGTAAACCGCGAGGTCCCTGCAAGTCCGACCACAGTCAGACACCACCACACCCCCCACGACAGGGGTCAGCGCCGCGCAACGTCGCCCGCGGCAAAGCCACGCTCGGCGTACTGCCGCGAGTGGATTCAGCGCTCGGAATAATAACACCACGCTCACACAGCGCTTGGAATAATAACACCACGCTCACACAGCGCTCGGAATAATAACGCCACGCTCACAGAGCGCTCGGAATAATAACGCCACGCTCACACAGCGCTCGGAATAATAACGCCACGCTCACACAGCGCTCGGAATAATAACGCCACGCTCACAGAGCGCTCGGAATAATAACGCCACGCTCACACAGCGCTCACTCCTCGCTCTCGTAGAGACGGAGAGAGGACGACTCAGAGAGAGAGAGAACGACTCAGAGAGAGGACGACTCAGAGAGAGGACGACTCAGAGAGAGGACGACTCAGAGAGAGGACGACTCAGAGAGAGAGAGGACGACTCAGAGAGAGAGAGGACGACTCAGAAGAGGTGCCAGGAGGAGGAACCACACAGACGAGGGAATGGGAAGGCAGCGGCAGCCACGCGGTGGTGGTGAGGAGCCGGCACCACCAACGATTGCCCCAAGCTCTGCCGCTCCTCTGCATATGAAGTTGTGGTCGGCCCAATTACTGAATGTCGGGAGGAAGGAAACCGGAGCTCCCAGGGGAAACGCCCGCGTGCGAGGGAGCAACGTTGTATCCCCGCGCAGGAGGGGACAGGTGGAGTCAACGTGTTGGCTGCGTCGTCTTCTCCTGGCGAGCCGCGGGGTTGCAGCTCCTCCGCTAGGACAGCCGTGTCCCTGTGCCTGGTCAAGCCGTGGATGACCCCCGTGACTTTGCGACCCCGTGACCCCGTGACCCCGTGACCCCCCCCTCCCCAAACTTACCGTTGGCCCCAGGGGACCATCCACCCCCCTGAGTCCCGGTAGGCCTCTGAAGCCCTACAGAGAGTGGCATGGAGAAGAACCACCGTCATCATCAGCAGCAGCATCATCAGCAGCACCAGCAGCAGCAGCGTCATCAGCAGTGGCAGCGTCAGCTATATCAGCATCAGTATCATCATCAGCAGTAGCAGCATCATCATCAGCATCATCATCAGCAGCAGTAGCATCATCATTAGTCGTAGCAAAATCAGCATCAATATCATCAGCAAAAGCAGTAGTATCTACACATTCATCATCATCGTCATTGATGGAATCATCATTCATCTTCAGTAAACTGCATCAGCATCAGAATGATAATAGCAGCAGGAGAATCATAATTAAAATCATCATTTGCATTATCATAAGCAAACAACATCATCATCATCACATTGAACGCCAACAGCGCCGTCATCATCGCCAGCACCACCACAGCTGGGTAGAAGCAATGACGTAACGATGTGTGTCCTGTGAGGAGGGCTGGGGTCATCGAGTAGACCACACAGTCAAGCCCGTCGTGTTGGTTTCTGTTGTTGTTGTTGTTTTGTGTGGTGTGCATCTACGCACCCTGAACCCCCTCCTCCCCGCGTTCCCCGTCACTCCGGGCGCTCCCTGCAGGGGGAGACGCGACAGGGAGAAGCGTCAACGAGCGTGGTGGACAAGGGGTGAGCGTGGTGGACAAGCGGCGAGCGTGGTGGACAAGCGGTGGGCGTGGTGGACAAGGGGCGAGCGTGGTGGACAAGGTGTGAGTGCGGTGGACAAGTCGTGAGCGTGGTGGACAAGGGGTGAGCGTGGTGGACAAGGGGCGAGTGTGGTGGACAAGTGGCGAGCGTGGTGGCCAAGGTGTGAGTGCGGTGGACAAGGTGTGAGTGCGGTGGACAAGCGGTGGGCGTGGTGAACAAGGGGTGAGCGTGGTGGACAAGCGGTGGGCGTGGTGGACAAGTCGTGAGCGTGGTGGACAAGCCGTGAGTGCGGTGGATAACGGTGTGAGTGAGGTGTCTGCTGTGTGAGTGTATACACGGTGTGTGTGTACACACGGTGTGAGTGTACACACGGTGTGAGTGAGGTGTCTACCGTGCGTGTGTACACACGGTGTGAGTGAGGTGTCTTCCGTGTGAGTGTGTACACGGTGTGAGTGAGGTGTCTGCTGTGTGAGTGTACACACGGTGTGAGTGAGGTGTCTGCTGTGTGAGTGTACACATGGTGTGAGTGTATACACGGTGTGAGTGTGGTGTCTGCCATGTGAGTGTGTACACGGTGTGAGTGTGGTGTCTGCCGTGTGAGTGTACACACGGTGTGAGTGCGGTGTCTGCCGTGTGAGTGCCGCGTGGCAGCAGGATGGGTGCATGGGAACCTGGGTACCCGGTTTTCCTTCCGCTCCCTCCCTCCCGCCCGTGCCCTTCTCGCCCTGCCGGACACACGCACACACCGCCTCGTACTCCTCCGCCACGCGCGGCGCCGAGTGTTGCCCCGCGGCGCTTTGACCCCTGAGCGAGCGAGCGAGAGAGAAACTGAACTCGTCGCGGCGGAGGGAGACGTTCGCCGGCCGTCCCGACATTTCGAACGTTTTTTTCTTCCGTTCCTGCTACATGGCAAGCGAATAACAATAGTTACGGTCTCAAGGTGGGGGACCCGCTCCGTTGTCTCGGGGCCTCGAGTTGACATCTCTCTGAGCGTAGTCGATGGTCTCGGCGCCACGCGGAGACCGCCATTTTGTATCGTGGTCCAACCGGGCTCACCGCTTTCTTTCTGACAACTGCGCCACCAACCCCCTCCAGTGAAGGTTCTCCGGAATCCGGCGAAACGTTGGGATTGCGGTCTTGGGGGCACGGAGACCAAACGGATCTATTTAAATATTTTCATTGATTTCCTCTTTGACGATACATTTTTATTGTCACGGGCAATTTGTTTTCCTTTCTCGCCATTCGCGTGTTCATCTTTCAGTTCTTGCTTTGCTAAGTGGCGGTTTTGTTTTTGCATCGTCTGCGTAAGGGACCGGCTAATTAAAGCGGCAGCGTTGTGGGGTGGCAATTGCATGAATGACGCTCGGTAAATTGAAATCATTTCTAACCAGTACACTCACTAGTACACTCACTAGTACACTCACTAGTACACTTATCGTCATGCGATGGACGTCACTCCCGTACGGCACAGCAGCGTGGAGAGAAACGTCGGACGTCGTCGTCAATTTGCCACAAATGAACCACGCTGCTCATCAGCGTAAACCATCGCCACGCGATCTCCGGTTCGTCATCCTCGCAGCAGCAGCAGCAGCAGCGGCGGCGGCGGCTTTTGGCTCGGCCGTCGGGACAAAGATGGTGGTCACCGGAAATCGCGCGGCGCTTTCAGACGCGCTTTTGCGCCCGTCTGGAACGCTCTTCCTTCCGGTATTAGGAAGATGGAAAGCTCATTTCTGTGTAATTTCTATTTGTGTTTAGTTTGTTGTCCTTCCCCTGTACCCCCGATTAGCACGGTTGTCTACGTACGGTGCACAAGAAGTTCAACATACGGTACACACTGTACGTGCTGCCGGACGAAGGGCCTCGCTTCAAATCCCGAAGAAGAAGAAGAAGGTGCCGGTGCGCGGAGCGAAACGCCGGACGTCGCGGCCGAGCCATCTTGCGGTGGCACAGCCACGACAACCACACCGTGACGACACAGCCTTGACAACCACACCGTGGTGGTGCAGTCACAACAACCACACCGTCGTGGTACAGTCACAACAACCACACCGTCGTGGTACAGTCACAACAACCACACCGTGGTGACACAGTCACAACAACCACACCGTGGTGACACAGTCACAACAACCACACCGTGGTGGTACAGTCACAACAACCACACCGTGGTGACACAGTCACAACAACCACACCGTGGTGACACAGTCACAACAACCACACCGTGGTGGTACAGTCACAACAACCACACCGTGGTGGTACAGTCACAACAACCACACCGCGGTGGCATAGCCACGACAACCACACCGTGGTGACACAGTCACAACAACCACACCGTGGCGGTACTACCACAACAACCACACCGTGGTGGTACAGTCACAACAACCACACCGTGGTGGTACAGTCACAACAACCACACCGTGGTGACACAGTCACAACCACACCGTGGTGACACAGTCACAACAACCACACCGTGGTGACACAGTCACAAAAACCACACCGTGGTGGTACAGTCACAACAACCACACCGTGGTGGTACAGTCACAACAACCACACCGTGGTGGTACAGTCACAACAACCACACCGTGGTGACACAGTCACAACCACACCGTGGTGACACAGTCACAACAACCACACCGTGGTGACACAGTCACAACAACCACACCGTGGTGGTACAGTCACAACAACCACACCGTCGTGGTACAGTCACAACAACCACACCGTGGTGGTACAGTCACAACAACCACACCGTGGTGGTACAGTCACAACAACCACACCGTGGTGGTACAGTCACAACAACCACACCGTGGTGACACAGTCACAACCACACCGTGGTGACACAGTCACAACAACCACACCGTGGTGACACAGTCACAACAACCACACCGTGGTGGTACAGTCACAACAACCACACCGTGGTCACACAGTCACAACAACCACACCGTGGTGACACAGTCACAACAACCACACCGTGGTGACACAGTCACGACAACCACACCGTGGTGGTACAGTCACAACAACCACACCGTGGTGACACAGTCACAACCACACCGTAGTGACACAGTCACAACCACACCGTGGTGACACAGTCACAACAACCACACCGTGGTGACACAGTCACAACAACCACACCGTGGTGGTACAGTCACAACAACCACACCGTGGTGGTACAGTCACAACAACCACACCGTGGTGGTACAGCCTTGACAACCACACCGTGGTGGTAGTCACAACAACCACACCGTGGTGACACAGTCACAACAACCACACCGTGGTGACACAGTCACGACAACCACACCGTGGTGACACAGTCACAACAACCACACCGTGGTGGTACAGTCACAACAACCACACCGTGGTGGTACAGTCACAACAACCACACCGTGGTGACACAGTCACAACAACCACACCGTAGTGACACAGCCACAACAACCACACCGTGGTGACACAGTCACGACAACCACACCAGAGAGCTGGTGCCGCGGCAGCGCCGCCGGCAATAGCCAAGGGAACTCACCGGAGCCCCCGGGAAGCCGACGAGGCCACGTTGGCCGGTCCGTCCCTGGAACGGCATTAAAGGTGAATTGTCAGGGCAGTAGAACCCCTTAGAGCCCAGTGTCTAGTGTCTAGTAGTGTAGTGTATAATAGTAGTAGTGTATAGTAGTGTATAATAGTGTTGTGTATAGTAGTGTATAATAGTGTATAGTGTTGTTTATAGTAGTGTAGTGTATAGTAGTAGTGTATAGTAGTGTATAATAGTGTATAGTGTTGTTTATAGTAGTGTAGTGTATAGTAGTAGTGTATAGTAGTGTATAATAGTGTATAGTGTTGTTTATAGTAGTGTAGTGTATAATAGTAGTGTATAGTAGTGTATAATAGTGTTGTTTATAGTAGTGTAGTGTATAGTAGTGTATAGTATAGTAGTGTATAGTGTAGTGTAGTCTGGTGTATAACAGTGTATAGTAGTGTAGTGTATAGTAGTGTATAGTGTAGTGTATAGTATAGTAGTGTATAGTGTAGTGTATAGTATAGTAGTGTATAGTAGTGTATAGTGTAGTGTATAGTAGTGTATAGTGTAGTGTATAGTAGCGTAGTGTATAGTATAGTAGTGTATAGTGTATTGTAGTCTGGTGTATAGCAGTGTAGTGTATAGTAGTGTATAGTGTAGTGTATAGAATAGTAGTGTATAGTGTAGTGTATAGTAGTGTAGTGTATAGTAGTGTATAGTGTAGTGTATAGTAGTGTAGTGTATAGTAGTGTAGTGTATAGTATAGTAGTGTATAGTGTAGTGTAGTCTGGTGTATAGCAGTGCAGTGCCTCCATAGACCCCAATGTGTTCGCCTACCGAACATTCCCCTGTTAGTGACGGGCTCACGACGAGCACGCGGCCGCCAATTTCGGCCAATCGGCGAGCTCCAAAGCGGTCTGACCCGACCTCGGCCAATCAGCGACGTCCATTCATGGGCGTTGTCTGCTGCGCTTTGAAGCGGAAGCGTCTCTTTTGAATGCTTGGTGTTACCGCATCTCCTAAACTCGCTTAACGACCAAATTACTTAACGACCGGGTTCCTGGAAACCAATTACCCTCGCTAGAGGAGGCCTTCTACTGTGCGGTCGTCTGGTCCCCGATGACGCTGCGGTCGCCGCGCTCCTCGCGAACACCGCCGCGCGATGGGAAAACCACGTGGCGGCAAATAAATAAATAAGGTGCGGCGCAGGGCGGCGGGGGGGGGGGGTTAACGGTGTCGCAATAATGCATAACGCAGGCCGAACGGGGATGGAGGCTCGCGCGGGCAGCGTCCAGAAGCATCCAGCAGCGTCCCAATGCCTCGTGCGACGGCGCCCCATTCCACGCAACCGCTGTTCAGTTCTCAAGTGGGAATCGTCAGTTGGGTACGGTCATCAACGTTCCCTTGCTGCCGTACGTGTGCCTGCACGTATGTCTGCACGTATGTCTGAAAGCCTACGTGTTAAGCTGATCTTGCCAAGGACGGGAAGAAGTGGAGATAAATCACTGCGGCCTAATGTCCCATAGGTGGATGAAGCGGGTTAACTAACTAACTTGTAGCAGACACCTATCGGGATTCCATTAAGCGCTTACTTCGAGGCGACAGAGAATTCACAGCTGTAGCTGCTGCTGGTTCTGGGTTGAAGGCGAGAGCTCCTGTACACGGCAATGCTGCATACACACTCGGTGTTCTGTGTCTGTGTGTGTCTGTGTGTGTGTCTGATTTATTGACCTGGTCAAGGCCTATGATACCATCAGTAGGCCTGGGCTCTGGGTTGTTCTTCGTGCTTTCGGAGTCCCTGACCCTCTGCTCACGATCAGGGATGTCCTCTGGCTCTCACATTATTCAACATCTATTTCGACCACGTAGTTTGTGAGGAATTTCAATCTGGTACAGATACAACGGGAAGCTGATCGATGCCCAGATGCGGTCAAGGGATGGCTCCCTATTGCTCAACCACGTTATGTATGCTGATGATTTGGTAATTGCTGCTCACTCAGAGGAGGAGTTGGAGATGCTGCTGCTGAGACTGGAGCGTGCCACTAAGAGGTGGGGCCTTACCACCAGCCCCACCAAAACTAAGCACCTGCCTGGGTATTTTTTACCATCGGACACTCCACCCCCACAACTCCCAATTGGTGATAGGGCAGTTGTGGAGAGAGTGGAGAGTTGTCCATACCTGGGCAGTGCTCATGACCGGCTCCGGTTTGAGTCTCATTCCGAATCAGTCGAGCGGCATTATCTTTTCATCGGTTGCGTAACGCTGTGTGGAAGCTAACCTAGTCTGTCGCTCCGCGCGAAGCTTCAGGTCTTACTCGGCCACAGCCATTCCCTCCCTTCTCTACGCTTGCGAAACGTGGACCCCCCTCATGGAACATCATAGCCAGTTAGAAACATTTAGGCTGGCCTGCCTACGACCCATCTTGGGTTTAACCAGGCTGGATTGTGTGAGGAGCTCACATATCCTTGAAAGATCTGGACAAAGTCCCATCAGTGAGCTCCTCCGGCAGGTAAGGCTGCGTTGGCTGGGCCATGTAGCCCGGATGCCCAGCCATCGCATGCCTAAACAGCTTTTGTTCGGCCGGATCGAGGGGGCTATACAGGCGCGGCACGGGCTAGAGAAGAGATGGAGTGATGTGGTACAGGATGATGTGGAGCTGAGCAGACTTGCCGATGATTGGTACCAGCGGTGTCAAGATCGGCCTCTGTGGAGGAGGCTCGTGAAGGATGCTACTTGGCAGTTGAAGGAAGTCGCCCTCTAACAACAACGGACGGCGGAGGAACGACGCTCACAACAACGAGCGGCGCGCCGGGTGGCTAAAGCACAGCAGGTTGGCACAGTAGCGGCACAGGTGGTGCATCAGCCAGTCATCTCAGTCATCTCAGTCGACCCGCGGCACCTGGGTCTGCCCCGTGACCTCCTGCCAGCGGGCGTTGGACACTTCACGTGGCCTCAAGGTGCACATGGCCTGGCACAAGCGTCGTGGTGACGTCACCGCCACTTAGTGGCGAATGGCGGTTGTTGTTGTTGTGTCTGTGTGTGTGTGCGCATGCCCGGTTGTCGGGAAGCGATCGCAGAGCCACTTACACGGACGCCTCGAGATCCTGAGATGCCCTTTGAGCCAATCACGCCCTGGTCGCCCTAATGGATGAACAAAAAGACAAAGATCCCCCGTATAGCCTTTAACAGACCGTTGGGGCAAGTGCCGTTACCGAGCACCTATGAAGGCCGGTACGGCACACAGACCAACACCACGCCCGGCTGCCTTTGTCTCCCCAGTGGCGATGTATACACATCGCACCAGCTACTTGAGGCTGAGTCGACTTCGGCGAGAACAAGGAATGGTTCAGATAATTGTCACTGCTGTTAGCCATGAGCGGGGATCGAGCTGCACGCTAACTGCTAAGCTAGCCTGTAACAGACTAATGGGGCAAGTGCTGTTAGCGCGTTGCAGCACCAATGAAAGCCGGCACTGTGGCACATGAGGGGGGGGGGGGTGTGGCCGATACCACGCCCGGCCACCTTTGCTTCCCCAGTGCTGATATTTACACACCATGCCCAGGTACTCATTTAAGGCTGAGTCGACATAGCAGAGGCCCAGGGCCGGTTCAGATGATTGTCACTGGAGTTGGCCACGAGCGGGAATCAAACTCGGGCCGCCTGCTTCGGAGCGCTAAGTGCTACGCCACCGCTCGCAAATTCACATGCACGCACACACGTGCACAGATTCGCCACACGTGTGTACACGTGTACACACGTGTGGCGAATCTGTGCACAGCCAACTAGTAAGGGTTGTCACGTAAACAGGACGTGCCGATTCGTCACGAGTACAGCACACCGGTGTGTACACACGCGTGGCGAGCATGATGACAAAGGTGGTGGTGATGCTCACCTTGGGGCCCAATTTCCCCTTTTTTCCCTGCACACCCATGGGTCCCTCCAGCCCCTGGACAAAGAGATACACCAACGTTAGCAAAGCAGCAGCGGTAGCAGCAGTGGAAGCAGCAGCAGTAGTAGCAGCAGCAGGAGGAGTAGTAGTAACAGCAGGAGTAACAGCAGTAGCAGCAGTAGTAGCAGCAGTAGTAGAAACATCAGTAGTAGTAACAGCAGTAGCAGCAGTAGCCAGGAGTAGCAGCAGTAGCAACAGTAGCAGCAGTAGTAGTAGTAGTAGCAGCAGCAGTAGTTGCAGCAGCAGTATTAGCAGCAGTAGTAGTAACAGCAGTAGTAGTAACAGCAGTAGTAGCAGTAGCCAGGAGTAGCAGCAATAGCAACAGTAGCAGCAGCAGTAGTACCAGCAGCTGCAACATTAGTAGCAGCGGACACACTCACACCGCACACACTCACACTGCACACACCACACCATGCACTCACACCACACACACTCACACTCACACCACACACACTCACACCACTCACACCACACTCACACACCGCACACACTCACTCACACCACTCACACCACACACTCACACCACACACTCACACCACTCACACTCACATCACACACTCACACCACACTCACACCACACTCACACCACACACTCACACCACACTCACACCACACTCACACCACACACTCACACCACACACTCACACCACACACTTACACCACTCACACTCACATCACACACTCACATCACACACTCACACCACACTCACACCACACTCACACCACACATGCTCACACAGATCCTCACCGTGGAGCCCACTGGGCCCGACCTCCCCTTGGACCCCGGGAATCCCTGGTGGCCGGCCGGACCCCGGAAGCCGGAGAATCCCTTGGGGCCCCTCCAGCCAGGGACACCCTGGGAGAGGGGGCACATAGCGGTTCGTGTTCCACCGGAGAAGCCGCGCCGTGCCACCGAGATCACACGCGGTGACCAAGTGGAGACGCAGCGTGGGTGACGCGGTGGATGATCTCACCAACCCACCATCTCACCCACCCACCATATCACTCACCAACCCACCATCTTACCCACCCACCATCTCACCAACTCACTCACCCACCCACCATCTCACCCACCCACCATCTCACTCACCATCTCACCCACCAACCCACCATCTCGCCCACCAACCCACCATCTCACCCACCAACCCACCATCTCGCCCACCAACCCACCATCTCGCCCACCAACCCACCATCTCACCCACCAACCCACCATCTCACCCACCAACCCACCATCTCATCCACTAACCCACCATCTCACCCACCAACCCACCATCTCGCCCACCAACCCACCATCTCACCCACCAACCCACCATCTCACCCACCAACCCACCATCTCGCCCACCAACCCACCATCTCACCCACCAACCCACCATCTCACCCACCATCTCACTCACCATCTCACCCACCAACCCACCTATCTCACCCACCGACAATCTCACCCACCGACCATCTCACCCACTCACTCATTCGTTCACTCACCCACTCATTCAATGCACTCATCCATTCACTCACTCAGTCATTTATTCACTCACCTGGTTAAACACGATATCAATTGAACTTCAACTCTACGGGCAATGAATCAGGTTCAAACATCCATTAATCCGGATGAGAAAACAGTGTTAGCATGCCCCAAGTGACCAGGATTTGGACTCGCCATTTAGAGAAATGCAACACCAGTGGTCATCTCTAAACTAAACTACGACCACGTTTTATTGTACCAGGTGTAGAGCCCCACTGAGCTGTGTAAATCTTTTTCAGAAGCGACCTATTACAAATGATAGCTCAACGAAGTGGCCTATCATCACCACGTGGAAATGTGTAGAACCCAAACACTCTAAACGCGTTGTGACGTCGATTACAAATGTGGATGGGGAAAACCGGAGGACCCGGAGATAAATCCACGTGACCATGGGGAGAGAGACACCGCAAACTCCAAATATACAGCAGCAGCAGCAGCAAGCACCAGGGCTGGGAACGAAGAAGCCACGACCTCCTGCACACCAGGCGAGGGAGTTGACATCTCCGAGCCACCGCGGCGTCCCTATCTAACCCTTGCTCGCTTGCGCGTGGTACAACTCAGAGCGACTCGAAAGTCCTGCCGCGATTGGCGGACAGCGATGGCGGGAGTCGGCCACCGCGAATGGCGATGGCCCACAGGCAGGAAGGGAACCCAGGCGGGCGGGAGCCCGGAGCGCCACGTGAGTTGGGGCCACTCACCCGATCGCCTTTCTCTCCCACGTCACCACGGTGTCCGCTCCTTTCCTTGAGGCCCTGGGACACGGAGAGAGGCAGGCGGAGGAGGGGGGGGGGGGGGGAGACGGAGAGGGGGGGGACATGGGGAGAGGGACAGAGAGAGAGGGGGAGAGAGCGAGACAGAGAGAGGCATCAAAGAACCCCGTGACCAACACCAACTGAAGACAATAAAAAAACACCGTTTGGCCATGAAAGGAAAACCAAAGAGGTATGGTCGGCGACGTTTTTCTGGATGTGCCGCGTGTCGTTAGGGCACCGTGTCAGACGTTTTGCTCCACGTGCCTTCCGCAGTAGCCCAATCGACTGTTTAGTTTCTGTGCCGTGCTTGAAAACGAGGCGCCGGTGCGACTCGGAATCGAACCGGGAGGGAGGGAGGGGTGATCTGGCTCGGGAACCCCTCCACCCCCACCCAGCCCCCCCCCCCCCCCCCCGTGTGTGTGTGTAAGAGTGTGAGTGTGTGTGTGAGTGTGTAAGAGTGTGAGTGTGTGTGAGTGTGTGTAAGAGTGTGTGTGAGTGTGTGTAAGTATGTGTGTGAGTGTGTAAGAGTGTGAGTGTGTGTGTGAGTGTGTGTAAGTGTGCGTGTGTGAGTGAGTAAGAGTGTGAGTGTGTGTGAGTGTGTGTGAGTGTTTGCAAGTGAGTTGAGTGTGTGAGTGTGTGTGAGTGTGTGTGAGAGTGTGTGTGAGAGTGTGTGTGTGTGTAAGAGTGTGAGTGTGTGAGAGTGTGTGAGTGTGTGTGTGAGTGTGTGTAAGAGTGTGAGTGTGTGTGTGAGTGTGTGTAAGTGTGCGTGTGTGAGTGAGTAAGAGTGTGAGTGTGTGTAAGTGAGTGAGTGTGTGAGTGTGTAAGAGTGAGTGTGTGTAAGTGTGTGAGTGTGTGTAAGAGTGTGTGTAAGTGTGTGTGTTTGAGGGTGTAAGAGTGTGTGTGTGTGAGTGTGTGTAAGTGTGTGTGTTTGAGTGTGTAAGAGTGTGAGTGTGTGTGTGAGTGTGTGTAAGTGTGTGTGCTTGAGTGTGTAAGTGTGTGAGTGTGTATGTGAGTGTGTGTAAGTGTGTGTGTTTGAGTGTGTAAGAGTGTGTGTGTGAGTGTGTGTAAGTGTCCGTGTGTGAGTAAGAGTGTGTGTGTGAGTGTAAGTGTGTGTGTTTGAGTGTGTAATAGTGTGAGTGTGTGTGTGAGTGTGTGTAAGTGTGCGTGTGTGAGTAAGAGTGTGTGTGAGTGTGTGAGTGAGTGTGTGCGTGTGTGTGAGTGTGTGTGAGAGTGTGTGTGAGTGTGTGTGTGAGTGTGTGTGTAAGTGTGTGTGTGTGAGTGTAAGAGTGTGTGTGTGGAGAGCGTTAGTGTAGCGGTTACCGCGCTGCGCTATGAATCTGGCGACGCGGGTTCGATTCCCGCTCACGGCCAACACCAGTGACAATTATCTGAACCGGTCCCGGGCCTCCCCTAGGTCGACTCAGCCTCAAAATGCGTACTTCGTGCGATGTGTAAACATCGCCACTAGGGAGACAAAGGCGGCCGGACGTGGTGCTGGCCACCCACCCCCTCGTGTGCCATGCCGCCCTTCATAGGTGCTCGCTAACAGCACTTGCCCCTACAGTCTAAGTCTATACGGGGGATCTTTGTCTTTGTGAGTGAGTGTGTGTGAGTGTGTTGGAAAGCTGTAAGCCCCAGGCTACTTTGGGCTCGCCTTCCTATCAACCAGAGGCGAGGAGTGGTGGTCGTGGTTACTTATGCCCCCACTGAAGACGAACATCCGTGGAGGGATGCAGGCAAGGCTGATGAGTGAGATGCCTTCTATGACCTCCTGTCACAGGTGCTGGCTAAAGTGGCCCCTCGGGACAGAGTCATCTTGTTGGGTGACTTCAATGCCCGAGTTGGTCACGATGCTGGCACCTGGTCTGTAGTGATTGTAAGGCATAGGCCAGATCAGCTCAATAGTAACGGCAGGAGGCTGCTAGATTTTAGTGCAGCCCATGGGCTTGTAATTACCAACACGCTGCCGGGTCTTAGATGGCCATCTAAGCATGGCCATCTACTGGACTACATAGTGACGGAACAGCGGATGAGGGCCCATGTCCTTGACACTACCACCTACCGTGGAGCTGAACTGCCCACTGACCATCGACTTGTCATCTGTAAGATGCGCCTGCCATTCTTCCACTCCGGTGGTGGGTGTACACCTAGGACCCCATTCAAACCCTTAGTGGCATGTTCTCAGCTAGCTGTTGAAAGTTGCAAGCGAGAATTCCATCATCGCTTGCGGCTGGGGTTGGTATCGTCCCCCACTCCTCCTGATGTCGAGGGTAAATGGGCGAGGTTTAGGACTGTGACTCATGCAGCTGCAATGGCTGCTTTGGGTACGCAGTCCAGACCTCCTCAGAGACCCTGGCTGACAGAGGAGGTGTTCAAGCTGGCTGAGAAAAAGCGACAGGCCCACTCTCATTGGCTACAGAATCCCACGTCAGAGAATGAGGAGGCTTACCGCAGCCTTCGCTCGGAGGTTCGGCGAGCCGCGAGGCACTGCAAGGATGGGTGGTGGTCGCGGGTTGCTGAGGAGATGGAGTCTGCCTCAGTGGCCCGCGATCACAAATCTCTATTTAACTCCATCAAAAAAGTAACCTGCAGCGCCACACCTATTACCATCATTAGGGGAAAAATGGTGATCCAATCTCTGATCCCCAGGAACAGGTTTGCACATTTGCTGAGCATTTCTGTGAAGTCCTGGGGGAGGTGAAATCCCTCCATATGGAGAACATCGTGGGACAAAGTGGGGATGACCCTGCTGAGGCTGTGGTGCCTCAAATATTTGAAGAGGAAGTCACCCCCTGTGAGTGGCTGTCTGAGGTGCCATCTGTTGAGGAAGTACTGAGGGCGATCCGGAGTCTGAGACCAGGAAAGGCACCGGGCAGAGATGATCTCCCAAGCGAAATGCTGAGGGAGGGTGCCGTTTGTGCACAGACTGCCCTATATGACATCATAACAACAGTCTGGACCACTGGATGGGTTCCGCAGGATTGGAAGGATGCCCTGGTGGTCCCCCTCTTTAAGAAGGGGGACCGTACAGACTGTAACAACTACAGGGGCATCTCACTCCTCAGTGTGCCGGGAAAAGTCATGGCAAGGATTATTCAACATCGCCTTGCCAGGCACGCTAAGGAAAGGCTTGCGAAGCCCCAATGCGGTTTCAGGAAAGGGCGGTCCTCCACAGATGCCATATTTTCTGTCCGTCTGCTACAGCAGAGGTGTAGGGAATTCCAGTAAGACCTACATCTCTGCTTTATTGACCTGGTCAAGGCCTATGATACCATCAGTAGGCCTGGGCTCTGAGTTCTTCTTCGTGCTTTTGGAGTACCTGACCCTCTGCTCACGATCATTAAGGACCTTCATGTAGGTGAGCGGGCCCGGGTAAAACTACGTGGCCGGGAGTCAGAGCCATTCCCTGTACACCTTGGGGTGCAACAGGGATGTCCTCTGGCCCCCACATGATTTAACATCTATCTTGACCACATAGTTCGTGAAGCCTTCAATAGCTGTACCTGGGGAATCTCCATATGGTACAGATATAATGGGAGGCTGATCGATGCCCGGGTGCGGTCAAGGGATGGCTCCCTATTGCTCAACCACGTTATGTATGCTGATGATTTGGTAATAGCTGCTCAGTCAGAGGAGGAGTTGGAGACGCTGCTGCTGAGACTGGAGCGTGCCACTAAGAGGTGGGGCCTTACCATCAGCCCCACCAAAACTAAGCACCTGCCTGGGTATTTTGTACCATCGGACACTCTACCCCCGCAACTCCCAATCAGTGATGGGGTAGTTGTGGAGAGAGTGGAGAGTTTCCCATACCTGGGCAGTGTGCTTATGACCGGCTCCAGTTTAACAGCAGAGGTCTCACTCCGAATCAGTCGAGCGGCAATATATTTTCATCGGTTGCGTAACGCTGTGTGGAAGCTACCTGGTCTGTCGCTCCGCACTAAGCTTCAGGTCTTCTCGGCCACAGTCATTCCCTCCCTTCTCTACGCTTGCGAAACGTGGACCCCCCCTAATGGAACATCTTCGCCGGTTAGAAACATTTAGGCTAGCCTGCCTACGATCCATCCTGGGTTTAACCAAGCTGGATTGTGTGAGGAGCTCACAATTCCTTGAAAGATCTGGACAAGGTCCCATCGGTGAGCTCCTCCAGCAGGCAAGGCTGCGTTGGCTCGGTCATGTAGCTCGCATGCCCAGCCCCTGCATGCCTAAACAGCTTTTGTTCGGCCGGATCGAGGGGGCTAAATGGGCGCGGGCTAGAGAAGAGATGGAGTGATGTGGTACAGGAGGACGTGGAGCTGAGTGGACTTGACTGCTACCAGCGGTGTCAAGATCGGCCTCTGTGGAGAAGGCTCGTGAAGGACGCTATTGGACAGTTGGAGGCAGTCGCCCTCCAACAACAACGGAGGGCGGAGGAGCGACGCTTCACAACAACGAGCGGAGCGCCGGGTGGCTAAAACACAGGTTTGCACAGTAGGGGGCACAAGTGGTGCATCAGCCACTCATCTCAGTCAGTCGACCCGTGGCACTTGGGTCTGCCCCGTGACCTCCTGCCAGCGGGCGTTCGACACTTCACGTGGCCTCAAGGTGCACATCGCCTGGCACAAACGTCGTGGTTACGTCACTGCCACTTAGTGGCGAATGGCGGTTGTTGTTTAGTGTGTGTGTGAAAGTGGTGTGCGTGTGTGTGTGTCTCTCACCTTGTCGCCACGCGGCCCGGTGGCGCCGGACAAGCCGGACACGCCCTGCACGGCAGCGGCGCACAAACACAGCCACAGTGCGTGACACGTCAGCGCCTACTACTGCTGCTGATGATGATACTGATGATGATACTACTGCTGATACTGCTACTGCTGATGATGCTGCTGCTGCTGATACTACTGCTGCTGATGATACTGCTACTGATACTACTGCTGCTACTACTACTACAGCTGCTATTACTGCTGCTGATACTACTACTGCTACTACTGCTGCTGCTGATGATGCTGCTGATACTACTGCTGCTAATACTATTGCTGCTGATACTACTGCTGATGATACTGCTACTGATACTACTGCTACTACTACAGCTGCTATTACTGCTGCTGATACTACTACTGCTACTACTGCTGATGCTGCTGCTGCTGATACTACTGCTGCTAATACTATTGCTGCTGATACTACTGCTGCTGCTAAGTGTTCAAAATGAAAGTACCAGCAAGGGGCTAACATGGACATCTGAGCAGAGACAACTGCATCACGTGAGCGATGCACCGTCACGTGGGCCTGTGCAGGGCGAACACGTGATCGTGAGGACAGATGCAGGGACACACAGACGGGTGCTGGTGGGGTAGATGCTGGGGGATACACGGGGATATTTGGCGACATCCATTGAGTCCGTACGCATGGAGGGGGGAGGTTAACCCAAATGTGTACGCGTGCGTATGGTGGGGTCTACTGACAATGTACGTACGCATGGGAAACGGGGGGGGGGGGGGGTGAAGCCTCCCAAATAATGTCTACATTGGCCTTCAAATGAGTGAGATAGTCCGGTGGTGGACTATCTGTTTGCTTCAACACGTTAAAATTATTGATCCTTGATCGTTTCTGCGTGGATGAAATATCGGCCGTTCTATAGGATTCGGGGGGGGGGGGGGGGGGAGGTGCGTCAGGCGAACCTACACAGGTGGGGGGGGGGGGGGGGTGTAAAGAGTCGCCTGCGTACAGGGAGAGGGCCAGGGGTCAAGTTGTCACAGATTTGTGCGTACCTACTCAACGGATGGCCCCTTGACGGACAGACATTCGGACGGACAAATGGACAGTGTGATGGACAGACCGATGGATGTATAGACAGAGGGATGGGCGGACAGACGAGCGGATGATGGGCAGATTAATGGATGGACGTACAAGCTGGCAAACAGATTAAGGACAGATAGACAGGCAGACAGATGAATGCACAGAGGGACGGACATGTGGATGGACAGACGGACGGACAGAGTGGCGGGTCGACACGTGCACCGAACGGAGGGGTCGTGCCGTGCGGGACAGAGGGTCGCCGGAGTCAGAATCTTTCTCGAGTCTGGAGGAATCCGATGAGCCCCAAAGCTCTTTCGAGGGACACCGATGGCATCCCACCCACCTTGTAGCCCTCAGCGCCATCCTCGCCTCGCTCTCCCATGACCCCGGGCGGGCCCTGGGCGACAACCGAGACGGGGGAACCAAATTGTTCGATAAATGTCGGGCAAATCGGTCACCGAGCGATGCAAATCGTTCGATCAGTTCACGAATGAATCGGTGATTCAATCGACCAGTTGGTCAATTGGTAAATAAATCTGCCTGTTCATCAGTCAGCTAATGAGTCGTTCAATCGGCCGATCAACCAATTGTCTGCTTAGAGCATAGGCGACAGGTAACCTCAAATAACTCTACACTGTATCTAACCAATCTGTATATGAAAAATAGGAATAGGTGTTTACCCTTTCTGGGAATGAAATATACACCTTTTTCAAGGAATCTAGTTCCTGCATTAATCACACAAGGTACTTGTGGTGAACAGGCGAACAAAAACACGAATCTGATGTTTATATAATGCATTATCTTCATGATCTAGTCTCACTCCCAGTGTCAGACCAGAGAACAGCGCCTAAAGGCGGACAACACAAGGGCAATGCCACACGTGCTGGGGCATTTTTATCACTCGGGGTGAGCAGCCACCACATGGGAGTCTTTTTTTGCCAGTATCTAAGTATGAAAAAATAAAAGCACGTGTTTACCCTTGCAGGCAATAACACAGCAGTTGTGTTAAGATGTTCAAACCGAGGGTTTCCCTGGCAACCCACCTCGTCCGCTTTGAGACCAGGCGGGCCATCGCTGCCGCCCCTGCCCTGCAGAAGCGAATTCATGAATAAACATGTTATTATTATTATTACTGCTTCAACTCGAAACGCGCCCGCCACCCAGCATTCGCTCACTCTTGCGGGCATTCCACATTCATACGACGGGGGCGAGTCCATCCATCGGACAACCTTCGTTGACTTCCGCCCAAAAAAAGTTGGTACTCTCGTTTTGTCCACCCCCACCGAGATGATGGGCTAAGTCAAAATCAGAATGAGAATATTTGTTTACAATGGAGGAATCCGATGACTATAAAGCTCTTTCTCTCAGATCTCAAGGAAGGGGGCACGGGGCAAGACCATTACAACAACAAACAGTTACAACAACACGACAGGAGCGCAAAGTACAAGAAAGGTGAACACATCACCCAACCACATACAAATATAACTGAACCATCCCCGTGCTACCCAGGCAAAGCCCACAAAGGTGATGAACTTATTTTTCAGAAGCGACCTGGCCATCACAAATGACAGCTCAACCGAGTGGCCTCATCATTTGGACATTTACAGCAGAAAAATAAATCATCTCAATGCGTGGCGTTGAACTCCGCTCGCTCGATCGCCCGAGTCAGGAAAAGTGGTGCGCCTGCCGAGGTTGCAGTCGGTGCAACTGCACCGTGGCACACGGTGCAGCAGAGGGCCGGGGCCTGCGAGGAACGGATTCAATGGTGGGACAGGATGGAGGGAGGCGCCGGTCTTGAACCCTTCCCCTGTGATTCCAAGACGTCTGCAAGTTGCGGGGTGGGTGGCTGGGTGGGGTCCCGTGCACGGCCGAGTCCCGGAACGCGGCAAGCGGCTCGGCGTGGGGTTTCTTTAGAGAAGCGTAGCGGTGGTTAGTGCCGTTGTTTCTATCAAGACGTCGTAACTCGCCGCAGAGAACCGGAGCGACAAGACCGCCACCACGCTATGATAGCTGGCGCCAAAACTGTACTGCATGCCCCTTACCCCCCGCGCGTGGCCTTGTGGGGGCCTCGGTACCGACTACTGTTTGTTTTATTCAGATTCCATTCCGATGACGTATGCACACGTACGTACGTACACGCGTTACGTCATCGCGACGGAATCGGAAGGCAAAACTGGTGATGTACACACACGCACGTACACGCACGCACGTACGCACGCACGTAACGTCTTCAGGAGCGGAAAGGGTTTAACGAACCTGTTTCCCTGTTGCCCCACGTGGCCCCATTTCTCCCATAATTCCTAGCGGACCCTGGAAGTGAAATAACAAAAATTAAAGGGGGGAGACATGGGGGGGGGGGGGGGAACCACGACATGCGACGTTGTGAATTAAATAACACGTCATATACATATATACACACATATATGTATATCTATATACATATATACACATACACACACATATATACACACATATACACATATGTACACACATATATACACATATACATACATATATACACACATATATTGGTGTGTGTATATATGTGTGTACATATACGGGTGGGGGTCCGTGGTTCGAATCGCTCAGCCACCCTGGTGAATCCCGCGGCGCGTGTCGACCGTGATACTGCTGCTGCTGTCACTACGTCGCTGTCTGCTTCACTCACAGTGGACGTGTTCACTTTCGTTTGTTGTTCCTTCTCCTGCGCCTCCAGTTACCAACGTTGTCCCCAGCATGGGGGAATTGTTTTGTTGTTTTAGCCATGGGAAGAAATTGCAGAACCCGGAGGGAACCCACAGCGAGCAAAGCGAGAATGTGCACGATCCACACTGATGGGCGCCCGAGTCAGGAATCGAACCCCGGGCCTTATTGCTGTGTGGCGCAAGTCCCTGCGCTGCAGTCCCTCGACTGAACTGATGGAACAGATGGAACGGATGGAATGTACCAACTCCAGTAAGCGCGGCGGGGGGTGGGGCGGTTGAGTCCATTCGGAAAGTTTCATCTCACCTGGGGTCCTTTGGGTCCTTGAGGCCCAGGGCTGCCCCTGTCTCCCTGTGACAGCCAGAGAGAATTAAACAAAATTTATATTTTGAGTGTAAATGTTTTAACAATCCCCAAAAAACGTCTTATTGATACGGGCAGAACTACTTGAGTAGTGGGCGAGGCCACCTGAGTAGTGGGCGGGGCTACCAGGGTAGTGGGTGGCAGCCACCTGGGAAGTGGGTGGGGTTACCTGAGTAGTGGGCGGGGCCACCTGAGTAGTGGGCGGGGCCACCTGAGTAGTGAGCGGGGCTACCAGGGCAGTGGGCGGCAGCCACCTGGGTAGTGGGCGGCAGCCACCTGGGTAGTGAGCGGGGTTACCTGAGTAGTGGGCGTTGCTAATTGAGTAGTGGGCGGGGCCACCTGGGTAGTAGGCGGGGCCACCCGAGTAGTGGGCGGGGCCACCTGGGTAGTAGGCGGGGCCACCTGGGTAGTAGGCAGTGCTACTTGGGTAGTGGGGGGCTGACTGACAGCGTGGGGCTGCCAGCTGACCGCGCGTCCCATTGAGCCTCCCGGGACAATGGGGAGCTCTACGGATGGCGGTGTAAGAGAAGTGCTCTCCGCTGTTTTTTGGGGAGCTATTTAAGTGAAACGACGACAATTGATTTGTAGGTAGGAGGCAGCGATAGGAGGAAGGTGGTGGATGGGGGCGGACGGTGGGGTGGGGGGCGATGGTTGAGGTCAGCAGCGGTCACTCGCACCTGGGAGCCGTTGACCCCGGGGTCCCCGGCTGGACCGGGGTGCCCCATCATGCCCTGCGGACGAGGCGACGGACACGGAGAGACCACGCAGAGGGGCACGAGTGGGCAAGACAAGACACACGCAGGGACTAACTCAACCTACTATTTATTATTGATGTTACTCGGTGTAAGGCCCACTCAGCTGCTATGTCGCTTTTTTGTTATCAGAAGCGACCTGGCCACAGATGATAGCCCAACGGAAGCGGCGGCTTACCACCACCACCATCATCATCGTGTGGACAGTTTTAGCAGCAGCCAGACACTCTAAACGCGTTGTGACGTCGTTGTGACGTTGATTCTAAAATGTGGAGGGGAAAAAAGCGGAGGACCTGGAGAAAAATCCACGCAGTGACCACGGGGGGAGAGAGAGAGACGCAAACTCCAAATACACAGCAGCAGCAGCAGGCGTCAGTGTCAGTGGGATGGGTGGGGTGGGTGGTTGGGATGCGGTGGGAGGGGTGGGGTGGGAGAGGTGAGTGGGGTGGGTGGGTGAGGTGGGGTGGGTGAGGTGGGTGGGGTGGGTGAGGTGGGGTGAGGTGGGTGGGGTGGGTGAGGTGGGTGGGGTGGGTGGGGTGGGTGGGGTGGGTGGGTGGGGTGGGGTGAGGTGGGTGGTTGGGTGGGGTGGGGTGAGGTGGGTGGGTGGGGTGGGTGGGGTGGGGTGAGGTGGGTGAGGTGGGGTGGGTGGGGTGGGGTGGGTGGGGTGGGGTGGGTGGGGTGAGGTGGGGTGGGTGAGGTGGGTGGGGTGGGTGAGGTGGGTGGGGTGGGTGAGGTGGGTGGGGTGGGGTGAGGTGGGTGGGGTGGGTGGGGTGGGTGAGGTGGGTGGGGTGGGGTGGGTGGGTGGGGTGGGGTGAGGTGGGTGGGGTGGGTGGGGTGAGGTGGGTGGGGTGGGTGGGGTGGGGTGGGTGGGGTGGGGTGGGGTGGGGCGAGGTGGGTGGGGTGGGGTGGGGTGAGGTGGGTGGGGTGGGTGGGGTGAGGTGGGTGGGGTGGGTGGGTGGGGTGAGGTGGGTGGGTGGGGTGGGTGGGGTGAGGTGGGTGGGGGGGGTGGGTGGGGTGGGTGGGGTAGGTTGGGGGTTGGGTTTGGTGGGGGGATTGGGTGGGTGGGGGGGGGGTGGGGTGGGTGGGGTGAGGTGGGGTGGGGTGGGGTGAGGTGGGGTTGGTGGGTGGGGTGAGGTGGGTGGGTGGGGTGGGTGAGGTGGGTGGGGTGAGGTGGGTGGGGTGAGGTGGGTGGGGTGAGGTGAGTGGGGGGGGGGGAGTGGGGTGAGGTGGGTGGGGGGGGGTGGGTGGGGTGGGTGGTGTTGGTGTGGGGGTGGGTGGGGTGGGGTGGGGGTGGGGGGGTGTGGGTGGGGGTGTGGTGGTGGGGGTGGGTGGGGGGGGTGGGGTGGGGGGGGTGGGTGGGGTGGGGTGGGTGGGGTGGGGTGGGGTGGGTGAGGTGGGTGGGGTGGGTGAGGTGGGTGGGGTGGGTGGGGTGGGTGAGGTGGGTGGGGTGGGGTGAGGTGGGTGGGGTGGGTGGGGTGGGTGAGGTGGGTGGGGTGGGGTGAGGTGGGTGGGGTGGGGTGAGGTGGGTGGGGTGGGTGGGGTGGGTGGGTGGGGTGGGGTGGGGTGGGTGGGTGGGGTGGGGTGGGTGGGTGGGGTGGGGTGAGGTGGGTGGGGTGGGTGGGGTGAGGTGGGTGGGGTGGGTGGGGTGGGGTGGGTGGGGTGGGGTGGGGTGGGGTGGGGCGAGGTGGGTGGGGTGGGGTGGGGTAAGGTGGGTGGGGTGGGTGGGGTGAGGTGGGTGGGGTGGGTGGGTGGGGTGAGGTGGGTGGGGTGGGTGGGGTGAGGTGGGTGGGGGGGGTGGGTGGGGGGGGTGGGTGGGGTGGGTGGGGTAGGTTGGGGGTTGGGTTTGGTGGGGGGATTGGGTGGGTGGGGGGGGGTGGGTGGGGTGAGGTGGGGTGGGGTGGGGTGAGGTGGGGTTGGTGGGTGGGGTGAGGTGGGTGGGTGGGGTGGGTGAGGTGGGTGGGTGAGGTGGGTGGGGTGAGGTGGGTGGGGTGAGGTGGGTGGGGTGGGTGGGTGGGGTGAGGTGGGTGGGGGGGGGTGGGTGGGGTGGGGGGGGTGGGTGGTGTGGGTGGGGGGGTGGGGTGGGTGGGGGGTGGGTGGGTGGGGGGGTGGGGTGGGTGGGTGGGGGGGGTGGGGGGGTGGGTGGGGGGGTGGGGTGGGTGGGGGGGTGGGGTGGGTGGGGTGAGGTGGGGTGGGGTGGGGTGGGTGAGGTGAGGTGGGGTGGGTGGGGTGGGTGGGGTGGGGTGGGTGGGGTGGGGTGGGGTGGGTGGGTGGGGTGGGTGGGGTGGGTGGGGTGGGTGAGGTGAGGTGGGTGAGGTGGGGTGGGTGGGGTGGGGTGGGTGGGTGGGTGGGGTGGGGTGGGTGGGTGGGTGGGGTGGGTGGGTGGGGTGGGGTGAGGTCGGGTGGGGTGAGGTGGGTTAAGGAGGGGTGGGTGAGGTGGGTGGGGTGGATGGGGTGGGTGGGGTGAGGTGGGGTGAGGTGGGTGAGGTGGGTGAGGTGAGGTGGGTGAGGTGAGGTGGGTGAGGTGGGTGAGGTGAGGTGGGTGAGGTGAGGTGGGTGAGGTGGGTGAGGTGGGTGGGTTGGGGTGGGTGGGGTGGGTGGCCCGCACCGCACACTCAAATCACGCGACACAACTCACGGGCAAAGCGTCAACGCCTTCTCAGGACCAACCAACACATCGCATCTCCGATGGACACAAAACAAACGTGAGCAAGACCGATCTAAATGAATAAATGAACATATATAGTTTGAATTAATAATCAGAATCTGTATTTACACTGCAGGAAAAATCCTATGAGCTATAAAGCTCTTTATTCAGAGATGTCCAGTAGGGGCACGGGCTAAGAACGTTGCAACAACAAACACGATACAGTGCAAATACATTAAAGGTGAACAAATCACCCAACACACAAACACATCCCCATAGCTCAACAAAGTGGCCCATTATTTGGACATTTATAGCAGCCATAATTACCGTAATGATCTCAATGCATGTTTCTAAATGAATGACCAAACGATTGAAGAATTAATTAAAGGACCAAATAAATGAATGACCAAAGGAATTGAATGAATCATCCAAGGCAATGAACGACTGACTCAACGGGAAGAATGACCAAACGATCAGAAAGAATGACTTAATCGAACGAACGCCCACCAATGGGCGTCATGCATGACACGTTGGCACGAAGAGGCAGTGACGCGAGCTCACGGCGCGTTTCTGCTTTAAGGAACGACTCACCTCAACTCCGGAGGGACCCTGCAAACCCACGAATCCGTAATCCCCCTGGGAAACAAGCGAATGTCATTAAAGTTGGGAAGAGAAACCCCTCGTCCCGCCTGGACCCCCACCCCCAATCCCCCCGCGTCCCCCACCACCTCCCCACGCAAACTGAGCGAGCCGGGCAGACGAGAAACTCGCGTCAAGCCACGGCCGTGGAAAGAGTGAATTGTCCTTTCATAGCCACAGGCACGTGGCAGGAGAGACAGACAGGCAACAACCGCCACACACATACACGCGCACACGCGCACACACACGCACACACACGCACACACACGCACGCACACACACGCGCACACACACGCACGCACACACACGCGCACACACACACACGCAGGCAGGCGGACGGACACACGCGGTGGCTGTCACTGCTGTCACTGCTGTCACTGCGGTCTCCCGCTCGTCCGTCAATTGGCATTTCCAGGAATCTGCGCTTTTCTGGGAAAGGTTGGGCTGAGGTTGGCGCGGTGGTGGCGGAGGTGGTGGTGGTGGTGGCGGTGGTGGTGGTGACGGTGGTGGCGGTGGTGATGGTGATGGCGGTGATGGTGGTGGCGGTGGTGACGGTGATGACGGTGGCGGTGGTGGTGGTGGCGGTGGTGGTGGTGGCGGCGGTGGTGGCGGTGATGGTGGTGGTGGCAGTCATGGTGGTGGTGGCGGTGGTGATGGTGATGGCGGTGATGGTGGTGGCGGTGGTGACGGTGGCGGTGGTGGCGGTGGTGGTGGTGGCGGTGGTGGCAGTGATGGTGGTGGTGACGGTGGTGGCAGTGATGGTGGTGGTAGCGGTAGTGATGGTGATGGTGGTGGCGGTGGTGACGGTGATGACGGTGGTGGTGGCAGTGGTGGTGGTGGTAGTTGCAGCGTTGGTGGTGACGGTGGTGGTGATGGTGGTGGCGGTGATGGCGGTGCCGGCGGTATTGGTGGCGGTGATTGGGAACTAAAACTCACCACTAATTAATATTTTGCCGGGTGTAAAGCCCCACTAAGCTGCTACGTGGCTCTTTCTCAGATAGCTCGACGAAGTGGCTCATCGTCACCGCGTGGACATTTACAGCGGGGCCAAACAATCATCGTGGTCGACCTGGGCGGAAAAATCCACGTGACAGTGGTGAAGAGGGAAAGAGAGACACGCAAACCCCCAATATACAGCAGGCGTCAGGGTTGGGATCGAACCCACGACCTCCTGTGGACCAGGCGAGGGAGGTCACCGGAGCTCTCGATTGAATTGAACCGAAAACGGCACCACGCGCACATCAGCAGCGCCGTGGTCGTGCCAAGCGAGTTTCTGATTCGGTGCTGCCGTGCGCAGGTGACTAAACGCAACGAGTGCGGCGGCACACGTCCCGGAACGCACGCAAGCACGCACACACACACACGCACACACACACGCACACACAAACACACGCACGCACACACATACACACACACACGCACACATACACACACACACGCGCACACACACGCACACACATACACAAACACAAGCACACACGCACACACACACACGCACACACGCACACGCACACACGCACACACGCACACACACACACGCACACACGCACACACGCGCGCACACTCGCGCACACAAGCACACAAGCACGCACACGCACGCACACAGACGCACACACGCACATACACGCGCACACACGCGCACACACACACGTGCATACGCGCACGCACACACGCACACGCGCACACACACGCACATACACGCGCACACACGCGCACGTTGAACTCCCGTCGCGCCGTACGGAGCGGACCGTCAGCTGATTGGAGGTGCGTGGAGGGGGGTGGGGGGACGAAGAGGAGGAATCGCCGCGCTGGGTGTGAATCGCGGTCACTCACGGGGAGCCCTGTGGCACCGGCCGGCCCAGCGACTCCTTTGACGCCGGGAGGGCCCTGAAGAGATGTGAACACACAGACACACATACACACAGACATACATACACACACAGACACACACAGACACACACATACACACAGACATACATACACACACAGACACACACATACACACAGACATACATACACACAGACACACACACAGAGACATACATACATACACACACAGACACACATACACACAGACATACATACACACAGACACACACATACACACAGACATACATACACACACAGACACACACACACAGACATACAACAACCGCCATTCGCCACTAAGTGGCGGTGACGTCACCACGACGCGTGTGCCAGGCTATGTGCACCTTGAGGCCACGTGAAGTGTCGAACGCCCGCTGGCAGGAGGTCACGGGGCAGACCCAGGTGCCACGGGTCGACTGACTGAGATGACTGGCTGATGCACCACCTGTGCCCCCTACTGTGCCAACCTGCTGTGCTTTAGCCACCCAGCGCTCTGCTCGTTGTTGTGAGCGTCGCTCCTCCGCCCTCCGTTGTTGTTGGAGGGCGACTGCCTCCAACTGCCCAGTAGCATCCTTCACGAGCCTCCTCCACAGAGGCCGATCTTGACACCGCTGGTACCAGTCATCGGCAAGTCCACTCAGCTCCACGTGCCGCGTCCGTTTAGCCCCCTCTATCCAGCCGAACAAAAGCTGTTTCGGCATGCGGTGGCTGGGCATGCGGGCTACATGACCCAGCCAACGCAGCCTTGCCTGCCGGAGGAGCTCACCGATTGGACCTTGCCCAGAACTTTCAAGGATTTGTGAGCTCCTCACACAATCCATCCTGGTAAAACCCAGGATGGATCGTAGGCAGGCTAGCCTAAATGTTTCTAACCGGCGAAGACATACACACAAACACAGACACAAAAAAGACAAAGATCGCCCGTAAAGCCTTAACAGACTGTAGGGGCAAGTGCTGTTAGCGAGCACCTTTGAAGGCCGGCACGGCACATGAGGTGGCCAACACCACGCCCGGCCGCCTTTGTCTCCCTAGTGGCGATGTTTACACATCGCACCGGGAACTCATTTTAGGCTGAGTCGACCTACAGGAGGCCCCGGACCGTTTCAGGTTAATAGTCACCGGTCTTGGCCGTTAACGGGAATCGAACCCGGGACGCCAGGTGCATAGCGCAGCGCGCTAACCACTGCACCACCGCCCCCCAGACACACGCACAGTGACACACACAAACAACAAACGAATTGAGGGCAATTTAAACGCAGAGGCCGGATGGAACCAACCCGGTTACACTAAGTCCTCGTTCCGTTACAACGAGAACGTGCACACCTCCGGCATGACGCGGGACACGCTCCGGCATGACGCGGACGCGCTCCGGCATGACGCGGGACGCGTTCCGGTATGACGCGGGACGCGCTCCGGTATGACGCGGGACGCGGTCGACAATGAATTACTTTCGCGGTCTGCGTGGTTTGTGAGCGGTGTGCGGGAATCTCGGGAGTATGCGCAGAGTGATAGGTCGGTACGCAGTGGCGAAGTACTCTCTCATCTCTCACCACGAGACCTCTCTCTCATCTCTCACCGCGAGACCTCTCTCTCATCTCACCACGAGACCTCTCTCTCATCTCACCATGAGACCTCTCTCTAATCTCACCATGAGACCTCTCTCATCTCACCACGAGACCTCTCTCTCATCTCACCACGAGACCTCTCTCTCATCTCACCACGAGACCTCTCTCTCATCTCACCACGAGACCTCTCTCTAATCTCACCACGAGACCTCTGTCATCTCACCACGAGACCTCTCTCATCTCACCACGAGACCTCTCTCTCATCTCACCATGAGACCACTCTCATCTCACCACGAGACCTCTCATCTCACCACGAGACATCTCTCTCATCTCACCACGAGAACTCTCTCTCATATCACCATGAGACCTCTCTCTCATCTCACCACGAGACCTCTCATCTCACCATGAGACCTCTCTCTCATCTCACCACGAGACCTCTCTCTCATCTCACCATGAGACCTCTCATCTCACCATGAGACCTCTCATCTCACCATGAGACCTCTCACCTCACCATGAGACATCTCTCTCATCTCACCACGAGACCTCTCTCTCATCTCACCACGAGACCTCTCTCTCATCTCACCATGAGACCTCTCTCTCATCTCACCACGAGACCTCTCATCTCACGACGAGACCTCTCTCTCATCTCACCATGAGACCTCTCATCTCACCATGAGACCTCTCTCTCATCTCACCATGAGACCTATCTCTCATCTCACCATGAGACATCTCTCTCATCTCACCATGAGACCTCTCTCTTATCTCACCACGAGACCTCTCTAATCTCACCACGAGACCTCTCATCTCACCATGAGACATCTCTCTCATCTCACCATGAGACCTCTTTCTCATCTCACCACGAGACCTCTCTCTCATCTCACCACGAGACCTCTCTCGTCTCACCACGAGACCTCTCTCTCATCTCACCACGAGACCTCTCTCTCATCTCACCACGAGACCTCTCTAATCTCACCACGAGACCTCTCATCTCACCATGAGACATCTCTCTCATCTCACCATGAGGCATCTCTTTCATCTCACCATGATACCTTTTATCTCACCACGAGACCTCTCTCTCATCTCACCACGAGACCTCTCTCTCTCATCTCACCACGAGACCTCTCTCACATCTCTCATCTCACCATGGAACCACTCTCTCATCTCACCATGAGACCTCTCTCTCATCTCACCACGAGACCTCTCTCATCTCACCATGAGATCTCTCTCTCATCTCACCACGATACCTCTCTCTCATCTCACCACGAGACCTCTCTCGTCTCACCACGAGACGTCTCTCTCATCTCACCACGAGACCTCTCTCATCTCACCATGAGATCTCTCTCTCATCTCACCACGAGACCTCTCTCTCATCTCACCACGAGACCTCTCTCGTCTCACCACGAGACGTCTCTCTCATCTCACCATGAGACCTCTCATCTCACCATGAGACCTCTCTCTCACCATGAGACCTCTCTCTCATCTTACCACGAGACCTCTCTCTCATCTCACCATGAGACCTCTCTAATCTCACCACGAGACCTCTCTCTCATCTCACCATGAGACCTCTCTCTCTCATCTCACCATGATACCTCTCTCTCTCTCATCTCACCATGAGACCTCTCATCTCACCATGAGATCTCTCATCTCACCATGAGACCTCTCATCTCACCATGAGACCTCTCATCTCACCATGAGACCTCTCTCTCTCATCTCACCACGAGACCTCTCATCTCACCATGAGACCTCTCTCATCTCACCACGAGACCTCTCATCTCACCATGAGACCTCTCTCTCATCTCACCATGAGATATCTCTCTCATTTCACCATGAGACATCTCTCTCACCATGAGACCTCTCTCTCATCTCACCATGAGACCTCTCATCTCATCTCACCATGAGACCTCTCTCATCTCACCATGAGACCTCTCTCATCTCACCACGAGACCTCTCATCTCATCTCACCACGAGACCTCTCTCATCTCAACACCAGACCTCTCATCTCATCTCACCATGAGACCTCTCTCTCATCTCACCACGAGACCTCTCACCTCACCATGAGACCTCTCTTTCATCTCACCACGAGACCTCTCACCTCACCATGAGACCTCTCTCTCATCTCACCATGAGACCTCTCTCTCATCTCACTATGAGACCTCTCTCTCATCTCACCACGAGACCTCTCACCTCACCATGAGACCTCTCTCTCATCTAACCATGAGACCTCTCTCTCATCTCACTATGAGACCTCTCTCTCATCTCACCACGAGACCTCTCTCTCATCTCACCATGAGACCTCTCTCTCATCTCACCACGAGACCTCTCTCTTATCTCACCATGAGACCTCTCATCTCACCATGATACCTCTCATCTCACCATGAGACCTCTCTCATCTCACCATGAGACCTCTCATCTCACCACGAGACCTCTATCTCATCTCACTCGATAGTCCCCCGCCATGGGAAAGGCTGCAGGCCGATTTTAAACAGCCAACTTGATGCAAATTTGATTTCACTTACAGGGACTCCTCTACTTACTAACGGGTTGGGTTCCAGAAGTCTGCTCTAAAGTCGATTTGTTCGGACGTCCAACTTTACTCCTGTCAATTCAAAACGTGTTGTACCGCGTGTACACCAAACACGGAGGATTGCTTTAAAAGTTGTATAATCTCCTGTAGATGCCACTGATTCTTCACGTTCTGGAGATGTAGCTGCCACTGGTTCTTCACGTTCTGTAGATGTAGATGCCACTGGTTCTTCGCGTTCTGTAGATGTAGATGCCACTGGTTCTTCGCGTTCTGTAGATGCCACTGGTTCTTCACGTTCTGTAGATGTAGATGCCACTGGTTCTTCACGCTCTGCAGATGTAGATGCCACTTATTCTTCACGTTCTGTAGATGTAGATGCCACTAATTCTTCACGCTCTGCAGATGTAGTTGCCACTGGTTCTTCACGTTCTGGAGATGTAGATGCCACTTATTCTTCACGTTCTGTAGATGTAGATGCCACTGGTTCTTCACGCTCTGCAGATGTAGTTGCCACTGGTTCTTCACGTTCTGTAGATGCCACTGGTTCTTCACGTTCTGCAGATGTAGATTCCACTGGTTCTTCACATTCTGCAGATGTAGATGCCACTGGTTTTTTCACATTCTCTAGATGTAGATGCCACTGGTTCTTCATGTTCTGCAGATGTAGATGCCACTGGTTCTTCACGTTCTGCAGATGTAGATGCCACTGGTCCTTCACATTCTGCAGATGTAAATGCCACTGGTTCTTCACGTTCTGCAGATGTAGATGCCACCACCGCCATATTTTGCGCGGGGCAGTTTAACTTACGACTCTCGGTCCGAGCAGGCAACTGGACATACGGACCAGGTTTGTTCATATCTCTGAATGTTCGTAAGTAGGGTAGTCCCTGTACTGATTCTCTATGGTGTATATACAAAGTGACTCCCTCCTCCCCTTAACGCGTCTTCGCTTAACGTGTCAGGAACGCATCTACTACCAGCGCATTGAACGAATAATGTTTATTTATCTTTGATCAAGGAGACTTGGGGACTACTTGAATCTACTACTTTATATTTTACCAGGTAAGGCCCCTCAATAAGCTATTGTGTAGCTCTTTCTCAGAAGCGACCTGGCCATCACAAATGATAGCTCAATGGAAGTTGCTTATCATCATCACCATCATCACGTGGACATTTATAGCAGCAGCCAAATCCTTCTGAACACGTTGTGACTTTGAGTCTAAAAGTGGAGGGAAAATAAAGCGGAGGACCGGGAGAGAATTCCACGTGATCACGGGGAGAGAGAGACACGCAAAGTCCAAATATACAGCAGGCGTCATGGTCGAGTCTAACCCACGACCTCCTGTATACCAGGCGAGGTGGTTAACATCTCGTCTTTTAGGGGGGTCGGGGGGGGGTGGTGGGTAGCATTCACCAACTTAGTTCCAGTGTATCCATAGCGGGGGAGGGGGGGGCATCGCAGAGTAATCTCTGTGTGATCCACCAACCCCAGTGATTATTATCTTGCGTGAATGCAGCAACGGCTCTCGGTCTCTCTCAACTCACCATGGCTCCCAGAGCTCCCGGCAGCCCGGGGTCGCCCTTCTCTCCCTGCGCAGACGAAGACACACGGCGAGCGAGCAAGAGAGCGAGAGAAAGAGAGAGAGAAAGAGTGAGTGAGTGGGAGAGTGAGTGGGAGAGTGAGTGAGTGGGAGAGTGAGAGAGAGTGAGCGAGAGAGAAAGAGAGAGAGAAAGAGAGATTGTGTGAGTGAGTGGAAGAGTGAGGGAGAGCGAGAGAGAAAGAGAGAGTGTGAGGGAGTGAGTGAGCGAGAGAGAGGGAGAGAAAGAGTGTGTGAGAGTGAGTGGGAGAGTGAGTGAGTGAGAGAGTGAGAGAGAGTGAGCGAGAGTGTGTGAGAGTGAGTGAGTGGGAGAGAGAGGGAGAGAGAGCGAGAGAAAGAGTGTATGAAAGTGAGTGAGTGAGAGTGAGTGAAAGAAAGAGCGAGTGAGGGTGAATGAGTGAGAGAGAGTGAGAGAGTGAGTGAAAGAAAGAGCGAGTGATGGAGTGAGCAGAGAGCGAGTGAGAGGGATGGTGAGACTAGCCAGCCACAGACACTCGTGTCCATCCGCGCTACAACTCGCTGATCTGTGTTGGTGATTTGATCCCCTAGACACTGTGTCGTCTCAACCACCTACATTGTGCTCGACCACCGCATTGCAAGTGTTACGTAAAGACGAGCACACCGATGGAGTACAAAGCTCTCTACCCAGCGAGCCTCGGAGAGCCCCCAGACGATTCTTGACAAGTTTTCTAAGGAGTGCGGGGGCCGACGACTGCTCCCACTGTATTCTTGGTTCTTTCGGTAAAGTCACGTAGAAGGGAAACAATTAAATAATAAAAATATAAAACAATAAAATTCTCACGACGTTTAGACTGCAACACAAGCAATCATCATCAGGTGTGAAAACCACGGCAAGAAAATTTGAAAAAAGTGGCTTTTTTTTTTTAAGACCGGCACGGCCGCATGAGAGGGCGGGTAGCCATCACCACGGCCGGCCGTCTTTGTCTGCCCAGTGGCAATGTTTACTCACCGCACCGGGCACTGAGTCGATCTAGGGCAGAGGCCCAGGACCGGTTCAGATAATCGTGGCCGTGAACGGGAATCGAACTTGTGGGTCACCTGGTTCGTAGCGCAGCGGTGCGCTACCTGCTGTGCCACCACTCCCCACAACAGACGCATACAGCACAGAGTGGAAAACACGGAGTGGACAACATGGAGTGGACAACACGGAGTAGACAACACGGAGTGGACAGAACAGAGTAGACAACACGGAGTGCACAACACGGAGTGGACAACACGGAGTGCACAATACGGAGTGGACAGAAGAGAGTAGACGGCACGGAGTAGACAACACGGAGTGGACAGCACAGAGTCGACAGAAGGGAGTAGACAGAAAAGAGTGGACAGAAGGGAGTAGACAACACGGAGTGGACAGAAGGGAGTGGACAATACGGAGTGGACAACACGGAGTAGACAACACGGAGTGGACAGATGGGAGTAGACAGAAAAGAGTGGACAGAAGGGAGTAGACAGAAGAGAGTGGACAGAAGGGAGTGGACAACACGGAGTGGACAGAAGGGAGTGGACAACACGGAGTGGACAACACGGAGTAGACAACACGGAGTGGACAGAAGGGAGTAGACAGAAAAGAGTGGACAGAAGGGAGTAGACAGCACGGAGTGGACAGAAGGGAGTGGACAGCACGGAGTGGACAGCCACTCGCCTTGGGTCCTCGTTCGCCCTTTGGGCCGATATCACCAACATCACCACGGTAACCCTGTGTGGGAGATGCCATCGTCATCACCATCATCACAACCATCATCACCATCATCACCATCATCATCGCTGTTAAAACCACTACTCCCATCATCATCACAACCATCATCACCATCATAACCACCGTCATCATCGCCATCACCATCGCCATCATTATTACCATCATCATCATGAACACCGCAACTATCATCATCGTTACCACCATCTTGCTGTATCCCTCTGCGGCTCGCCCTGAACACCCTAACAAGGGAGACGTTTCAATTGATAAAGAATAAAATAAACCAAACTCACCTGGTCTCCCTTCTCTCCGGGTGGCCCTCTCTCTCCTTTGTCTCCCTGCGGTCCCTAGGGCACAAATAACCACCCGCACCACGCACACACCACACACACACCACGTGGTTTGGACAGGATGGAGCTACCGGTCTTGAACCCTTCCCCGTGTGTCCAAGACGTCTGCAGTGTGGCTGGGTGGGGTCCCGTTCACTGCCGAGTCTCGCAACGCGGCAAGCGGCTCGACGTTAATTTTCTTTAGAGAGGCGCAGTGGTGGTTAGCGCCGTTGTTTCTATAAAGACGTCGTTACTCGCCGCAGAGAACCGTAGCGACACAACCGCCGCCACTCTACGATAGCCGGCGCCAAAACTGCGTGGCGTGCCCCTCCCCCCCTCCCCCGCGTGGCCTTGCGGGCGAGCCTCGGTACCGATAAAGTTATTTTACGAACGTGCGTACGTCATCGGGAACGCATGACGTATGCCTGCATGTACGTCATCGGAGTGCGAAAGGGTTATTAAAAGCAAGCGATAAAATAAATACTAAAAAAAACAGCCATTTTCTTACGGGCTCTCCGGGCGGGCCCAGGGGTCCTTGCTCGCCATCGTCGCCTTGGATACCGTCGGGCGCGGGCCGGCCTGCAGGCCCGGTGAGGCCTGGTAGGCCCGACTCCCCCTGCTCGCGTGAAACAGATCACATTTAGCATGGGAGATGTAGCAATTCGTCGTCATGAATGACAACAACTTGTCAATCGCTTTTTTTAGTCGGATTAACACCTAGTAGGCTTTTGCGACCAATATTCATAATTGAGGTTTTTGGGTAAGAGCGCATAAATATGTGTCGTTAAACCCGCCACCAGCTGACACAGCCAATTAGTAAGGTTTGTCACGTCAACAATACATGTCAATTTGTTACTAGTACAGCACACCGCTTGTGTGTTGGAGAGTAAACCCACGACATTTACAATTTAACGACACAGTTATATTTCCACGATCTAACCCAAAAACCTCTATTATGGTTTTTAATAGGTGGGCTGAGAAAATTCGGCTCACCGGCCTGCCTCGCTCCCCTTTCTCTCCGTCGTTTCCCGGAATTCCTGGCGGTCCCTGGGGAAGAGAGAGAGAGAGTTGAAGGTCGTTAAGTCCACAAAAAAACGCAAACCCACCGACGAGTGATTATCCGACATTTACAGATTTGAAAAACGGAACGTTGGAACGCAGGTCACGGTCAGCCGAGGGTTGGCAACGTTACCAGCGGGGTTTGTAGCCCACAATGGTCCGGTCCGTGGTTGTATGATTTATACCAAGACGGGCAGGTTAAACCGAGTGAGGAGGAGCCGCTAACAAACGATACCGGTGCTTTTGAGACGTAGAGGCCTTTCGTGACCGATATTATTCGTCACAATTCAGGCATAATTCAACCCGACGAAGTTGGTTGTTGTTGTTGGAATCACCGGCAAAACGTCGCGGTTACTCGAATTGGAAAATAATGTTGGCTTCACTCTCCAACACACAACCGGTGTGCGCTGAAGTTAGTAACTGCGCCACGTTTTGTTCACGCGACAAACCTTACTCATTTGGCCACGTCTGGTGGTTGGCGGGGTTAACGACACATTTATGCTCGTGCGCTCTAACCCCAAACCTGCCTACCAATACGGTTTTGTTGTACAGGGAAATTGAGTTTTCAGGTCCATAAAGCATACAGCCGTTTCAATACCGACACATTTTATTGACTATTTGTTTATGTTTTTCCCGTGATAGGACTCTGTAGGATTAACGTTGAGATTTAGAAAGGCGCTGGGTGACAAAGAAGGTCTTAATTGGTCTCTAAAAAGGTAGGGCACTGATAAGGGGTTGGCGGGTTTGTAGTTTAAATTCCAAACGAATAAAACCTCTACTATTAAGATAGCAGCGTGTAGCATTCAAAAGAGGGCACGAATGAGTGCCGGTTAATTCGCAACCGTGGGTAACTCACCCGTGGGTAATCAAGGGTTAACCGCGTATACAGTTTTATTGAAAGTTTATCAGTCAGTGCGGTCGATCATCCAGCACTCCCTGACTCACTCCAGTCACCCGCTCAGCGGCGGTCAGTCACCTCCTTATCACTCCGCTGCCGCTACTAACACGGCCACCGCTCCCGGGAACTTCACCCGCCGATTTCTCCGCTGGCGTCTATATTTCACGCCGACTGGATTCATCTCACACCCACACCCCTTGTGGTCAACCACCACACTGTTGGTCACAGCAACACAACTCGACCATCACCCACCCACTCACTCAACTACTCGATACCTCGCCTACACGCTCTCTCGCCCGCCGACCCACCCACACGCCACACCGCGGCCCGTAACACTTCCTGCCTCTTCCCCTCGAGTCGCCTCGTTTCTCGCCAAAGCTCTTCAAACTCGCGCCTTCGTCGGCCCCGCATGTTCCTCGCCGCCTCCGGGCCTGCGCTCAGCAACGGTGAACGGTAAACCCCAACAGCACCAGGGGGCATCAAGAGTTCAATACTCACCCTGGGGCCTGGGTCCCCTGTCCTCCCCATGGGGCCCGTAGGGCCCTGATGTCTCTGTCGAGAAGCACAAAATTGCGACGTTGAAAATTAGCGATTTACCCTTTCGCATTCCGCGTGTGCGCTTCACGTTTTTTTTAATCTTCCCATTCCGTTCCGATGACGTATGTGTGAGTAACGACGTCTTTAAACACAATGGCACTGCCGCTACTACGCCTCTCTAAATAAAATGAACGCTAAACCGCTTGCCGCGTTTGTAGATTTTCGGCAAGAATGGGACACCCACCCTGAAACTTGCAGACATCCCGCAATACAGGAACGGGTTACCTCCCGTCTATATAGACATATGTATGCACGTAAGATTTCACGGCCAATATTATGATTATAAATTAGACCGTGCAGGTATAATGTCAGTTGTTATTAATCTATAAGCCTCCATCGGCCAACGACAGAGCCAATCGAACTTCAGTTTTCACGTCATTGGTAAATATGCGTCGGCAGGGGGCAGCACTTTCCACCATCGCTGCCAACGCCACGTGCTTGATTCTCAGAGCTGGAATTTATGCAAATGAAATGCGGAACCAAAAATGGACGTTTCCTTTTTTTTCGCGTGCAGTCATTGGTCACCTGGCTGCTACCGTTGCTGCTGATGCTACCGCTGCTGCTGATGATGTTATGGAAGATAAAGCGATTGTGTGTATATTATGGGACCTTTTTTGCCAGTATCAAAATATGAAAAATAAGAATAGGTGTTACCCTTTCTGGCAATAAAACAGGCGTTAAGATGTTCAAACACCAAATAGAGACCTTACGCACGGAATCAAGGATGTATGTATTATGTTGAACTTTCGCACTGTACATAGTCAACTCTGATATATAATCCGAGGTGCGAATTATGCTGCTGGTACAGCTGCTGATGATCATGCCGCTGATGATGATGCTACAAGGAAGATAACACTTCTTGGGGGTGATAATGATGATTCTGCTACTGCACCTGCCACTGATGATGATATAAAAAAAGTTTAATTCTTACCGGCCAATTGTCAATGAGCGTCTTGTAAAACTTGCTTTGCTGTGGAGAGATAAACAGAAAATAAACGGGAACATATTTAATTATCGTAGATTCTCAAGTATCTACGTGCAGTTTATCCGATTTGCAGATTAACTGTGCACCTGAGATTTTGACATGAATTAATAACTCATGGATTTTCCCTTAAGCCCAAATTAGTAATAAACAAACAGTAATACAATGTTATGCTTAAACCGAACATATATATTGCTATGGTTAATCCGAAATCTACGTGATCGCCCTACAGTACAGTAGTTTCAATATATTTACAAGGGTGGGCGGAGTTTGATTGCTGTTGATTGGCGTGGCTCTGCTGTCATCCACTTAGTGGCGTGGAGGCTTCTGCACGGGAGCAGAAAAGTGTTATCAATGAGCATGTGCATCGATCGTTTGATCGTTAGTTTTTGGCACAGAGATCCGCAGATTTATTACTTTTGGATTATCCGCGATTTTGAATTCTCCTCGGCCGTCCTCCCCGTCGGTGCGGATAATCGAGAGTCAACTGTACATAATAGAGTTTTTTTTGGGTTAGATCGCGTAAATATATAAATGTGTTGTTAAACCCGCCACCACCCGACACAGCCAACTAGTAAGGGTTGTCACGTAAACAGAACGTGCCAATTTGTTACGAGTACATCACACCGGTGTGTTGGAGAACAAAGCCAAAACATTTACAATCTGAGTCCGACCTTTTGCCAGTAATTACAGCTAGCTTCATCAGGTGACAGCCAGATTTGTGGAGAAGTCCTCCTGTTACGTTCCTTGAATAGAGGGAGAGATGTGATGACATCACTTGTGTGCTCTTCTTGCGCAACGTGGGGAGCGGGGATTAATGAATGCATATAAATCACTGTGGGTATTCATTGGCGTTTGAGTTATTTATATGGTACTCAACGTAAATTATGCATGGGGCATTATGCAAGCCCATTGTGTCTTGTACTAAAACAGCCGTACGAACGGTAATCCCTATTGAAGTCTGGTGACCTGTATAGCTATGCATTTACAGTCGACTGTACAAAATTTTATTACCTGAAACTGACAGGGAAGTTCATCCTCTGTAGGCCCCACCCCTTCCTCTTTATTCCCCACCCCATTACTCATTAGGCCCCACCCCTTCCTGTTTAGGCTCCATTTGTCTCTTCCTTTTTTTTGGCTTCGCACCTTTCCTTTTTAGGCCCCACCCCATCTTCTTTAGGCCCCGCCTCTCCGCGTCTCGGCCCCGTGCACATAGTTCATTTCATTAGTTCATAGTTCATTTATTTGGTATAGCCCTGTGAGCCATTCGGCTCTTGAATCGGGTGCAACCGCAACAAACAAAAAACATGAACAAGAAAACATCTTAAAGTGATTATGTGACTGTGCAAACAGAAAATACAGGAAAAAAATATCAAAATATTCCTGAAATAGCACCGTACACCAACGCTGTGTGCAAAAATCCCAGTGAGATGCAAGTCAAATAACAACAACAACAACCACAAGACAACTAAGATTAAAGCCATCAGTCTAACTCCGTACTACAATAAACAAAAACATGGCCAAAACAAAAAAAAACTTTTCGAAATCACCAAAATAAAAGCCATAAATCCAATGTAACAGTGATCATAGGGACTGTGACCGAATTTTTTACAATAAACTACATAAATAAATTATAACACCAAAATCTAGAGCCATATTTTAGGCCACTGAATAGCAGTGGCAGCTAGGGTTGTACAACTCCTCTAGAGCAGTTTTGAGTGAAGATCTCATAGGTAGTGATTCAAGTTGCAGTTTATTGGCAATAGCATTCCAGATCCTGGGGGCATCAATAGCAAAGGCCCTTCCTCCAGTTTTTGTACGGCAAAAGGGAATGTGAAGCTGGTAAATGAGCGAAGACCTGAGGTCAAATTTGTTCTTTGAAACAGAGAGGAGATCCAGTAGGTAGGCACTTCACGACAACGACCAGAATCCCTCTTGGAGCAGCGACAGAGTAACAGAACTATGGTGGTGATGAGGACGACGATAGGCATAATAATCACGATGATGATGCTGATAATATCAAGGATGATGTGATCACAAAAAATTCCGAAAATGATGATGGTGACGATAATGACTCTTGACAATGACGGCACCAATCTTCTTCCGTATGGCTGATGTCGATGCAGAACAATAACTACATTTTCACACTCAGGTGGCCAAGCCAGCAGGAGCCAGCGGAGTAGTTGTATCATGATGATCATCGTCGCTTTGATGTCTCCTTCGTATTTGTGTATCGGGGCATTGCGTCGTTACCCGCTGTACTGCGCCCTCTGTTCTGGATGACCACAGTCGCCACACCACTACCAGAGAGTTTTTAATTTCCCATCTGCGCATCTACTGCTGCCATGGTTTGTGCAGTGGGTGGTGCGGCGTATGGGGTGGACCATGATCAGCGTCGTGGAAAATCAAACCACGCCAGGGGATCTTCTGTGTTGAGTCTTTCACCAAACATGATGGTGGTGACAACGACGACGATGATGATGAACATGATGATGATGATGACTACGTGAAGGCGTTCTGACCTTGATGGAACTCCAGTCGTCACCCGGCTCCCGGTGGACAACGATGATGGACGGAAGGCCGGGGGGCCCAGGAGGGCCAGGATTCCCCCCAACACCAGCCCGGCCTAGAGACCCAGTGTCCCCCTAAGACACACAAAGACAAGATCCCCCCCTGTAACAGACTGTTGGGGCAAGTGCTGTTAGTGAGCAGCAGCGCCTTTGAAGGTACAGGAGTGGAGTGGGTGGCCAACACCACGCCCGGCCGCCTTTGTCTCCCCAGTGGCAAAATGTTTACTACACACCGCACCAGGTACTTATTTGAGGCGACACGCACGCACACAGACAAGTAACTCCCTCCCCCCATCTAGCCTGAACAGTGTTGGACACACTTAAAAGATTGTTGGGGCAAGTGCTGTTAGCGCAAGCACCAATGAACGCCGGCACGGCACACGAGTGGGTGGGTGGTCAGCAACACGCCCGGCCACCTTTGTCTCCCTACACTGCCCCAGGATGCTCGTTTAAGACTTGAGTCGACAATCACGATAGTGATGATGGGGACAGCGATGACGATGACAGTGACAACCATGACGACGATGATGAAGTCCTCTCACTCACCTTTTCACCTTTTATTCCAGGAAATCCTCGGGGTCCCTGAAAGCCCTGGTGGTGGAGGTGGGAGATGGGGGGTGGGGGTGGCGGAGGGGGCGACGGAACACAGAGACAGGATTACATCAGTTGCTATTTGTGGACCGATATCACGAACACCTTGGCAAAGCTGCAGCAGGGCAATGGAACGGTTGAGATGAGAGGTGAACGTGTGGCACATTGTGTGATTCTATGGGTCTCTGTGTGTGAGTCTATGGGTCTCTGTGTGAGTGTATGAGAGACAAGGCCGTAATTATAATATATATTGGTGGGGGGACACATCCCCCCCCCCAATATTCAAATATGCTCAAAATATCCCCCCCAATATATTGCTATAAAATAGATTTCTGTTTATGTGATTGTGGTTATGGTTGTACTGTATTAATCCCTAATCTCTGTCATTACATACAATGAATCAAGAAAAAGGTAAAAAAACAGCAATACACTATTAGAGATTATTGTAAAAAATAAATGAAAAGTCCATCCTATGTGTTAGTGAATTTTCCCATTTTTTAGGCAGGAAATGGCAGGAAATGAGTTTTCAAATTTAGATTTTTTTCCTGGGGGGGAGCCCCCAGACACCCTGTAAGATTTGGTCCCCCCCAATGTTGACTCCATGGCTACGGCCTTGATGAGAGAAGATCAGCGGGGACCAGCCGGGATGTTCAAAGGGGTGCGAGGGGATGAGGGAGGGTGGGGGGGGGGATGGGGGAGGGGTGCGAGGGGATAAGGGATCAGTACCGGGTCGCCGCGGGGACCGGGGAGTCCAGGGATGAGGAAGATCTCCTTGCCCCACTCGATTCGGACAAAGTGCAGGTGGGGGTTCCTCTCCTCCGCCTCCTCCTTCGTGACCTGGCCCCCTACAAAGACAAAGATCCCCCGTGTAGCCTTCACAGACTGTTGGGGCAAGTGCTCTTAGCGATGAAGGCCGGACACGAGCGGGTGAGTGGCCAGCACCACGCCCGACCGCCTTTGTCTCCCCAGTGGCGATGTTTACACACCACACCAGGTACTCATTTGAGGCTGAGTCGACCTAGGGGAGGCCCAGGACTGGTTCAGATAATCGTCACTGGTGTTTGCCGTGAGCGGGAATCGAACCCGGATCGCCAGGTTCGTAGTGAAGCGTGCTTACCACTACACTCACACTCACTCGCACACCCACACTTTCACAAACACTCACAAACACTCTGACTCACACACCCACACACTCACTTTCACTAGCACACTTACACATTTACTCTCACAAACACTCACACATTCACTCACACAAACACTCTCACTCACAATCAAACACTCACACTCACTCTTACAAACACTCTCACTCACAATCAAACACTCACTCCCACAAACACTCTCACTCACAATCAAACACTCACACACTCACTCTCACTCACAATCAAACACTCACTCTCACAAACACTCTCACTCACAATCAAACACTCACTCTCACAAACACTCTCACTCACAAACAAACACTCTCACACTCCCTCTCACAAACACTCTCACTCACAAACAAACACTCTCACACTCACTCTCACTCACAATCAAACACTCACTCTCACAAACACTCTCACTCACAATCAAACACTCACACACTCACTCTCACAAACACTCTCACTCACAATCAAACACTCACACACTCACTCTCACTCACAATCAAACACTCACTCTCACAAACACTCTCACTCACAATCAAACACTCACTCTCACAAAAACTCTCACTCACAATCAAAACTCACACACTCACTCTCACAAACACTCTCACTCACAATCAAACACTCTCACACTCACTCTCACTCACAATCAAACACTCACTCTCACAAACACTCTCACTCACAATCAAACACTCACACACTCACTCTCACAAACACTCTCACTCACAATCAAACACTCACACACTCACTCTCACAAACACTCTCACTCACAATCAAACATTCACACACTCACTCTCACAAAAACTCTCACTCACAATCAAACACTCACACACTCACTCTCACAAACACTCTCACTCACAATCAAACACTCTCACAAACACTCTCACTCACAATCAAACACTCTCACAAACACTCTCACTCACAATCAAACACTCACACACTCTCACAAACACTCTCACTCACAATCAAACACTCACACACTCTCACAAACACTCTCACTCACAATCAAACACTCACACACTCACTCTCACAAACACTCTCACAATCAAACACTCACACACTCACTCTCACAATCAAACACTCACACACTCACTCTCACAAACACTCTCACTCACAATCAAACACTCACACACTCTCACAAACACTCTCACAATCAAACACTCTCACAGGCACTCTCACAAACACTCAAACACTCACACACTCACTCTCACAAACACTCTCACTCACAATCAAACACTCACAATCAAACACTCTCACAAACACTCAAACACTCACACACTCTCACAAACACTCAAACACTCACACAAGCCCCCACCTGTGTCCACCCTGGTGGCCACCGTCGGATCGGTCCCTCCCTGAGGCCCGGCGCGGCGTTGCACCGGTGTCACCGCCACCGCAACTGCGCCACCGCCGCCACCAACGCCACCGCCACCACCAACGCCACCGCCGCCACCAACGCCACCGCCACCAACGCCACGGCCACCACCGCCTCCACTGCCGGTCGTCATCCGCTCGCTCGACTCGGTGGTGACGGCCGCCCCGGTCATCGCGGTCGGGCCGGTCGGTCGGGCTGCCACCTCTGTGGTACAGAGCACCGGGGGGCGTTTCAGCAGGCGGGAGGGGAAGAAGAAGGAGGAGAGGAGAAAGCTGAAGAAGAGGAAGAAGATGAAGAAGAAGAAGAAGAAGAAGAAGAGGAAGAAGAGGAAGAAGATGAAGAAGAAGAAGAAGGGGAATAAGAGGAGGAGGAGAGAGCTGTATGAATGCGGTTGCCTCATCCTCCTCCTCCTCACAGCAGCAGCAGGAGGAGGAGGATGAGCCCCAGGTTGATCCAGGACAGGTGACAACCCCGCCTACCGCTTGGCGACGGTGTCGCTCCCGTCGGGGCAGCCGTGGCGTTCGCTCGTCCCGTGCCGTGGGGGTCCTTGCCGTGGGGGGCCGTGCCGTGGGGGGCCGCGCCGTGGGGGGCCGTGCCGTGGGGGGCCGCGCCGTGGGGGGCCGCGCCGTGCGTCCCGCCGGCTCGCGCCGGTGGCCCAAAAGCCGTGGGGCCTGGCACCGCTGGAGATGAGGGCGACGACGACGAGGAGGATGTAGATGTAGACGATGGTGACGATGGTGACGATGGTGACGTTGGTGACGATGGTGACGATGGTGACGATGGTGACGATGGTGAGGATGGTGACGATGGTGACGTTGGTGACGATGGTGGCGTTGGTGACGATGGTGGCGTTGGTGACGGTGGTGAGGAGGGTGACGATGGTGACGATGGTGAGGATGGTGAGGATGGTGACGATGTCGACAATTGTGACGGTGGTGACGATGGTAAGGATGGTGATGATGGCTTCCCGGCTGGACGTGCGAGGTCTTTGCGTCCTGGCTTGAGCGGGCGCGATGGGAGGGAAGGTGGTGGCTGCCGCTGCTGTCGCAGGGAACAGGAGGCGGATGGCAACGTGAGTGGGCGACGAGGTGGTGGTGAGGTGGTAGCGCCCTGCCTCACGGCGAGAAAAGGGGCCTGGGTTCGACGCCCGACACAGAACTGCTCGCGGAAGTGGATATCATAGAGCTACCTCTGAGCTGCATACTTCTTCAAGTGACACTCTGGTACAAACAGAGAACGGCCCATTGAAGCAGACAACACAGAGCTAACTCTGAGCTGCATACTTCTTCAAGTGACACTCTGGTACACGCAGAAGTGGATGTCATAGAGCTACCTCTGAGCTGCATACTTCTTCAAGTGACACTCTGATACACGCAGATAACGGCCCACGGAAGCGGATATCATAGAGCTACCTCTGAGCTGCATACTTCTTCAAGTGACACTCTGATACACACAGAGAACGGCCCACGGAAGCGGATATCATAGAGCTACCTCTGAGACCCTTCTTCTTCAAGTGGCACTCTGGTCCACACACGGTAGGGGGCAGCACTTCCCCACTCGCCCTGCCACCGAACGCGACGTTTAATCGCGTGCCAGCCGAATCACGATTTCTTATTCTCGGCCTCATTTCACTTTTCACGCACGTGAACAGCACATACGTGGACCCAAGGCAGCATCATCATCAGCATCGTCATTAGCATAGTCATGAGCATCTCCATCAGCATCATCATTAGCATTATCATCATGAGCATCAGTATTATCATCATTAGCATAATAATCAGTATCATAATTAGCATCATCATCAGTAACAACATCATCATTAGCATTATCAACATCGTTATTAGCATCACCATCAATTGCATCAGCATCATCGTGATCATCATTATCATAACCATCAGTATCATTTGCATCATCAGAAGCATAATTAGCATAATTTCATAAGCATCAGTATCATCTTCAGTATCACCATCAGTATCATTTGCATAAAAACATCATTAGCATCACTATTATCATAATTAGCATCATCATCCTTATCATAAGCATCATCGTTTGCACTATCAGCATTATTGTAAGCATCATCACCACCATCAGTGTCGTCGTCATCATCATTCCGCGACGGATGATGGTCGTCTCACCTTGTCCGTCCTCACCGTCGACCCGGCATCCACCCGGCCGCCCCCCCTCTTGCCGCCCCCCGCTCCGTGCGGGCCCTGGGAGGAGGAGGCGGTTGCCGTGCCAACCGCTCCCTTGTGGAGGAGCGGTCCAGCACTCCCTGCACCGGGAGGTCTCGCCCCGGCAACCGTTTCCTTGACGACGGGAGGCCTGCCTGGGCCCGAGTCCAACTCGTTGAGCAAAGTTCCGTTTCCGGCCTGAAATCGCCCATTGAAGGTCTGCGTTGAGACAACACATCATCATCATCATCATCGCCAGCCATTGCCAATCCACTCGTCGTTTGTTGAGGTGCCATTACCCTGGCTCGCCTTGAAAAGGTAGTAGAGCAACTGTGGACTCCATCTGTTCCTTCTGTACGGGATAAACTAAACTATTATTTTGTATTTTATTGTACCAGGTGTAAGGCCCCACTGAGCTACGTAGCTCTTGCTTAGAAGCGACCTGGCCAACGCAAATGATAACAGCTCAACGTAGTGGCTGACCACTTGGCAATTTATAGGAGACACGTACTCTAAACGCGTGGTGATGTTGATTATGAATTCGGAGGGAAACCCCTGGAGGACCAGGACAAAAATCCACGCGACCACGGGGAGAGAGAGACACGCAAACTCCAAATATACAACGGGCATCAGGGCCAGGATCGAACCAATGACCTCCTGTGTACCAGGCGAGGCAGTTAACATCTCCTAGCCACCGTGGCACCCTAAGAGTGTCACCCCAGACCCCTCGTGTGCCGTTCGGGCCTTCATAGGCACTGCTGCTACTTACTAAAAGCACTTGCCCCAACAATTTGGTTAAGGCGATACGGGGACCTTTGTGAGTGTGTAGAGTTTGTAGGTTCTACCCCTGTTCTGCGTACTGAATCACACAGGCACACACACGAATGCTCACAGATACACAGGGTAAAGATGCCCCGTATAAGCGTACATAATGTTTGGGGAAAGTGCTGTTAGCGACCACCTATGAAGGTCGGCACGGCACGCGATGGGATATTGTGGTCAGCACCACGGCGGGTCACAGTTAGATCCCCAATACTGGCAGTCACACACACATGCACCGTCTTAGGCTGAGTCAACTTTGCGGAGGCCTGGAATTGTTTCAAATATCACTCGCCAATGATGTCATAGCCTTGGCCGAGATGTAACCCAGGGGGAGAGGGGGGCTGGGCTGGTAGCGCGGTGTGAGAACCGCAGTACCACCACTCCCCGCAGTGAATACACAAAGATAAAGATCCCCCGTATAGCCTTCACAGACTGTTGGGGTAAGTGCTGTTGGCGAGTAGCACCTATACACACCCGCAAACACACACACACGACTACACAAAAGACAGAGATCCCCCGTATAGACTTCAAAGATTGTTGGGGCAAGTGCTGTTAGCGAGTAGCACCTGTGAAGGCCGGCACGGCATACGAGGGGGTGGGTGGCCAGCACCACGCCCGACCGCCTTTGTCTCCCCAGTGGCGATGTTGAGGCTGAGTCGACTTAGGGGAGGCCCATAACCGGTTCATAGAATCGTCGCTGACCCTGAGCAGGAATCGAACTCGGGTCGCTGGGTTCATAGCGTGGCCTGCTAACCACTACACAAAGCTCAACCCCAGCTGCAAACGATGACACAATTCTCATTTGCAACCTTCATCAGATAGCTGAGACAAGGCCACTGTGGGTTTGAATGGGGTTCTGATAGATACCCACCACCAGAGTGGAAGAATGGCTGAAGCATCTTACAGATGACAAGCTGATGGTAAGTGGGCAGATCAGCCCCACGGTAGGTTCTAGTGTCAAGGACATGGGCCCACAGCCACTGTTTCGGCACTATAAAGTCCAGCAGATGTTCTTGCTTGGACACGGCGTGCATCCATGATGTTGTGTGGATGCGCCAATGCGGTAACAGCGTGTTAGTAGTTACAAGCCCATGGGCCGCAAAGAAGTCTAGTGGGGTCCTACCGTTGTTATTGAGCTGATATGGCCCAAGCCTTCCAATCACTCCAGGCCAGGTGCCAGTATCATGACCAACTTGGGCATTGAAGTCACCCAACAAGATGACTCTATCCCGAGGGGCCACTTTAGCCAGCACCTGTGACAGGAGGTCATAGAGGGCATCTGACTCATCGGCCTTGCCTGCATCCCTCCTCCACTCATGTTCATCTTTGGTGGGGGCGTAAGCACCACCACCATTCCACGCCTTCTGTTGATGGGGAGGTGAGCCCACAGTAGCCCGGGGCTTACAGCTTACCACACCTCACCGCCACGCTCCCAGGCCACTTCCAAGAAGAGCCACTCCTTGTTGTTTGGCAGTCTCCTGCCCCGAGTCGAGGACTGTCCACCCCTCATGGTCACTGGAGCTAGAGCCGGTCCACTGCACTTCCTGAATATCGCAGATCCAGGCGGTACCGATCCAGCTCCCGGCAGAGGAGTGGCAGCCTCTCCTCCGCAGTGAGCGTTCGAACATTCCACGTGGCCACTCGCAGTGGCTTTTCGCCCTTTCTGGAGGAACCCCGAGGATGCGGGTTCAATCTCCTGGCTCCGCCAAATAGGGTTTGGCCAGGAGACGTCATAGGCGCCTGTCCTGACCCCATGGTGTCTCCCGCAAAAACTTAGTATGACAGTTTTGTGGAAATTAAATTGAAGGTGGAGGGGGTGACCGGCCCCTCGCACTCCGTCCAGAGCCCACGTGCGCCGCTGCGGTGGCTACGAGCGCCATGAGGCAGGGGAGAGGAGGTGCGGGGCGGGGGAACAGCCGATTGGAATCGGCCTTCCCATCCATGGCACTGCTCACTCACATCCACCACGGCGTTACCGTTTCCAGCACCACCGAGGAGGCACGGGGGTTGTTTTTTTTTGCCGGACCGACTGATCACAGACAGACAGACACGCACGCGCGTACCCTCGTGACTGCACCGCAGCTGTGCGTTCCCACAGCCCAGCACGCGCCGCAAAGTCCGCGTCTCTCCCCTTCTCGGTGGGGGGGGGGGGGGGTTTGGCAACCGTTCAGAACTTTTCCTGCAGCTCCCTGAGAATTCTCCACTGTGGAACGTTAAGGGCCTCTTTGTGCCACCACACGGGGAGTGGGGAGGCGGGGGGGGCAGTGGGGGGGAAGGGAGTGGGGGGGGGGGTCTGCTGCCATTGCCAATGTGGACATCGGCATCGTCAGAATCATCAGCGGAATGAGCAGGATCAGTGGCATCGTCCCCAGTAGTGGTGGCAGCGTCGTCATCGCAATGGGCAGCACCGTCACCATCGCAATGGGCAGCACCGTCACCATCGCAATGGGCAGCAGCGTCATCATCGCAATGGGCAGCAGCGTCATCATCGCAATGGGCAGCAGCGTCATCATCCCAATGGGCAGCAGCGTCATCATCGCAATGGGCAGCAGCGTCATCATCACAATGGGCAGCATCGTCGTCATAACAATGGGCAGCAGCGTCATCATCGCAATGGACAGCAGCGTCATCATCACAATGGGCAGCAGTGTCGTCATCACAATGGGCAGCATCGTCGTCATAACAATGGGCAGCAGCGTCATCATCGCAATGGGCAGCAGCGTCCTCATCGCAATGAGCAGCAGCGTCGTCATCACAATGGGCAGCAGCGTCGTCATCACAATGGGCAGCAGCGTCATCATCGCAATGGACAGCAGCGT